GTTTGATAATGGCGGCGGGGTCCGAGGTGACAGCTCCCGGAACCACTCGCATGCCGGCGCGCTGCCTTGGTGTTGCGTCACAGTTACTTCAAGGGCTAGTTCGTTTTTTTTTTCAGAAATTTAGAGTTGAAGGTTTTGTGGCGGCCACCTTGGTAGCAAGAGAGCTTAGTGAAACTCTGGGTGTAGAGCCAAAGTCCAAAGGAGTCAGTCACATAAAGTATATATATAGTATATAATAATATTTTGTAATAATATGTGCTTATTTATGATTGATTATTCAGTACAAAAAAAAGATTTCTTATACGAATTTATTGATTTCCTGGCAGACCTGAATTTTATTATAATTTTCGCAATGATTCATTGCTTAAAAAATTCTTTACACAGAGTGAAATATTGTATACTTACATCGAAAATAAAAATATACTCAAACCTAACAAATGGAAAAAATTACGAAAAAATTGGCAGGTTTTGAGATGAAATGACTTCATAAAAAATGCTAAAAACACTTTTTTGCACGAGAATTTAATTTTTTTTTTCTTTAAGAAAAGTCCTCGCAAAAATGTTTTGCTCCCAGGCCTTGCATCTGCTAAGCACGGCTCTGCGCCCCTCCATCCAACGTGCATCAGAGTCCAAATCAATTGCTGCGAGTTATGTGGGTTAATCTATCTGTTTATTTACAAATGAATTTGTAAGATCCGGAATTGGCACATTCCAAAGGCAATGCTCACGCGATTGCTCAATATCTCATATTTTCGTCTGAATTGCGCGCCTGAGTTTTTTTCTGTGTTTCAATGCTACTACTCATACATGTCGATTGACTTTAAATAGCACATTCAATCGAAAAACGTTCTGACAACGAAGTGAAAGACAAATTATATACGAAGGTGTCCCAAAAAATGAAAGTTTTTTTTTATAACCGCGTACCCTCTAATTTTGCTTGAAAAATGTCAAAACAATTGTAAAAAAAGTTTTATATACTATATATGTACTTAGAACCAGAGCAGCCCATGCCAAATTGCGTTGGAACATGTCAAAACTTGCATATTAGGCGCACGCTAGCTCGTTTGTTCTATTAGCAAACGCACTGATTTCGTTCAGTGAACAAGTCGAAGGAATTACGCAGTTCTAAAAAGGAAATATGTTTAATAGAAGACGTAAAGCATCAAATTACCGTCAAAAATTCCCTCTAATGGACAAGTACTAGCAGTTTTGTTCTATAATATCTGGGTACTGAAATCAAGTGTCAATGAGAGCGCCAACCGTACTATTCGTCACTGCATTATTTACTGGGGAAAGGCACGTATACCGACAAAAATCTCTACCTAACCATGTTAAGGAATTTGCTACCTTATACCAAGTTTGGAGAAATTTGCAAAAAAATGCAAGCAAAACACTAGAAGTGTTTGAGCAATGTCGACAAGAGTTTGTTACGAACTTGGACAATCTGTTTGATATTGCGCATGCCGATGCCCTTCAATTGATGAAATTAAAAGAAGATAGGATCTTCTTGCAGCGGCAGAGAGGCCAGGTCGACCTGGTCATTTAGCTGGGGTGGACAAGAGATCAGCCATAATTGAAATAAAAGGCGCGTCTTAGGAACACCGAAGAACAAAAGCGGCGAGCTAAATATTTTACTTCCCTAACTCCTTCGACATCATATTACGAATCAGTGCAAGAAAATCATCTTCAGATTCCGAGATAGATTTTCAAGAAATTTTTCCCATGCCAACTCAGAGCACACAGCCTAATACTAATCAAACTCAAATGCGGAAAAGTGGCAGCATAAGACAGGTGTCAGTTAAGTATGAGAAATGCTATTTTTATTATTGAAGAAACCATTGAGGCACTTGGACATTACACTGACGAATCTCCTATAAGCAAGTTTTCCATTCAAAAAATTCGTACTGGAAAGAGAAAGGAGTACACCGAAGCTAGGAAGCTTGATTTCCAAAGCAAGGTACCGGAAGCTGTAACTGTCCACTGGGATGGAAAATTGTTGCTACTTTTAAATGCACGCAAGTCTAAAGAAGCACGTCTACCGATTGTTATAACGTGTAAAAATAAAGATCAACTTATCGCTGTGCCCAAATAGGACAATTCTCCAGGCAGCGAGCAGGCTCAGACAGTTTGGGATGCTATTATTGGCTGGAATCTTGAAGATAAAGTTCGGATACTCTTTGGTGATACTACTGCTTCAAATACGGGACGCATTAAAGGTGCCTGCGTACTTCTCGAACAGAAACTGAACAAAGCAATGCTCATTGTTGCTTGCCGCCGTTACTTCTACGAATTGATGTTAGAAGGCGTGTTTGAAATCAAAGATCGACCAAGTGACTACAAGCCCTGGCATTCCAATATTCCGCGAGAGCTGGAAAAGTGCGTATCATGCCTGAATATTCCAGAAACGGACGCAGCTGCTAGAATTTTATCGACATGAATTGACCAAAGAAGTTGCTAGAGACAACTATCTAGAATTAATAGAACTCTATAGAACAATAATAATGCTTGGCGGAGATACAGAGAAAAAAATTAATATTCGACCGCCAGGCGCCATGCATCAAGCTCGATGGATGACCATTCATTAAGAATAACGTTATTAAGTTCCCAGCTCCAACTTTCTGAGAAGGATAAGGGCAGCTCTTTTAGATATCTGCCAGTTCGTTGTAGCAACATATTACGTGAAACCGTGGTTGCAATGCACTTTAGCGGTAAAAGGACCTAACCAGGATTCATGCTTTATACAGGCAATTAAGACTTACGAAACAATTGACAAAACCGTTTCAAAAGCAGCTTCAGAAAATTTCTGTCAACATTTATTGTATTTGACAGATAAGGTCTCTGTCTTATCTCTGTTTGATGACGACGTAAATTATTAAACTAAAGTAAAAATTGTTGCTAATTCAGCCAAAGAAAGTCCATCAGTCCACGGTAAACGCTACATCCCATCGAAAGAAGAACTTTCTGGTCCGCTTTATGGCAAGTCTTACGAATAAATTTTCCTTTGTCTTCTTTTACTGCTTCGATATAGTATGCCACTGTGAAAATATGCCAGCATAAGCTCCGATTCTGGCAATAGATGGCACCTTATACTGTCTTGTTTCGATAGATTTTATACCTGGAGGTTAGTTGCTATGCTTTCATTCGTTGTCCTGACCTGAGGCCAAGCCTAGATGATACTGATGAGTTGCCAAAAAACACAAAACATCTGTTCATGATTGAGTGTCTGTGGTCACACGGACATAACCAGTATGTTATGTGGTAGTTATTCTTCGTTTTTTCATTTCAGGGAAAAATATCCATAACTTTGTTTCAATCAAGAGCAAGTCCTTGTTCAGTCGACTCAAAATTGATGACAGTTTACTCGACGAGTTTTCTTATTCATCGCCACATAATGATTTTTTTCAATACGCGATAAATAAGGGGTAAACACTGAGATCAGTTAACGATACGGCAAAAAGAGCAGTCAAGTTAATGCATGCCTTAATCACTGTTGATGAGCAATTTTTATTATGATGCGTACAAGAGCACAGGCAGGTGTATCCTGACTGTAAAAATTAAACATTGAAAAGAAGATTTAGTATTTAAATATCTAAGAAATAGGAGATACAAGTGAAGCAGTGTTTTATTTGTCGAATAAGAATTAGGTTTTGAAGTCCATACATGGTTTCCCTATTAACTTTCAAATTCAAAGTTTAACTGAAAGTCGGCACGGGTTATCGTTCCCCTATCGCAATAATATTTATTTTTTGAGTTGTTAAAGTCAAATGGAAAAAATAGAGGGTATGCGTATCTCAATTCGAACAAAAATTTGATTGCTCTGATGGGCTGGCACACCCTAGTATATACTAATGTTAATGAATCTTTATCATTAAAAATAAATAGTTGATATACTTTTAAAAAATGGCCCTAATTAGGTTGACTATGAGCTTCCCACGCAACGCTGAACATGTAGGATTATTTTCAGCACAAACTAGACAGTATGAGAAAAAAGTCAGTCAAACTGGTTTTATACAACTAATGCATAGAAATTATTTCCCTGTCCCACCGGTAGTGCATCTGGCAACGTCGCCTTAATCCGGTCAGATGTAGCAGTGCTTTCAGAACGTAGCGTGAAACATAATACCAAAACAATAGAACTCGAAGCCGGCAGCGCGCCGCCGGTAGCAAACTGCGACCGGTAGGCAGGCCATCCGTTTGCTGAGAATATGTTTCTAAGTTACAATGCCTAACGTACAAAGAAATCAATGATGTGTGAAGTATATCTAATACGTGCTTACCAAGGTTAGGAGCTTATAAATGTACTAACATCTAAAAATTGATATAAGCCCATCCTCTTTGGCCCTTTTCTCTGCCACGACTGCGCCGAAAACTAGCTTTTGCGCCCTTGGCATAGTAGTAGAATAACATTGTGTAAAAGTTTCATTGGAATCCGAGCGTTACTTCTGAAGTTATACGAGGTGATCAGATTAGCGGACAGAGCGGTAGACAGGCAGACCGACAAATATGAGTGACATGGTTTTTCGTGATGTACATATCATATTACATCCAAGAAACATATTATCTCATTTTCGAAATTTTTCTCGATTGCAATGTTTTCCCGCCAGTAGGCGTGGAAAGTAAAGACAGACATTATTTTTGAAGTCACCCTCGTTCTTTGTGTATTGTAACACCTATAAAATACGAAAATAGCCTCGCTTGAGTAAATGAACATGCAAAGTAATAATTCAACGACTGCTGCAAATTTATTTCTAATGTGGAATAACGTGTAGCCATATCTGATTTCATTTGTCAATACCTAATTGCATATGTTTTAAATGTTTTTATTTTCTTTATACCTTAGAAAATATGCTTATTTGTAAAGTAAAATCACCTCGTCTACCTTTAATCTGTCAAATTTATAACCGTTGACATAAGAGTATGATGGACATGAATGGGATTTCAGCTTACTATAATACGGCATTTATCATTCCGTACATTACACTAATTATTTTTTCTCACAGGTTCGTATCATCATCATGACCACGACGATGTAGTGGTGATCAAATTCCCCCACCACCACCACGACCATGATCACCACGAAGAGTTCAAAGCTCCTCCCATCTCTATCACTCACACAGGTCCCAGTTACGCCAACATTCTTGGAAAACTCTTCCAATCTTCTTCATCTTCAAACCCTTCCAAGCCTGAGCTTTATGGCCATACTGCTACTGGAACTGGAGAGGGACACTATGCTGAAACACCTCCAACTGCAAACTCCCAGCACTTGGAGGCTGAACATAAGTTACCTCTTGAACCAACCAAACATACATACTATGCTGAGGCACCCGTTTCTAACAGTTACGGTATTCCTTTTGAACAGGAACCAAGTTACTTGCACCAAAACCTAGATGATTACTATGTATCTGCTTCCAAAGATCATCCAGTTGCTGTGAGGCCTGGCAAGTACCTCCAACCACCACGAAACAGTATCAGTGGTTCTGATAAAGGCAAAGATGCAGCTAGTTCAACTGTGGAACAAACTAGTCTGTTCAGTCCCAGTGCAGAACAAAGTTCAGATTACTTGGATACAACGAATGATACAGATACTCAACGTCCCTTGAAAGTATCTACTGTACAGGATTTGAATTATCTGTACGATACTTTGAATCCAAAAACGGTAAAAGAAACAAAAATGAACGATCCAAAGCCAGTACAGTTTCCTAACCTTAGTGAAACTTCAAAGGTTCCAAATTTAGATGTCACAAAACCTTTAGAAGGTAATTTTGGATATTATGGCGCTGAGGATCTATCTGTACTTCAAAATGTCCAAGGCAAACCTTTCGCTCTGACTCCAAGTGACCTTTTTGGGAAAAATGGTCCTAAGCCGACTTTTGACTTGCTACAAAGTCAGATCACATCTGCTCCATCACCTTACCTTGAAGTCCCTAAAAATCAACAAGTTCTACAGACTGACATGACTGTTCAAGACTTTAACAGACTGAACTTAGGACAGTATGATCTGGTCAAATCAGTGGCGTACGAACTTGGACCCGACGGACCTAAGAGACTGACGTGAGGTAATTAGATATGACTAACCAAACTTTCGAACAATAAAATTAAAATTACATACCGTACTTTTACTAACATTCAATAACATTCCTTTTTCATACATTCATAATAATTCATCTAGAGTTAGAAACAAACGGTGAAGTTTCGTCTTCTTGAAGCAGATTGTTCATCTAAAACCTACATCGTACTGAAAAATCTCAACAGGACGACACAGTACCGTGTATTTTACATTGGTTACAGCAATTTATACAGGGTGACTGATTAACCGTCATGTTATCTTTTGAGAAATGCAGAAGAGTTTATTGAAAATTAAATACCCTTTCTTGTAAATAAATGTCTCTTGTAAAAGATACGAGCACATGCCCTTAAAAAAGATACGCTGAGGATTAGTTTTTCCTGGTGTTGCAATGTATATAGGGCAAGTCAGAAAACACATACGTTCTTATGTGCCCCCTTATCAAGGTACAGACAGTTGGGGATGAAATTACAAAATCGAGATAATATCGAGTTGAAAAACGCAGCTTTATTCAATTTTTTTAACGGTCGTACAGAAAGTTCGGTGGGCCACTTTTTAACGGGATATCGCGTACTACATATCTGGCTATTTTATTTTTTTAACATCTATTAAGCTTTCCAACGGGGTACTTAATTTTACATGAATTGTCTTTCTTGATAAGGATCAGATTCTAAAGCAAGGTTGTGGCCCTAAAATTAACTCAAATTTTAAGTTGATTGCATCTATGAAATTTTTGCGTTTAAATATTACGAAATACTCATATTTAAGGTTTCTTCAACGTATTAGTTTTTTGTTGCTGTTCTTGATTGTTGTTCAAAAAACCAAAAATCGTAGTTTTGGCACTTATATCCGATATACACCCAAAAATAAAAATTTTGGACGAAAATAACAAAATTTCCAACCTTAAACTTTTAAAAAACAAACAAATACTACAGTAAGAATAAGAATGTTGACGTAAGTATAAAATATGTTACATATTTATTTTCTAAAATATACGAGTTCAAAAACTTCATAAATGCCATAAACTTGAATTTTGAGTCATTTTCATGGCCGGAAGCCCCCTTGGGAAAATTTGTAACCACCCCTTGGGGAAAATTCCTGCGGACACCCATGATTTCGATATTTTTTCTAGTACGATGGTTCTCAAAAACAGCCTTCTAGAAGTTTTTGTCTCCTTGTATAAGAAAACCATTTCTCGAAAAAGTAATGCCCAAGTGCACCGCCTTACTAAGGGGTCAACCTTAAGTTTAGAGTTAACTTCCAAGCTTTTGTTGCAACAGATACTCCTAAAACAAGATTGGAACTTAAACAGTTGGGCTAACTTGTGAATAATTTCTCTGTCTCGGGCAGATCTTCTAGCCTAAAACTTCAATTTGCGCGTTTGACATTTTTGTGACTTCACCTACTGGCCACTGTCTGTTATCCTAAATAAATTAGAAACAACAGATATGGAAAGTTCTTCCAAGTCTTTGCTTGCAACAGTTTGTCAATACTCAACAAATCATTCCTTAAGGCGTGATGCATTTCACCAAATTATTTAAATACCCGTTAATACTTCATAATATTTTTAGAGTGATGAGTACGATGAAAAGAATGTACTAGATATTGTGTATACAGTAGCAAATATAATAATGCTTCAAGGACGAAATTATTTCCAATCTAAATAGAAAAACGGGTGATTATATCACTGAGATTGCCTTTATAACTTTGGTGCGAAACAAGGCAGATGTAGCAAAACGAAGTTGTAGGGTTTTGAAAAGATTCAACAAATGATGTCCTTAAACGTAAAGGTTTCGACACTTTTCTTAAATATAAACCCGTATTTTTTTCACCGGAAATTTAAATAGCAGGAAACTTCGTGCTCAAGTACATCTATGACCTTGACTATGATCAGCAAGTGCAAATTAGTTTTGAACGGGAAACATCTATTTTAAATTCATGAAATGCAACCTGCTGACAATTTAAGGTTCAAATTATCATTGCCAATCAGGATTCACATTTGAAGATTAAATAAAGGTATATAAACTCATTTTTTGTAGAGGATATGAAAAGCAAAATATTTCACGGTCAAGGTCACTATCATGTACTTGATTGTCACTTTGACTATGATATTCAAGGTAATTTGATAAATTCTTTCCTCCAAAACGTCCCCCTAAATCCTCGATCATCGTAAAACCGTTAAGGTTTTGGTCAAGGTCACGTTCAAGGACAGCTTTAGATGACCGTTTTTGAACCTTTAGCTTTACTATGCAATATTTTTCTGAAGGTAGCATATTTTTCAAGGTATTTTGTTCCCTACAAACTTTTTGGTGGCCCTAAAATTTCCTTAAAGATCAAATTCAAGGTCACTGACATGGACCTGAAGCTTTCTGCTCTTTACATTTTCGGTGTCAAAAATAGGGGTTTCCATTTAAAAGACTGTCAAATGACCTTGAAAGTGATAGTCAAGGGCAGATGTATGGTCACCATTAGATGATTCTTTTCAAACCTTACAACCTTGTTGTACTTTTTTCTCTAGGAAACGTATTTTTCGAGACATTTTGATGTATCCCTACTTTTTCGACACCCGGCATTGGCTGAGTTTTCACAAAATCCGCCTGTTACTACAAAAACTCAATTTGAGGTTGACCTTAACACGAATCACTGCTAAGTGGCAGATCTGAGAAAGGCGGTGCAGCCGGACAATCATCTAAGTAACCAACAACATAACGAGTATATTGAACCTAACCATCCGATTACTAAACTGATAACCATAAATATGTATGTATGCTCACTAAAACTTTTACTTTCTGCCACTGACATCACTAACCACAGTGTGTGTGCCGTCGATATTTTCGAGGACAATTGTTATGGGCATTTCCCTGAATGATGATGTATGGTGAAATGGCGCGGAATTTTTATTCCGTATTTACATTTTTATGAAATGGACTTTCTGAGCTTTCTCTTTTCAGACCATCTGCATCCGTTACACGAGGAGGAGATGCACTACCACGATTTCGACGCTTACGAGTATCGGGATGACAGATGAAGGTGGACGCGCGTTTGGTTGGAAAACTAGTCATTGCTACGAGCTTTTTCGTAGGTAGTAGTTGTATGTACATTTGTTAGTCTGAAGACTATTAGGTTATATGAAAACATTCAGGTAGCTGAAATGTGTAACTGATTAAGTATGTCTGTAATGGTAATATGTTGTCTTTTCTCAGCAATTTAGAATGTGACATTTCTTATTTGATTGAGGAGGTCAACAAATATTTCGTGAATCATTTGTCAGAAGTCATACAAGTAGCTTCTTCACAAGAGAGTCGGAAAAGTAAGCAAAAAGGATCAGGGTTCATAAGCGGGGTTTTTGGCCCTAAAATTGCGTCAAATTTCAAGTTGCTCCCATCTATAAAATTTATACATTTAAATATTTTGAAACACATATATTTTAAGGTTCCGTCGACATTATTCTTTTTGGTGTAGTACTTAAATGTACACGTTGTCGAATGTTCAACTTGCTATCTTTTATGAACGCAAAGAAAATATATAAAAATAAACGTGTTACTCCACTACGCTCATATTAAAAGCAAAAGTTGTACTACCTGAGACCAAGCTTACTCACTAATTATTGTATTGTGAGCACAGTCGAGCGACACTTTCTTTTTTATATTAACATATGTTCAGTATCTTAGTGAGTTTTATTAAAGCTTTGAAGTAGAAGTATTGCGACCGTGCGCTCATAAAAATAACGAGTTGAATATCCGAAAAGTGGACAATTATTGACAAATATACAGAAATTACAAATGTTGACCTTTAAAAAAACAGTAAAATACTGAAATACACTACTCAAAAAAATTGAGGGATCAATAAAAAAAGGGAAAAATGGTCGTGTCGAGAAAAAAACATTTTGACGCTTCAAGATTCAAAAATTTTTGGAGCAATAGCTCTCATGCAATTCTAACAAATAGCGCAGGAAAAATGTTTTGCATCATTTCTGCCTTCTTATTTTTAGGCCATATGGATCGGATAACCAATTTATTCCTCTTCAAGTTTCTGTTTTTAAAATCCCGATATGATCATTTGGCGCGGAGATATCTTTTTTTGAATGAAAAAGGATCCTTTTGTCATCGACCACCGATATCTTGATAACCAGATGATCGCACAAAGAATGTAAGGGTATTCCCGAAAACTGGAATAAATCTCCAATAAAATTTGATTGCAATCTTTGGGGATTTTTTTTCTCATCTTAGCACTGATTTTAAAAAGTCAAGAAAAGTTACTTTTTGCCCCGTTTTGGAAAATCTACCGCATTATTGAAACTGCTAATGACAAAGCTAATGTTTTTATGTTTTTTATACCTCAACATAACCTTGCACGACGCCAGTTCGATCAATTGTACGGCTTCTCGGGACCCATTGGTTAAAATTTAAAAAAATCGAAGGGGCAAAATTTGTGTACCAAAACATCATGTAATCTGGTGGCAAATGGAAAAATAATTTCTCTTCTTTTATTATATCTATTGGATATGTGTAACATCTTCAATTTTGAAGAAGAAATGAGCAAATTTCAAGAGGATTTATTCTAGTTTTCGGAAATACCCATACATTCTCTGTGCGATCACTTGTTACTGAGGTATCAGTGGTATATGAGAAATGGAACTTTTTTAATTTAAAATCAGATATCTCCGCGCCAAATGACAGTATCGAGATTTTGAAAACAGGGTTATCCGATACATATGACTTTTCAGGCCCGTGGACTAAAAGGAACAGAGCAAAAATTTTGCAAAACATTTTTCTTACACTATCTCTAAAAATTGCATGAGAATCGCTGTTCCTAAATTTTTGCTATAGACCTGAAAACTAGAATCTTAAAGCTTCAAAATGCTTTTTTTGAAGTCAGGATATGACCATTTTTCACCGAAATACAGTCTCTCAAAAATCACCGAACCGGATCACCAGATTTTATCTTGCTCCTTTAACTTTTTGAGTAATGCAAAAAGAAAAATGATGAAAGTTGAAAATATATATGTTCTATGGTATAGTACGCTGTGGTCATGCAAAGGTAAAGTATGTTAAACGAAATATCAACCGCCATTTTTGACTGCAGTATAAAAACGCACTATGGTATACAATGTCGAGCTCTACATGAATTTGCCGTCAAAAAAAGGGGTTGCTAGTTAGATTTACAAACTTGACCTCCAAATCACCTGTGAAGCCTGTGTACAGGGTTTTGAAACCACACGGAAATCCTGTGGAATTCAGGCGCTAACTGTACGCCATTTTGGGATTTTTTCAAATGGAATGGGTGGTCATCAGACGTTGTGTGAAGCTCCTTATGAGTACCTACTTTGTAACCCTAAAATATAAAATTCACTATTTTCCAAAACGGCGGACTGGCGGGTTGTCAACGTTGAGAGGCTTTGTAGATTCAATCGTTTATACGTCGATAACTAATGATAGTCCAGGAAGTATATTAGCATCCGCTCGTCAAGATATTCTGATTTTGTTTTTTGAATGATATTATTCAATAAGGACCCCCCAAAATTGCAAAACACCTCATCGTTCATTTGAAAAATACTACAGACATACTACTGCACTACAGAAAAACTATTACATTTCATGATTTATGTTCAAGAAGGCACACCAAGCAGCAAGAAAATATAATTGCTTACAGTCTGTTTAACCTCCTAAACACACCCCAATTTGTTATGCTTGTCATAGTAATGCTGAAAATATTCAGGAAAGCATGCCAAGAGAATTAAATAACCTTTCTGCTAGATGCAGAAATTAAATAATTTATGTCGAGTCTGTTCAACTCAGAGCTGTAATATTATTTTTCTTAGCTTGATTTTCAAGCATAGTGCATTTGTATAACAGCATTTTTTCAAGGAATGACATAATTATTTTTGTATTTAACACCTACCATTTTTCACAGCCAGACGAAGCTTATAACCACTGTTTAATTCAAGTGTACAGTAATTTCTGTAAATACACATATCTTTTCAAGAACATCTATTAGAGGATAGTTAAGTACCAGGTGTAGATTTTGTATAATATTTATTTTGTTGTGTTTATATATGTTTATAATAAAAGTGAAGAGTAGTAAACACTGTTTTTTAACTTCCACAAAGCCTAAAGCTCTGTAGAAACAAAAGATCTGATTCCATGATTCCTACAAAGTTCGTCGTCCAAACTTCAAAGGTTTTACTGCCAGTAGTCCAAGTATTCAAGTCTAAAGAAATAAACTGGTGGACCGTTGCTTTGCAACATGGAAAGTTTTACCCAAATTCAAATCCCGATATTTTCGGGACGAAGAAAGATATCGAGTTAAGGTATTCGAGACACTTATACAGCGTGAGCAAAGGAAGTCATGTTCTCTTAGCAAAGCTTTGGGCTATGTCAAATTATCATCTTTTTGATCTTTGGACTATCCTAGAAAAAGTATTATCTAAAATTTTTCTAAAGTTGGCTATAACTTCGAATTTTAACTTTACGCACTAAAAGTCTTTCGGCTCGATCTCGAATTTTGTTTTATGTATTACCCTCTCCATGCAAATGACGTTTCTCCCGTTTCATCCTAACTATCTACACCTCAAACATGCAATTGCTAAGTAACGATAATATTGAATGTAGACTTGACAGTATAATTTTATTTTCTCAAAAATGCTTCGTCTTTTTTTTTTTAAAAAACGAGAGAATTGTATAAGATTGTTGGGAGAAGGTCGTTTAGTGAATGATATAGTTTTAATTCATAATGTTGATTGGCCCTTAATATTTAAAAGAAGTCCAGAGCATTACTAACACACCAGCATATCGTGCTAGATTATACAGGGAAGCTATACAGATACACAAGCATACGGACAACTTTAACAAAACAGAGGAATCACTGGTGGGATTCGTGTTAGTGTAACATTTAGGATTTAGGGGTTATCAAAAACATTCAGTATTGCTTTTTGTTTTGGTTATATTCAATATAAAAAGCTTTTCAAGAAATAATAATAATAATTATCTTGCCAAAAGGCATGTGAGTAAATGATAAACACAAACAAATTTCATAATTCTGTTGTCTATTTCATAAAGAATGAGAGAATTGCATCAGATTATTGGGAGAAGGTCATTTAGTAAATGATGTAGCTTTGATTTATAATGTTAATCGGTCCTCAGAATACCGTTTAAGGCGTAGATATCTGGATACTGGGGAAACGTGCTACTTGCATTGAGCAGGTAAAAAAATACAAGGTCGTTCCGAAAGACATTTATTGCAGGAAGTAAGGCAAAGGAGGATCCTTTCATCCAGAACCTTGGATGAAAACTTACGGCGGCACAGTGGAATAACAGCATCCAATCGTACTATAAGAAAGAACTTTAAATTCTAATTTGTTAAGGTATATAAGTAAATGTCATAAAGAAATTGCTAGGTACTTTTTTAAAGTAGCATCTCTTCCAGAGCAAGGCGTCGCGCCAAGGGTACCCGACTCTTGAACAATCATAGAATCCCCAGGTACCAATAGGATCAGAAGCGGGTAAATTGGCATCAGCAGTGACAAAAGTTTTCGGATGAAACACTCTTCAATCTATACCACTCTTATGGTAGGGTCCTTGTTTGGTGGAGGTGGCATTACTGTTTGGGCTGGGATTATGCACAATGGTAAAACCGAACTATTTATTTCAAACAGGGCAGTCAATGCTGCAGTTAATAGGGCCAACATTTTAAACATTATTGTTGTACCTTTTGCACAAAATTTTGTGGAGGATTTGGTCTTCATCGATGATAACGCCAGGCCTCACAGAGCTCGTACGGTTATACGCCTTTTGGCAGAAAATAATGTTACAATATTGCTTCTGCCATCAAAGTCTCCAGACCTAAACATAATTGAGCATGTATGGTCTCGGCTAAAATTTTTCATATTCAGATGCCAGGCTGTGATCGATGTGCGGGGTACCCCGACAAGGTACTAACAATATTGTTTAAACTAACTGTTCCTGTTCTGTAAAAAGATCGTTTTTGTAATAAATAAGTAGTTTAGGTATTTAAAAATTGAATAGAGTCTATTACCTGTTTGAATATATCTCCAACGAAAACGCGTACGCCAGTGCTGAATGTGAAAGATAAAAAATTGGTCAGCATCATAACGTTTTGAAAAATGTTTTTTAAAGTTATTAGCACGTCTTAACTGACCAAAAAATGCTTTTGGTGTTACGCCACTGGAAAACAGTAGTAACTTGGATTTGTTCATTCGGCTGTTTCAAAATTCATAAATTCGGTTTAAATTACATAATGTCAAAGTACCCTGGAGACAATAACGCTCAATGAGTGCTTTTCTCGGGCGCAAGAAATTCCACTTTGTGCAACAGTATGAAAAAAAATACCCATTCTCAAACGAAACCCGCTTTTTGGGGATAAATGTAACACTTTTTTAAAATTCGATAATTTGAGTTATGGCCAAAGATCATGCATAGGAAAATTTCCAAGATCAAAAATTGAGACTCTAACAAACTTGGCAAAAAAATCTTACTTTTTTTGCTCACCCTATATAAGTGGATAAATGAAATAAGTATACCGATCGGACCCCAGTACGTCTTCTCAAAGAGTTGGTCAAGAATCTTCCGAATACCACAACTCGATATCTCTTTCCTTTCTGAAAATATCAAGATTTGAATTTGGGTAAAATTTTTCATGTTGCAAAGCAACTGTCCACCAGTTTATTTCATAATTGTAATAACAAACTCATCTATGCTATCAGTATTTAATTTTGAGAGGTCAACAGGAAGTATGATAATAAATCTTCTGAATGTACTGCAACTATGCTAGTGATTGGATCGCATTTGACTTAAATATAACAGGAAGAATATAGCGACTTAAGAAAGGTGCACATACTACTTTCAAGATAATATTTAAATTTAAATTTAAATATTATCTCGTTAGATCAAGAAGTTTTTTGCATAGAATAATGGCGTTGACACTATACGGCGTATCAGATGGTCCTCCAACCATGGCCGTGATGCAAGCCTTGGCATATCTGGATTTGAAATATAAATTCGTGACAATTAACTATGCAATAGGCGAACACATGACCGAAGAATACGCCCAGGTATTTATGACTATCACAAATTTAGTTCCACTTACAAAAACCGTATACATTAATGCTACCACTAATATTTGGTCAATTTAATCAATGGCTCAAAAAGTTCGTGGACGAAACTTTAATAGTTGATTTTCAAAAGAATTGCTATATCTTACACACGCTTTTCACCTTACAGAAAAATCCTCAAAAAGAAATGCCGGTACTAGATGACAACGGATTTTTCCTAAGTGAAAGGTTTGCATAAATGCTGCATTTCTAAGATACGAGGAAATAACCAACTATATTTTCAGCAACGCTATTCTACAATACTTGGCCGATAAATATCCAAAAAATGAAACGTTGTACCCAAAAAATGTTCAAGCTCGAGCTATTGTTAACCACAGATTATGCTTCAATCTTTCAACGTACTACAGATACATCTGTGAATATGCCGTAAGTGATAATATCACAGAAAACTTAAATTTCTTAGTAAATGAGTGTTTCAGTTGGAACCAATATTTTTCACTTATGAAAGAACCCAGCTACGCTTGAAAAGGGCACTCATTGCTTTGGAACATCTTAATACGTATTTCTCAAAATTGGGAGGTAAATACGCTACAGGAGGTAAGATAGTAAGGAAAGTTTTTTACTTTATTATGTCTATTCTTTTACTATGAAGGACTGGGGTCAGTTGATCGCCTCCATGATATGCTTGCATTAGAATATTTTAAAATGGGTTTATTTTAAACTGTCATCAAAATTTGTCTTTTAATGTTAGTACTTGATTTTTCTTTAAAAGCCCAAACTTCACAATTCTCACACCACGAAGGCCTAAGGCCTAAACACCCGTGGGGTACCGTGGTGCTATAGGGGAAACAGGGTGAAATGGGGGACGAGACAGGGACTCTGGTGAGGGAACACGTGTGCATGCAACATGCACACATTCTGGCCCCGCCTACAATATCCGCCGGGTGGTACCTCCGCGTTCGACAATCAGAGACCGTCTACCACCTACGGACAATCAAAACATCCATAGCCAAGAGAAAATTTCTCTTTTGGACGGGATTCGAAACCGCTTTTCACTTTTCACTTCAAATCGATAATGAAACGCACAGAGACACAAAACATATACTGTGAATTAAGTGATGAGACTGTTTATTTTTTTTTATGCAAATATAACTACAATCTTATATTGTCACCGTCAACATTACTTCCTTCTGAAGCCACACGCAACGCTGGAGACGGTTCTCTCCTCCCAGCAATGCTCGACGATACTGGAATAGCCTTCAGGTGGTCGCTTACAGCCGTTTGATTGCCTTCGACTGTCCCAAAATGGATTCTCTTGAGAAGATTTTTCAACTTCGGGAAGAGAAAAATTCAAGTGAAACAAATAATCATGCTGAGATGCTGAGGGGACACAGGAATGTTTTTACTGGCCAAAAACTCGTTTATTGACATTGCTGTGTGACAAGAAGAATTATCGTGATGCAACACCCGGTTGTTCTTGATCTGATGAACGGTGGTGTGAGTCAAGTTTACTCTTCCCCGATCATTCTGACGATCTGATTCCATAAAATTTCGGATTCTGTCAATATTTTCATCGGTTCTTGAAGATGAAGTCCTTTCGCTTCCTGGTTTACCTTCAATCGACTCTCTTCATTCTGGAAATGTATTAAGCCACCGAAAAACAGTGGCTCTTGACAAAACACTATCGCCGTAGGCCTGCTGAAGTTTAGCAAGAGTTTCGCTAGCACTGTGCTCATGTCGGAAACAAAACATAGCACACCGTTGCTTGAAGTTGACTTCCCTCATTAGTAGCACTCAACAGAAAAAACTGTTTTAGAGAAAAAATCGCTACGGACAATCAAATGACCCGAGCAAGTTCAAACTTTTACTTACAAAACATATCTTGTACTAAAATCGGATCACATGTTCCCCAGTCTAGCCTCAAAGCCCGCCGCCTCCAGTGTTAAGAAATCGAAAACTACGATGCCAGTCTCATCACTTAATTTACAGACCTCGCATAAAATTGATAATGTAATCACGTAACCATTTTTTCACTATTTTGTACACTTACAATTAATTTAGATTTCTCTTTATTAATGGTAGAGTGCCGATTCCTAGGCCAAACCCTTTTTAAAGATTTTGGCAAATTTCATAGTTTATTGATTGTATAATTTCAAACGTATTGTAACTTTCTTTCTCAGCAGCTCAGTGTTGTGTTCAAATCTTTTGGATACAAATTTTATGGTATTATTAACGACTCTCAGAAATGTTCTCATAAAATATCGTTGATTCCTCGTAGAGTTGGTTTTCTAGGGTCCGCCCATTGGCAATCAGCGCCACTTTGTGGTTTCTCTACGGACTAACCTATATAAGAATACGAGGGTCACGCTGTATATTTTGAGATGCTCATTAACTATACTAGTTAAAACCGCCAACAGTGCAGAAAGTGCAGAAAGAACAGTCCTTTATTAGAAAGTCGCCGCACTCAGTTCATTTGCAAACATGTTACACTGCACGTGGTGTAAACAAATTTAAGACGAAACATGGAGTTGTCTCGAGAGAGTTATCGCGCTATATTTTTATTATGACTTTAAAGTCAGTTTAACTGAGCATCAATGCATCGAACGGTTACAACAGGCATTTGGTAATGATGTTCCGTCCCGTTTAAGTATGTTTCGCTGGTTTGCCGAATTTAAGAGAAGGGCGCCTTTCAATGGCTGATGAAGAACGTAGTGGTAGGCCATGTTCTCGTGTGACTCCAGAAAAAATTGCTAAAGTTCAGCGGATAATTGAAGGAGATTCTCGCTGCACATATGCGACTATAGAGGCAACTTGGGGTACGATCTGCAACAGTGCACACCACATGACCATCTTGATTTAAATTTTTTTTGCATGTAATCCTGCATGACGACAATGCCCCTAGCTACACTGCTCAACTAACTGTAGGCTTTTTACGCCAGCACCACATCAAAATGCTGGAACATCCGCCTTATCCGCCAGATTTGGCAATGTGTGACTTCTGGCTGTTCAAAAATTTGAAAGAAAAAATCTGCGGGTCGAAAATGTTCGTTCGAGAAGAGGAAATCGATCAAGCAATTAATCAGTTTGTTGGAGGCATTCCAAAAACTGACAGGTTAGAAGCATTTCATTTGTGGAAGTCAGGCTACAGAAGTGCATTGATGCTGGAGGAGAATTCTTTGAACATAAATAAACTAGTTTTCGAAAAACAGTTTTTAGTTTTTGTGTATCCCAGAATATATAGCGCGGCTCTCGTATTTGCTTTCATATCAAAATTAGTTCTTTCAAAAAGTTACGTGTTCGGCGTCATTTCACTTTTTCCTGTTGTGGCTGTAGTGCGTGGGTCGTTTCGTTAACTTCCAGATTCTGGGATATTAGGCCCCAAACACCAGTTTATGGGGTAGCACCTTTTATTTTGTACCTTACGTTTAGTTGTTTTGGTTTGGGTGCTACCCCCTCCATTATCTTATGGCATTTCAACTCTCAGCGACTGAAGGCATTCACACTCCGAAAGCTTTGTTTTGTAGCTGCCTTGTAGCTGTTTTGCAGCTGATATTGCTGGAAGCCACCCCTTCCCCTTGAGCAAAAAAACCCTTTTCACATCACTGCGCTCACGATAAAAATCAAGTTGGAAGTCTTATAACTAAGTATTGATTTATTTCAACTTTTGTTTTTATTGTGATCGCGATGGAATAACACTTTTATTTTTATATGTTTTATATGTTATCAGTGCGTGTTATTATCGATTTGAAATAGAAAGTGTTGCGGTCATATAAAAATAATGAATTAAATAATCGAATATTAATTAATTTTGACCAAACAATCCAAAATAGCAAACATTGGGCTTTTAAAGAACAAACAACTACTAAAATAGGAAGAAAAATGTTGACTTTAAAATGCATGTGTTCTAGAATAATCAAATGCATAAATTCCATAGATGCGATCAACTTGAAGTTTGAGATATTTCATGGTCGTAGCCTCCACTTGCTGACCCTGATCCTTTGTCTATTCTCTATTCCAACCACTTCAATCGAGACTATCATTACATTATTATTCACTGATTACTTTTATCTTACTATTATTGTATGATTGCTACATCAAGAGATGTTGTAACCGTAAGTCACTATACAATATGACGATGCTTCTAAAACGTATCTACTGTTTTTTTTTTAGACAAAATAACTATAGCCGATTTCCAACTAGCGACTACCACAATGTGTCTGGAGGCTATAAACTGTGACATCAGTGGATATCCTTTAATTCAGAGATGGTATAACATGTACAAAGTGGAAAACCCAACGCTGTGGAGAATACTTGAGCATGGGATGAACCAGCTTGCATATTTTGAAAAAAATCCGCCTGTTTTGGCTAGCTTAGATCATCCTATCCATCCTGTCAGGAAAAATTAAATCAAACATAATATTAACAAATCGAAACTATAAGTTTCCATTTTTTTTCTTATACTGCGGCCTACTTCCGTAGGCTTTCGATCATTACTTTTTAAAATAGTGCATAAATGTTATACAGCGCTTCAAAATGATGTGCTACAAGACCCCCGCTTTCATATATTTTTTTTCCAAGATGACGCCCAGCGGCCATCTTGATATTTTCATCTGTCAATTTTACTCTAAAATATGGTATCCACGCATCAATTCCATTACCTCAAGTTTTAGTTTTATGAATTGATCCGTTCAAAAAATCAAAGAGGAGGGGGACATTAAAGAAAAGCACTATATATGTAAGATTTAGTATAATTCTTGACAGTAATGTAATATCCAGAATTGTGATCAAATCAAAACTATTAACTAGTTTGTCAAGCAGATCAAAGCAGATGGTTCTTGATTGCTCTTTTGGATCCAACTAGAGCTTTGCTTTTGCTAGTATCATTTAGAGCATTATACATATTAACAGCATTGCAGGTGAAGCTACGATGGAAAGTCTTAGTTCTATAACTACGTACGTTGAATCCGGAGTTGTGTCTGAGATTTCTGGGTTTGAGATCATCACGTACAAGCGTGTTTAAAAGATAAGTAGGTACCCTATTTGGACTAAGATGAGCAGATGATATATAAAAATCTGGTCAACCCTCAACCATCCCAACTCATTCATCTTTTGAGATTTGCTAAAGTTTCACAGATCATACACGAACCTACAGCAGTTATTTTTAATTATTTGTACTCTACATCTGGTCATGTAATAAAAAACAACAAAAATAACCAACAATTGAATAATTTCTTAACCATCACCAGAGTTTCAGCTAGTTTTTTGCGAGTATGGAAGTTCAAAATGTGTCGATTAGACTATAAAATCTTCAAACGCATGTATGATAAGATAAATTTGTAACATGTTGCTTAAACCTCAACTCTGTATTCATATCGACTCCTAAATTTTTTGTATAGTCTACGTTAGGAATAGATGCGGAGTTACACTTTAAGGTTGCTGGTGTTACCTATTTGGATAGCACACAAATTCTAACTATATATAGATCACGAAATAGAGACTTCTATATATTCTATAATAAGCTTCAAATACTACTTAGCACTTTAGACTATAAGCACAATATAATCATATCTGGTGATTTTAATTTTAAATTTAACACTCACGACAGGCATGCCAACGTGTTATTTGTGTTTCTTTTGGACTGTATCAGACTGTGAATGTGAATACTAGGCAGAATGCTTGTATAGATAATATTTTCAACAATATAAACATGTCAAGCATAGTTTGAGAAGCCTTTGATACATGTTTTTCTGACCATTTAGGTATTGCATTTCATTTTAATTTGAACATTTTAAAACCTGTGAGGAAGAGAATAAACTACAGGCCTATCACTGATGATGGTCTTTTCAAATTATACAGTAAAATTGAAACAGTCGACTGGATCTTTGTGTCTGATATTAGTTTACCACTGACCACTAAACTCGAACGATTCATAAACATCTTAACAAATAATGTCGCTGAGTGCTTGCCAATCAAATCTAGGTTAGTATCAGAGGGTTGTCCCATCAAAATCAACTGGTTTGATCACGAATTGGCTCAGATGAGAGAGAATTTGAAACTAATAACACAAATTAATAAAGGTAGTATCAAAGAAAGAGATTAATCTATTCAAATCTAAGTACCGATCAGAAATCAGAGTTAAGAATAAAAATTATCATGATAAATATATACGTAGAACATCGAATAAACAAGCAGCTATGTGTAATGTGACTAAAGCCAATGGTGTGCAATCGTCAAAATCCCAGTCGTCTGCTCTCAACGCGAATGATTTAAACTCTTTCTTCGTCAGCGTTGCTGAAACCATTATTGCTGAAATTCTAGCTACCCAGTCGAACTTTAAAGATTTCATACAGACTAGTGATACACTACATTTCAACTTTCGAACTGTTTCATTCAATGATGTTCGAGGCGCAATCAGAAGCTTAAAGAATTCTAAGAGTAAAGATCCTTATGGCATCGACGATAAAATTATGAAGACCTTAAATAACTTGATAGTATATCCTATAACAAAATTGACAAACATGTGTATAGAAAATAATGTCTTTCCTGCCTTATTACAACTTGCAAAGATTATGCCACTCTTCAAGAAAGGATGTGAGAATGATCCATGTAATTTCAGACCCATTTCTATATTAGCAATTATAGCAAAAATTTTCGAAATACTTCTGAAGAATCAGATATGTGAATACTTCGAAGGTAACAATTTATTCTGTAACAACTAGTTTGGATATCGTACCAACAGATCAACGAAAGCAGCAATAAACGATTTTATCAGTTTCATCAACAAATGTCTGGAAGATAACATGTTTGCTCTCGCTAACTTCTATGATCTTACAAAAGCATTTGATTGTGTCCAACATCCCATTTTGATTCAAAAGTTGTCGCTATATGGTTTTAGTAATAACAGCCTGTCCTTAATTGCGTGTTATTTATCAGACAGAAGACAGTATGTTAGTTTTCAAAATTGTTTATCTAACAATGTACTTATTAAGCACGGAGTTCCCCAAGGAAATGTCTTGGGACCGATTCTTTTTTTGATTTACATCATGATCTGCCAAACTGTAGCGTCAATCAATATATATTATTTGCGGATGACACCTCCAATAGTAACTTTGACCATGAATTAATCGATTCTAAGCAGCATTTTCACAACATTCAAAACTGGTTTAATGCCAACAGTTTGTCAATCAACATAACGAAAACTCACTCTGTTATACTCAGTACTCGTCCACATAGAAGTAATTTAGTAGAACCCGTGAAATGTCTCTGAGTGATTATTGATGCAAGCTTAACTTGGGAATAACACATCACCTCTTTATCAAAGAAGTTATCTAAAATAACATATGATACGTAGTTTAAATACCTACGTAACAAAATCGACTTTAATGACAGCCTATTATGCTTACTTCCAATCTAAATTGCAATATTACATATTGATTTGGGGTCATTCATGTCATGTATCGAAGGTGTTTGCTGTTCAGAGACGATACTTGAGAATAATAGCAAACTTGCATTTCAGACAGTGTTTCAAGACGACATTTATCGACCTAAAAATTTTAACTGTGCCATGTATATATACTGGAATGTCTGATCCACGTTAAAAATAGTTACGATGATTACAGAACTCCGAAAGAGATTCACAAATATAACACAAGGTTCAACAATGATTTAATACCAGAGTACACAAGACTATCAAAAACTAGACACGGAAGTAACTATTCCGGCGTGAAATTTTTTAATGCGCTGCCCAGGTTTTGTCACACACACAACTCAACCATTTTTAAAGCAACTGTGAACAGATATCTAGTATAATTATTGTTAACTATTTGTTTTATTACTTTGTTTTCGTTTGTGTTTTTGTGTATGTGTTATTTTTGTATTATATTTTATTGTTCTCCATACGTGTGTAAGGACTTTTGAGTACAAACATGAAAAAATTATATTATTATTTCATAATTTTTTTTACTTTTTATTGCCACTTTGTGTTTTACGTTTGCCTTATTTTCGTATTGATTGTTGTTTTTACTTACTCTCTTATGTTCTACTCTAACTGACCTGTGCAAACACATTTTTGTGTAATGGTACCAATAAATTATTATTATTAAATTTATATTATTAAAACTAAGGACAATTGTTGCCTCAGAACGTTGCAATAACTGCTTTGGGCCAAATAGCAAAGCAAAACATTTTGTAACATTGATCTTTAGTCTTTTACAGTAGTTTTCAATATTAACTAGATATTGACACTTCATGCAAGTGAAATGAATCAAAAGAGAGTGACATCAGAGTGTCGTGTGCGTAAGCTAATCACAAGTATAAGCTTAGTAGAGTGATGGTCCCAACACGGAGCCTTGAGGGACACGAGAACCGGAACATTATCCGCCGATGAAACACCCTTACATGTTTTCACCATCTCGGAGCGACTGTTCGAATATGATTCGAAGGAACATGATAGCTTGTCAGGAAGACCATAAAATTTAGCTTATTCAAGGGAATATCATGAAGTACCAGATCAAAGGCCTTAAATAAGTCTAGCAGAATCAGAGCAGTTGCGAACTAATCATCCACATTTGATGATTTCATCCGTAACGTTTAATAATGTCGTGCTATGATCGGTACGGAAACCAGAGTGATACTGAGGAATTATTTTGCTCGAAATACTGGACCAGTTGAATATAGACGATTTTCTCGGGGATCTTTGACAAAAAGCACAACATGCTGATAAACATCCGATATAACTTTCACACAGTCTAGTAATAGTGAAAGTGTTTATTTTACTCATGGACCACATCCATAAATCCAATATTACACGTCCCTGAAGTTAGCTTCAGATTGAGATTCGAATATGATGAAATTACAGTCGACCAGCTCAGTAGTGAGCTCAAATCGCCGATATGCTAGAAATCTGATATTTTTAGCTCCTGAGGGTTGTTTTGTGTTATCAAATAAGGCTTTTAAAGAAATTATTCTAGATAGTATCCCAAAGTTCGATATTATCGGTGGTGGAGTGCACGGGAAAACGAGAACAGCACAAAAAATTGGAAAGACTTAAAGGTAACATGTGAGAAAGGTTTTCGTAATATCGTACATTGGTTCAAATCTCGCTTACTAACCATTAACTATGACAAAACATATTTTATGATGTTTTCATCCTATCCCAATCACCGCCCGGCAAACAGCTAAATGTCAGTAATGAGACAATTACCAGAACCATGAAGATAAAATACTTATGAGTTTTAATAGATGCACACCTTCGTAGGGACACTCACATTGAACATGTAGTGAGAAAACTGCGATTCCTTATCTACAAAATTAGACACCTTAAGCAATACCTAACACTTCAGTAACTTAGAATAATATATTTATTCATTAATCGAAAGCCATATCAATTATAGTATAATAGTTTGGGGCTCTGCTAACAAGACTCATATAGATCAGCTTTAGAAAATCCAAAAATTGATGCTCAAAACAATATATGGTATAATCGACCAATGACTTACCCTAGCGATATAATCTATCTAGAAACTAAAATACTTGACATTCGACAAGCACGCTTCTTCCAGGTCGTCACAGAACAACACAGAAACAAGGTCGCAGTAGGTTACACAAGAAACGAAGAAAACTTAGGAGTACCATTACCAGAAAAAAACATTACAAAGATCATATGCATTCTTAGTTCCAAGATGTAAAAATTTACTTCCTACCTGAAATAAAGAAGAAAAATAATATAAATAGATTCAAAACTGACGTAAAGGAATGGATACTGTCAAAAAATCGTTCATTCTTTTATGATGCGATTGATGTAAAGAACAGCTATCTAAAATAATGGACAAAAAAATACATAACTATGACAAATCTAATCCCCGATTGAGACATTAATAGTTAAAATCGTTGATGTAAAATAGACAAGAAGCATCCTTAATGTACTTACCAGCCCATAACCCATAATCTCATAAAATCAATCACTATATCATCCCTTCTAATGTATTTTTTGCTCTTTTGTATGTGTATTTATATCGTATCACTGATAATAATTAAAACTTAGATTTTCCTTATTTAGCATACTTTTATTTGTCTATCCATATTTTATTAATTTCAGTTAACGTACAATATTATCTTTTATATATGTTATGTTTATCTCCCTTAGTGGTTAGTTAGCAATTACCACCTACGCACAAGGAATGTATGATGTATGTTCCTTTCTATGGGTACTTTATTTATTCGAGTATTTTGTGATAGATGCTCATGCAGTTGTAAATGTGGATACCGAATAAATTATTATTGTTAGCTTTTTCGCAAAGCTATGCTATAAAGTTGTACTCCTATAAGGTCTCTACAACATTTATGAGTTTGTTGGTGGCACAATTCTTCGTTTGGGTTCTGAGGTTTTTTCTGTTTTAAGGAGGCAACCCTTGTATGCGCAGAATCACCCTGCGTTTTCGCAAAGCTATTACCCTCTCCAGACACACGCGGTACGAATCCCGAAATTTGTTCCTACAGTTCCACACTCGCAGATGTACGCGCCTGCTTCACAGTATAGTTCGCGCTCTTGACGAATATTTATGGTGAAATTGCTACTGCTGCTGCAGGGCTACTTTGCGCGTTGGCAATTTATATTTGCGCATATATAAGTAAAACTAGAGCAATTGAAAAGAAGTGGAAAAAACACAACCATTCCCGGCACTCGCTATGAGGCAATTGAAACACCAGCGAATGAAGAGCCTAGTCATGTTCGCGCCTTGCGAACCCCTTGTCGCGGGATTCGCGCGGGACTCTGGAGAGGACATACAGGTATTATACCCTCTCCAGACTCACGTGCGAATCGCAGACGAATCCGCGAACTACCCGCGACCCATGAGTGTGGATCCCATTCGCGTATTCTTCGCGGCTTCATGTCGCGTTCGCGCGTTGTTCCCGTTTGTTGTCGATTTTTTGTCCCGCGACAAAGGGTTCGCAAGGCGCGAACATGACTAGGCTCCTCATTCGCTGGAGGCTCAGTTGCCTCAGACCGAGTGCCGGGAGTGGTTGTGCGCCATTTTTTGAGTAAAAGAATAAAAAACGTTCTATTGTCCGAGAAAATTAATGTAATAATTGAAGAATGCAATTTAGCAATAAATATCTAGTTGCTCTGGAATATGTCACCGGCTTTTGACATCTGACGGGCACGGGGACAGTTTTCGGGATTCGCACCGCGATCCGCGCCGCGATTTCACGCCTTGATCCGCGCGTGAGTATGGAGAGGGTAATACGATTCTACGTTTGGGTTCTGCGAATGTTTTTCTGTTTTGAGGAGTTAACTCTTGTATGCGCAGAATCACCCTGTAGTTAAAGATGTATGCGGTATTTACAGCAACAGTGCAATTAGGCCTAATATCAGTATGAGTGTTATGTAAGGAACCATTTTTGGTATTTTGCCTATTAAGATAGCACACTAGTGCCTGTTGTCGTTTCCCAGTTCAGTCCACCACTGGTAATATCAAATTTTGGGATACTATCTAAAATAATTTGTTTGAAAGCCTTATTTGATAATAAGTAACATAAAACAACTTCGAGAGCTTAAAATACCAGTTTTCTAGCATATCGACGATTTCAGATCACTACTGAACTGCTCGACTGTAATTTCATCATATTCCAATCTGAATCTGAAGCTAACTTCAGGGACGTCAATATTACCTATTTAATAACGTAATTTAAAAGCTGTAAAGGATACGCCACTTCCTTTTTCCAAGCCTTCCTATGCAACATAGATTCATTACCGCGGCATATTATTAATAAACCGAGTAAAAGTTGTCCGACCTTGAGCTCAAACTACACTTTTTAACGTTTCAGAGACGTGATCATTTTCAGAAACATTTTTCTATAGGTTCAAAATTGGAGGCTGGGGGTACTAAGCGGTAGGGGAGGGTAATCTCAATTATGTTAGTATATTTATATGCTTTCAGCCCCGTTAATTCTATACACCTATTAGACATATTTCAAACATCATTAACTTCTCCGCACATTTGCCCTGAAAACTTGAAATGATAGACACACTTTTTTATACGCCTACTTTCCTCTGCTGTCTGGGCTTACCGAAGGGCGTGCCGGTCTTCGCAGTTGTCCTGACATTACTACCGCTGTGGCGCGTCTGACTTGTCGTGCAGTCAGGTATCGGAGAGAGGCGACGTTGCCAGATGGACGAGGCAAACCGATATGGCAGGGAAAGAATGCATATCGACTATCAGACAACCTACTTGACTCCATTTTTAATCATATTTCAGAAAAACCCACAGAAGGAAATTTCTGTATTGGATGACAATGGATTCTTGTTAGGCGAAAGGTTAGTGGAACATGCGTCGTTCTTTTTATTATAGAGTTCCTTTCAAAGTAATAAAAACATATGAACCTCTTATACATTTAAACGTTTTCTTAAGTTAACTTTTACATCTGACGGGCACGGAGACAGTTTTCGGGATTCGCACTGCGATCCACGCCGCGATTTCACGCCTTGATCCGCGCGTGAGTGTGGAGAGGGTAAGACGATTCTACGTTTGGGTTCTGCGAATGTTTTTCTGTTTTGAGGAGTTAACTCTCGTATGCGCAGAATCACCCTGTAGTTAAACATGTATGCGGTATTTACAGCAACAGTGCATAAGGCTTATATCAGTATGAGTGTCGTGTAAGAAACCATTTTTGGTATTTTACCTATTAAGATAGCACATTAGTGCCTGTTGTCGTTTCCCAGTTCAGTCCACCACTGGTAATATCAAATTTTGGGATACTATCTAAAATAATTTGTTTGAAAGCCTTATTTGATAATAAGTAACATAAAACAACTGTCGGGAGCTTAAAATACCAGTTTTCTAGCATATCGGCGATTTCAGCTCACTACTGAACTGCTCGACTGTAATTTCATCATATTCCAATCTGAATCTGAAGCTAACTTCAGGGACGTCAATATTACCTATTCAATAACGTAATTAAAACCTGTAAAGGATACGCCACTTCCTTTTTCCAAGCCTTCCTATGCAACATAGATTCATTACCGCGGCACATTATTAATAAACCGAGTAAAAGTTGTCCGACCTTGAGCTTGTTTCAAGCTAATCTCCCACATTATATTGAAAAAGGAATTACACACTTCTCTGCTATCGCAGTGTCAGTGTGTGTATCTTTTAGTTTAAAATTGTTATCTTTGGCAACTGGTGAGTATTTACATATTTAGAAAATTCATTTTTTCATCTATTCGACAGTCTTCTATTTTTAAACGACCTCCTGCTTTTTCGCTAAAAATAGGTAGTGCATAAAATGGTACTAACTTTGTACGCTGTTTCCGATGGACCTCCATCTCTTGCAGTGAGGCAAGCATTGAAGTATCTCAATTTGGAACACAATTTGGTAAATGTGGATTTTGGAAAGGCAGAGCATATGACTGATGAATTTGCACAGGTAACGTAAAATAAAATATCCTACCATTTTGTTTTAATTTGGAAAAATAATGAAAGGAAGTGGTATATGTATGAATAAGGATCATGGATCGATGAGTGATAATATAGTCTTCGTATCCGCTCGGAAAAACATTATCTGACCTGACTGGGTTTATCGCATAAAGTCATTCAAAAAGGAATGAATCTGCATGTTGCCAAGTCCAACACCGCTCCAAGAATTTTTTAACCATTTGTTTGAAAGGAATTCCAGAAATTGTGTTTTTTATCCGGACAAAGCTTTTTTAGAGGATTTTTGGGTCATTCTGACAAAAAACACTATGGAAAACGAAAATATTGATATTTCCAAAATTCATAAATATTCTTCGAACATTGATGAATTAGAATCTCAAAGTACTTTAGGTAGTATTGAAGACCGGCGAGGAAGTAATTTGTAATCGCGAAAAATTTTGAAAATTTTATATTTTTATATATTATATGACATGTACGTCATGAAAAAACATGTCACTCATTTCCATCGGCCTATCTGTCGGTCTGTCTGCTAATCTTTGGCACGTCTATAACTGGTTGATTTTGTGCCAAGGATGAAAAATCTTTGAAGTTTTTGGAAATCGGGTTAGCGGTGGAGGAGCTATGGACCAAAAAACGAAAAAAAAATATAAATCGCTCAAACTACACTTTTTAACGTTTCAGAGACGTGATCATTTTCAGAAACATTTTTCTATGGGTTAAAAATTGGAGGCTGGGGGTACTAAGCGGTAGGGGAGGGTAATTTCAATTATGTTAGTATATTTGTATGCTTTCAGCCCCGGTAATTCTATACACCTATTAGACATATTTCATACATCATATACTTCTCCGCACATTTGCCCTCAAAACTTGAAATGATAGACACATTTTTTTATACGCCTACTTGCCTCTGCTGTCTGGGCTTACCGAAGGGCGTGCCGGTCTTCGCAGTTGTCCTGACATTACTACCGCTGTGCCGCGTCTGACTATCAGACAACCTGACTATCAGACAACCTACTTGACTCCATTTTTAATCATATTTCAGAAAAACCCACAGAAGGAAATTCCTGTATTGGATGACCATGGATTCTTGTTAGGCGAAAGGTTGGTGGAACATGCGTCGTTCTTTTTATTATAGCCTTCCTTTCAAAGTAATAAAAACATATGAACCTCTGATACATTTAAACGTTTTCTTAAGTTAACTTTTATAAAAAAACATGATTCTTTGAATTCGTGACCATTAATTATTATTTATATAAATTTTAAGTAATTCATTATTATTTTTCAGCAATGCCATTCTTCAATATTTAGCAGAAAAATACTCAAAGGATGAAACATTATATCCAGAAGACCCTCAGGGTCGTGCGATTATAAACCACAGGTTGTGCTTCAATCTCTCTACATATTATCGATACATTTCTGAATATGTTGTAAGTATAAACCAAATACGAAGAATTAATGTAAGCAAGGCCTAAGATGGTCTTATGAACACGTACTTATAGAGCCATAAATTAACGAATTCTTTCTAAAGATAGCCAACCTAACGCTCGCTTCCCGCGTGCAAAAAAATATCAAAGATAAAATGAGATACAATTATTATACTGAGAGCGCCATCTATATGAAAGACTAACCTTTTCAAAGTTTATGTGTTATATGTGACCAATTCTCATACATGACGCACCGTATCTTCTATCTTTATATCGGCTAATTTTTTAACGCAAGAATATAGCATTAGACTGACTAAGATCTAGTCGAATAGTAATTCGTTAATAAGGCCCGTTAACATAGCTCACCTGAAGTTGAAATTTCTCAGATGGCTCCGATATTTTTCGACTACAAAAGGACACCATTAGGTTTAAAGAAAACAAAGATCGCATTGGATAACTTCAACACTTATTTGAAACAACTGGGGAGCAAGTACGCTGCCGGGAGTAAGTATTATGAGATTTCGTCCTATTTATATTTGGAAGAGGCAATTTAAAAACCAATGTCTACCATCACATATAAAATATGTCTTGTGTAGGTAATCATAAAAAAGTCAAAAGTTTTGGAGGCAAGCTAAAAGACGCATAAGTTTTATCACCATCCATTTTACATGGGGTTTTTAAGAGGAATGTGGAGGGAATCTGAATAGCCCTTATCTCGGGGGAACTATATTGCACTAGTTATACAGCAGTATTATGCGGATTGCCTGAATCTTAAACATCACTTAATTTTCAAACTCAGAGCCTTGGAGGATACTTCAGCCAGACCTGCTAAAGTTAAAAGAATGCTCTAGATTCTTCATTTAATTTTTAGCATTTCTGATTGTGATTTCAGATAATGTGACGATAGCCGATTTTCAACTTGTCGCCGCCACAATGTGCTTAGAGGCCATAAATTTCGACATTAGTGATTATCCATTGGTTCAACAGTGGTATGAGACCTACAAGAAAGAGCATCCTGATCTATGGAAAATTGTGGAAGGCGGCATGAAAGAAATCGCTGAATTTGAGAAAAACCCACCAGATCTGAGTCATATGGAACATCCCATTCATCCTGTTAGGAAATAAATCAAACATTTTCCAAAAACACAATTTTGTATGCACACACTTTTATATTCATTGTTATATTTTTTCATACTCATTTTGAATTATTTCTTACGCATCACGCTCATAAATAAACACTTATTAATCTGATTTTGTTGATTATCTATACCTCTATCTGCTCCTCTGTAATAGCAATATTTCACACATATCGCTTTTGACAACGTTGCAAGAAAATTGATTATTAAAAAACCAAGTGTGCTGGAATTCCAGAATCGGCAAGAAATAATTTGACAAAGCAGTTATAATTCCCCGCCAATTTAATGACAGCGGCTGGGCTCTCATACCTCTTCACGATTCTGTGATCCTGGTAGAAAGTCTGGTTATTTTGAAGAATGAGAGGACTACTTCTTAGGGTTTCACCGCTTCTCTTCATTTCTGGGATCCTGACAGCAAATTTTTACTTACTATGTTGGACGGAACTTCTGATCAAATAGGTATCTGGTTACAAAAAATGTATCAGGATAACAGAGACGGTAAGAGATAACTGGACACGGCACTTTTGAAGCCCGCCAATTCTATACTAGGAGCAAGACTTTTAAACCTCTGGTGATCCTGGTAGGAAAAGTTTACTCAACAAATTTAAAGGTTTTGCAAAAATTTAGAGAAAAAATACTTGTATTTTTTAAGCACAAATTTGGATCAGACATGCAACTACTAGACTTTTGTATCACGATTGCAGAAGCGGCGAGGGATAATTAATTCCCCACTCTTTTCATATTAGTGAAAGAAGTTTAGCTCTCAAGTTTCTGTGATCCTGGTACTAATATTTCATTTACTGAATTTGATGATTTTGCAAAAAGAGCGAGGTGTGACATCTGACAAGACAACTAAAAGTGAGTGGAATTACATGGTCACAAACCAAAATTTATATCAGGAGGCATTTTCTCACTTCTATATTCGTGATCCTGAAATTTTCAATGTGACAGTTTTTGGAATTCTTTTGAGATAGTCGCCACCCTGCCGAGTTGTCAATAACTGTCATCACCGTGTCAAGACAAAAAACGCGATGTTCAAATTCCAGTGGTATTATTTACCAGCAGGCCTTAAATGCCTGCACACGCAGCAACAGATGAAGAGAAATGGTGATCCAATGCTCGGGTTTCTTATGTCGCGGCGAAAATGAGGCTTCAATAGGGTTCAGGAATAAAATTCCATTCTCCTTACAACATAGTCTTTATTATAAAACAAAAATATAGCAGAACACATTTAACGCTTCCTGCGCAGCTGGAGGCTGTTTCTGCGCAGCCATGCTGCCCTCTGGGATCCACCCTTGGTTTGCGAGTAGCGGTGACCCTTGCCCAAACCACGCGACGATTTGCCAGCAGATGTTTTGCCGCGTAATTCACGGTGTTTGTGGACAGCATTGACCAACCAGTTGATTTTAGGATCGCGACGAATAGCCTGCAAGAATGAAGACAAATATGTCACTAGTTGTCCTCACTGAAGACTGTAGTTATCTACACGAGTTGTGTTGTGTGACAACATAAATATCTTCCATTGACACTTGATACAAGGTTAATTAAGCAAAGAATATAGAGGGAATGAAAACTGGAAACGTTAGATGTAAAATGTTTGTGCTCTTTTCTAGGTCTAGCTTTTTTCTATTTATCATTCTTGACCGCCCTGTATAAACTGTCAAAAAAACTGAAAATTAAGTAGATAGTAACAAAATATGGAATGATAAAGTTCTTCTCACAAAAAATTCAGTACTCTAGCTATAACAGTTGCAGAAGTGCAGGTTGTTAAAGTAGAATGTTTTATTCAATAGTGTGTCCAATATCTAACAATTTGAAAATAAAACCCTATAGTATGCTGTATCAAATTGCTTTGCATGAAAGGGCCCATCCAAATCTTCAATTAAATGTAAGGCTTTCCATTAAAAAAATGGATGTTTAGGTCACCTTGTAGATGAAAAATGTTTTCCAATCATACTGTTGGCTACAATTTCTGTAATTAAATTTTTTGGACAGCATGTATAATAATGAAAATGAGCACCCTAATTAAAATTGGTACTTAACAAAAGATGTTTATAAAAATCAGCAAAAGCTTTAACTATAATAAGGAGTATTTTTTCTCAAGGACTTGTCTATTATTGGAGCATCTTTAATATCTCGCAACTTTAGGAAAACGCATATATCGTTTTTATATTTTGAGTTAAAGTACACAAACTACGACGATACAGAGGTAATAGGTAAGATCAGTTTTTCATGTCTTCCAAAAATAAAGATGATATAGTTATGCAGAGATCCAGTTTTAATAATTTAGTTTTCTCAAGCTAGTGGTAGAGAAAAATGATTCTGAATATTTAATAGCAATCAAGTCGTCACATGTTAATTTGATCAAGATTCTGAAAAAAATGATATAGGAAATACTTACATTATGTGCAGGATCCACACAGATAACTTCATAATATTTATATGAAGAGTCTTGTCCTACCCAATATGAGTTCAGAACCCTCAAACCACCACACCTTCTGCCAACACGTTCCTAAAATAACAGAAAAAAGAGAAAGTAGTCTTCAAATTATTGCTGCTAACAAGGCTTTACAGATTTGTAAGGTCAATTTCTATATTCAAATTAATACATTATACAAAATGAACTTATTCATTAGATCGTTGATTAAGGTATAGTATGATCATTCTTTTGCATTACTGTGAAAGAGATTGGATTTAGGAGAATAAATGCAATATTCAAAGCAATGCAACAGTTACTTTGGATTTGGACATTTTTCATTCAATATTTTAATGCAACACTAAATATGATTTTTTTTTTTATTATATCGAACCAGCCACGCAGGCAGAAGCCTAGATGCCGGAACACCGCGGTTGCTATGATGATAACAAAGAAATTTTGTTTTTACGATTTTTGAACTGCATAAAAGTTAGTAGAACTGGGAAAAGCTTCCTCTTGTAGATTGTTCCACAATCTCGACGCCCTCGGGACAAAGGAGCAGTCGTATCGGCCAGTTCTGGATGTACGAAGTTCGACACGGTTAGGATGGGACGCCAAAGTCAGGCGGGTGTGTCTGGCAGGCAGCAAGAGAGCTCTGAGGAGCAAACCCCGTTGGTGTAGCGATAGAAAAGAACTATATCGCCGACGGCCCGCCGGTGCGAAAGAGTCCCGAGACTGTCAGAGAAGAGTCATCGATCAGTCGGACCGCCCTCCTCTGGACATCATCGAGCATGGATAATCAAGTCGGGGCGGCATCACCCCAAACGTGTGCGCAATACTCGAGCCTAGGCCTTATCTGGGCCTTGTATAGAGTGAGAAGGACATGCGGAGAAAAGTACTTCTTAGCCCTAAACAAATAGCCTAGCTTTTTCCCAGCAGCTGCAGCTATTGACGAGATGTGTTCGTGCCAGATCAGGTACTCGGTGATCTGGACTCCGACCAGCCGAAATGAATGGCTCTTTGGCAGAACTCGGCCGTCCATCGAAACTGGATGAGCGCTAGGACGCTTTTTGTTCGTCAAAGTACAGTACTGTGTTTTGGAAGCATTCAACTGTACAAGATTGTTGCGTCCCCGAGCAGTGTTAGCCTCCAGGTCTCTTGTCAGAGAGGAAGTCGTCGCTAGTCTTCTTTTTTCCAGCTCAGCGGCAAAGATCGGCTTGTCACTCTGAATTCCTGCATGTAGAGTGCTGTCATCAGCGAAGCTGTGGATTAGGTTGATCATGGAGGAAAGGAGGTCGTTGATATGTAAGAGGGCCAAGACCGCTCCCTGGGGAACACCCGCGTTGACGTTGTGGGATCAAGAGGAGAACCCGTCAATTACGACGGATATCTTGCGGCCAGAGTCAGTCACCCGTCTGCAAAGCTTTTCTGGGAGGCCAAAGGATGGAAGTTTTCTTAAGAGGGCAGCGTGCCACAGCTGATCGAACGCTTTCGTGATGTCAAGAGCAACGACATGAGCATCACCATAAGACTGGATGAGTTTACTCCCTGTGGATCCTTGGTACCGGAAACCCAAACCATACTGCCAGTCGCTAATCAAGATGTGACATTCGAGGTAGTCCAGAAGCTCGCGATTTATGCACCTCTCCATCACCTTAGTTATAACAGAAAGCAGAGCTATAGGCCTGTAGTTGTCTATGAATACTTGTGTATTTTTTCTATGATCAATAAAGATTATTATTATTATTTGTTGATGTCGAGCAGCAAGAGCACTCGTCTTACGGTCTTATGCCTGAAGGTTACCTCCCTCATAGTGTAGGGAACCCTTTGAATTGACGGCACTTGGGCGTTGGGGGGGACGTCCATGGTGGAGTTGTCAGCAAAGATCTTGGCTAGCACTTCCGCCTTGGCCTTTGTGTCGAATACAATAGTTCCATCCTGACACGTAAGTGGTGGAAGGCTACTGCGTGAGAAGTTCTTTTCAATCTGCTTGGCCAGCGTCCAGGAAGACCGAGTGCAATTGCGCTGCGACATTACCCTGTGCCTAACTTTTATATCGTGCTGGTTTGTGGTATTGAGAACCGCTTCGTTATATTTGTTTCTCGACTCGACGTCGGCTTGTCTGTTCTCTACAATGGGGTTTTGTAAGAAGATTCTGTGTACCTTGATCTTCTGCCGGCGAGCAGTGTCAAACGATATGTTAAACCAGCCGTTGGTCCCTGGTTTAGGCACTTTCACTGTGTGAGGGATGTATTCCTCCATTCCGTCGTGGATAATTTGTTATCGAAGAACAGACAGCCGACGCATCCGCGTCAGTGAAATAGACATCTCTCCAAGAGAAGAAGTCTCTGAGCCCCTCCCAGTCGGCATGTCCGTAATGCCAAGTTTTGCGCCGTGTGCGTGTACGAGTTTCTGCTGCCACAGCAGGTTCTGACCGAAACCTAACCTCCACAACACCGTGGTCTGAGTTACCCAAGGGGGACAGAGCATTGCTATAAGGGAAAGGATGCGTGTTCAGAAAGAGATCCATCAGGCTACTGGCGTGTGACGAGACGCGGGGGAAAAAAGTAGGGCTCGTCACCAGCTGGGTCAGCCATTGAGTAAGAGCGAACACTTCGACTGCACCACCTGCTGCATCGGTCTTGTTTGAGCACAACCAAAGCTCATTATGGGCAGTAAAATCACTGAGAAGAACTACCTCTGAAGCGGGGTGATTGATGTTCAGGAAGTCGATCTGGATGGCAAGGTATTCTAGTAGGTCATCCCAGTTATGGTCCGAGGGAGAGCAATAAAGGCAGCAAATAAATTTGGGTGATATTTCGCAGTTGAGACAAAGCCACAGAATCTCCTTCCAGTCTGATTTCAAAAAAACATCTCTGAAGCAGGAAAGACTGCTGCCGACAAAAGCCACAACTCCCCCGTTCTTTCTCAGATTGGAGTGCAAGATTACAATAAACTATATCTCATACATAGCCTGTGTGGTATATCTTAATATATCTGGTAATTCTCTAGCTTAGCTACACCAGCCTTTATTGTTTCTCTATCCAAATAGGCACTTGGTTTGGGTTGTAAATGATGGAAATGATATTAAAAATGCCTGAAAAGGTGTTAGTTGCAGAATACTGTTGTTATTATCTGGGTTTTAAAAGGTATAAACACCTTCTTAATCACCACATTTGCAGAATGGAGTTGATCCTATACATACCACAACATTTCCATATTTAAGAAATATAAGAAAATTAATGAAAATAGATATTTCCACATGTAGAAGCTCTCCTTCTAGTCTAGATTTTGGCCCCCTTTGAGTCACAGCACATTAGACATTATGTAGGTTGTGTGTAGATCGAAGTCATACATACAAATTTAATTATCAAGAATATCCAGTAACACAAAAACCTATGAAGTATTGAAATCTGGCATCATTACACACTCTTTAAAAATATTTTATAACTTTTATGTTTGCGCTCATTTTCAGTCCCATTTCTTTCATCTACACCCACTAACTAGGGTCTGAAATCATGTTTTCATCAAAAATGGCTGGTAAAGCTAAGCTATAAAATTACCATAACAAATCCTAACCTAATAGCTATTAAGATTATACTTGAAGTAAGACAAAACAACCATTCAAATCTAAATCAAGAGGGCCACCCTAAGAAAATGAATGTCAAAATGCAGTAAATACACAATGCCCTATTTATGCAACCTTAGTCATTTCTGTCTAACCAGTATTTGAATGCCAGACACCTCATTTCAAATTCGTTTATACTGTTTCGGCTAAAACCCTTGAAACAGATATTTAATCCCTTTAAAGTTATGTCCCAGGATAAAATATAGACTATGTGCTATTCCAGACTATAATGTGTGACTCTGTATCAAATTTAATCTAGATCCATTCAAACATTGGGGCATGATTGAGAAACAAAAATCCACACTTTCTCATTTGTAATATTAGTAGGGATGTTTCATACCTCAGCAATAGATTGCAAGTTACGCACAGGTTTTAATTCATTAACTCCATGACTTTTTGGTTTGCCATAAGTTGCTCCTTTTGGTACTGGGCGCTTGCGACCTCCACGTCGTACCCTAATGCGGTAGATTACATACCCTAAAAATGGCACCTCAATTAGAACAGCTATAACATCAGTGACAGAAAAGTATCATTTTGTGATTAAAGTTTTACAAACGGTTCCAACATGATAGTTCATCTACGTGTGAATAAACAAATAATCATACAGAACACCTACCTTGTTTAGCTCTGTAGCCCAATCTTCGTGCCTTATCCGGGCGGCTAGGCCTGGGGGCTCTATGCAACTTGGTCAGTTGACGGTATTGCCATACTCTAATTCTAAGTAAGAACCTAAGGACATCGCTTTGCTTCTTGCGATACAGCTCTTGCACGTATTTGTAAGCCCCCATACTGGAAACCTGAAAATTAATACATATGAAGAGTAGGTAACCTAAAAGCAATCAATTTAATTATTTGCCTAGTAGATCTGTGTTTTCAATGAAATATCAACATAAGGTGATCAAATATACTTTAAAGTAACCAAATTTAAAACATTTTGAGTAAATTTGTTTGAGATTATTGAGAAAAAGAAGAATTCCGTAATTTTTGCATACCTACAAAATACAGGGGAAAATGGAAGGAAATAAACACGTGTGACAGATGTCAGGAGTCAAAATGACAATTCGGAATTCAGTGTCAGTCAGCGTCAGTACAGTCGGTTATAAAGAAAACTAGATAAAGGCTCAACCACGTAATGAAATTACTCCAGCATAGATAGCGCACTGCAGTAATGAATCTACCTCTGTATAGGTGGCGCTGAATAATATTTACCTAGTACTATTCTCTTATACCCTCTCCAGACGCACGCACGGATCGCGCGCGATGCCACGAACTACCCGCAACCCATGAGTGCGGATCGCATTCGGGTATTCTTCGCGGCTTCACGTCGCGTTCGCGCGTTGTTCCCACTTGTTGTCGGTTTTTTGTCCCGCGACAAAGGGTTCGCAAGGCGCGAACATGACTGGTGGCTCAGTTGCCTCATAGCGAGTGCCGGGAGTAGTTGTGTTTTTTCCATTTCTTTTCAATTGTCTTAGTTTTACTTATATATGCGTAGTTATAAATTGGAATAGCAAAAAGTATCCCTGCAGAAGCAGTAGCAATTTCACCGTCAATACTCGTTAAGAGCGCGAACTGTATTTTGAAGTAGGCGGGAACATCTGCGACTGTGGAACTCTAGGAAGAGTTTTCGGGATTCGCACCGAGATCCGCGCCCCGATTTCACTCCGTGATCCGCGCGTGAGCCTGAAGAGGGTACTACACAGACAACGCTCTAAGGGATTATGCCCTCTCCAGACTCTCGCGCGAAGCCGCGAATTACCCACGACCATGAGTGTGGATCCCATTCACGGCTTCACGTCGCGTTCGCCCATTGTTCCCGTTTCGTTGTCGGTTTTTTTGTCCTGCGACAAAGGGCCCGCAAGGCGCGAACATGACTAGGCTCCTCTTTCGCTGATGTTTCCCGCCTCATAGCGAGTACCGGGAATGGTTGTGTTTTTTCCATTTCTTTTCATTTGCTCTAGTTTTCTTATACAGGGTGTGCGCAAAGTTGGGGTTTTCCTTTACACGACGTGTAGATCTTGAAAACATAAGCTATTTTTCTTAGTATCATATACACCAATGTCTTAAGGGAACCGAGATAAAGGGCTCTGAAACATCAAAAATATCTGAATACCGTCCTGTAACCGCGACATCACCGACTGGTACAAGGTCACTGGCTCAACCCGACGACAGAACTGGATCGGGGTCAGTGTGTCAGGTCAGTATGCAAACTTCAACCGACGGTTACGGTCACGCATGTAGAGGTAATCGCGTAGACGAGAATCCCTCAACAAGCACTAGAGACGTGGCTAGAGAAGTGCAAGTATCAAAAACTAAAGTGTGGCAAACGCTGCGTGGAGTGGGGCTGTATCCATTTCACGTCCAACGTGTACAAGCCCTTCAACCTGACGATTTTCCAGCAAGAGTGCAGTTTTGTGATTGGTTGTTGCATCAACATGACAATAATCCGGACTTTTTGAAGTGCATATTGGTGACAGACGAATCTACGTTCACGCGTAATGGGGTGAATAACTTTCGCAATACTCATGTTTGATCAGTAGAAAATCCGCTCGCTGTCCGTCGGGCACATTTTCAACAAACAATTTCGGTGAATGTTTGGGCTGGCATGGTGAACGGTATGCTCATTGGACCATTTATTCTCCCAAATCGATTGGACGGTATGCAATACCTAGACTTTTTACGCAACATTTTGCCTTCCTTGTTAGAAGATGTGCCATTAAGTGTAAGACAATCAATGTGGTTTCTGCGTCTGCTCGGTAGCGCATCAGCTGATTTCATTTTCTGTTGGAGCGGTATGATTTCGGGCAGAGACGTACTTAGCCCTTCTCGTCAACTGGAGAGTGAGTACTTTTTCCTTTATTTTTTTTACTTGGTCGCCCTCGTTTCACTACACATTACCTTTGTTATTTCAAGGGTAGTTGTTTCTGAAAAGGAAAACCCCAACTTTGCGGACACCCTGTATATGCGTAATTATAAATGACCAAAGCGCAAAGTAGCCCTGCAGCAGCAGTAGCAATTTCACCATCCATACTCGTCAAGAGCGCGAACTATACTGTGAAGCAGACGCGAACATCTGCTAGTGTGGTACTGAAGGAACAAATTTCGGGATTCACACCAGGATCCACGCCGCGATTTCACGCCGTGATCCGCACGTGAGTCTGGAGAGGGTATATAGTTTATAGTAGTCATATTGCTCTTATATAGGTGACGCCACAAACGCTCTTTTTTTAGATACGTCATTTTTCATTTTTCATTGTCATTTCTGGAGAAAACAACGTCAACTGAATGCACCTGTATTTTAACAAAACAGGTTGATGATTATATAAAAACAAGGGAAATCCTCTGACATGGATGTTATTGATGAACATTTAGCCTGTGTGAAATTATGCCTGATGTTAAAAAGTGTTTAAGTACGATGAATCGAAGGAAAAGAAAGTGGAAAACCGAACGTTGAAATGGGGCATTTCACCTTTATTTACATCTTGTGCCTCCTCGCGAACTCCGCTATTTCCCAGTCATTTAAAAATAACGAAATTCCCACAGAAGATATACTAGAATCACCACTATGCTGCAATCTTACGGCAGAACATGTAGAACTAGATTACAGCTCCAAAATTGTAGAGAATGAGTACATTGTTATGTTCAATGGTTACTACAAGAATCAGGCCCGTATAAATTACATAAACACCGCCCTAAACGCTTCAGGAATCAGTAATTGGAAAATCATAGAAAGAGAAAACCCTGCCAGCGACTACCCCAGTGATTTTGATGTAGTCATTCTGACTGACACTGATAAACTTGAAGGATTAAATGCTCTAAATAGCCATCCAGCAGTAAAACGAGTTACAGCACAGCGAATGGTCTCAAGAACATTGAAATTCATCAATCCTGAGTATGTTAGATATGGGCGGAAAAGTCTCAACTCAAAAAATCCGTTTTGGCAAGCTACAGGCAGACACACAAGTAGACGATTATTAAGAGCTGTTCCTAGACAGATAACAACAGTTCTTCAAGCTGATTCTTTATGGAACATGGGTATTACAGGAAAAGGGATAAAGGTAGCAATATTTGACACAGGTCTTTCAAAGACTCATCCACATTTTAGAAAAATTAAAGAGAGAACAAATTGGACAAATGAAAAAACATATGATGATGGCTTAGGTCATGGAACATTTGTAGCTGGAGTTATAGCATCCAGCAAAGAGTGCCTTGGGTTTGCACCAGATTCCGAATTGCACATTTTTAGAGTCTTCACAAATAATCAAGTTTCTTACACCTCCTGGTTCTTAGATGCTTTTAACTATGCTATTTTGAAGAAAATTAATGTGTTAAATTTGAGCATTGGTGGGCCAGATTTTAAGGATCACCCTTTTGTTGATAAAGTGTGGGAATTGACTGCAAACCGGGTGATAATGGTATCAGCTATTGGTAATGATGGACCGTTATATGGTACTCTAAATAATCCTGCTGATCAAATGGATGTAATTGGAGTTGGAGGTATCAATTTTGAGGATCAAATTGCCAAATTCTCATCAAGAGGAATGACTACTTGGGAACTACCTCAAGGTAATATTCTTTATTTTCTATATTTAATAGCTGCTGAAAGCAACTGGCAGCTGTAACTCAATGGTAACCTCACTAAGCACATGTATTACCTAGAATTTATATTCAGCATCCTTGTTAGCTATAGAAATACTTTTACTAGGTTACTTTTTTCATATTTTCAAAACAAGGCTGACAAATCTTTTTATTTTGAATGTTTTAGGCTATGGACGCATAAAACCAGACATAGTCACATATGGTTCAGCTGTTAAAGGGTCTCACATTAAAGGTGGATGTCGCACCTTATCAGGCACAAGTGTTGCGTCACCTGTTGTTGCTGGTGCTGTCACATTACTGTACAGTGGCGTACTACATCGGGGTGATGTAATCAACCCTGCCAGTATGAAACAGGCACTGATGGCATCAGCTAGAAGGTTACCTGGAGTGAATATGTTTGAACAGGGTCATGGAAAATTGAATCTTATGAAGGCATATCAGATACTTAATAGCTATAAACCACAGGTAGATATTAAGGTTTACTTTACATAATAATATCATCTGTCAATGTGTCTTCTTATTTTTATTATTTTTCTTTTTATGGATACAAAAATAATGGATTACTTGTACAAAAAGTATTATTTATACAGTAGGACATGTATAATTGGATCCTCAAGGGAATTAGAACTTTTGATCACTTATAGAGGCGTTTTGCTTACCCACTTTGACACATAGTCAGGTTTGAAATACAAATGATCTATCTATTCTATTATTATACAGTATGACGAGAAAATAGATGCGGTACCGGTAAGGGGGAGATAGTATAGGCTAATCTGAGTCGATTTAACTATAGGAACTACTGTCGGAAAATTAGCTGTTTTCGAGTTATATTGTTTTAAGATTAACGTCCTTCATATGTTAAACAAGATAAAACTTAAAAATTGTGTTTTATCCATTTTTTTTTGTTTTACAATAAAAATATTCTAAAATTCGAAAATTGATACTCAAATGTACATTATTGATGTTATCTCAGTAAGCTTCAAAATAGTTCACTTTTTGTTAACAAAAATCTTGTATCATCTCAAAAACTTCAATTTACTGGAAAAAATCACCTACAAATTTTTCGTACAAAATAATTAGAAAACATCTACGTTTCATTACCTTTCAAATGAGGTAAAAAAATCACAAATCATTTAAGAATTGGCAAAAATATGACTATTATAAGAGGAGGAAGGAAAAGGCTATAAAAATACTACAAATACAAAATTACACTTCAATATGGGATAATTTGTTTCAAACTGTATTTTTATTTTTATAATAGATTTTCAATGTGGCGCTCTCTATTTCTGATGCACAAACGTGCTCTTGTTATTACAGCTGATTTTATTACCGCCGAATTCCTAAGAGAGGCTTGAATTTCTTGTGTGCATGTATTATCATGTTTCTGAGGTCTTCTATTGTGGGTACAGGATTTTGATTAGAGTATACTAAAGTTTTCTTGCGACGCCACACAAAAAGTCCATAGTTGTGCTGACCATGGGATTGGTCCATCTCTACCAATCCATGGATTCGGAAACTGCTCATTTAACTAATTTTTAACACAGTCTGAAATGTCATTATTTTTAAGAAATTTTCGTAGGCTTGTCCATTTAAGTTGTCAGATAGGAAATGTGGTCCTACCAAAAAGCTATTTAACATGCCTCAGACACTCAGACTAAATCTTCTTTGAAATCATTTTGGTCTCTTCAAATGAGAGTTTCCCACTGCACGTTCACGCCAATAGTGAGCGCTATGGTAGTTTGTTATACCGTCTTTATCAAATTTTGATTTGTCGGTCCATAAAATTTTTCTTAAATAATTTCTATCTTCAACATATGCGTTTAAAATAAAGCGACTAAATTGCATGTGTCTCATGGAATCTCCTTCCTCTCCTTGCACAGGTGTGTAGTGGTAAAGGTGGAACATGTTTTCATGCAAAACATTCCACACTTGCCATTGGGATAATCCAAGCCACAGTGCGAGTAGAGAGAGTAGAGCCTCTTTGGAAAATATTTAATATTTCTTCTTCTTCCACAGCATGTTATCGAGTTCTACCTGCATCACCTGAAATAAAAGTCTTACTTATCGCCCTATTCCTGTGTAACAAAGTCCTTTGTTCACGGCCCTACCTGTTTTGTTCTAATTATTCATATCTTTGTCATTTCTAAACTGGTTGATACCTCATTGGAAAGGTAATGAAACGTAGATTTTTTCTAATTATTTTGTACGAAAAATTTGTAAGTGAATTTTTCTAGTAAATTGAAGATTTTGAGGTGGACGAAGACTTTTTAACAAAAATTGAACTATTTTGTAGCTTACTGCACTATAACATCAATAATGTACATAGAGTATCATATTTCATATTTTACAATATTTTTATAGTAAAAACAAAAAAAAATCAGATAAAACACCCAATTTTCAAGTTTTATGACTTGTTTAACGTATGAAAGATGTTAATTTTATAAAATCTTAAAATTAGTTTAACTCGAAAACAGCTAATTTTCGGACAGTAGTTCCTATAGTAAAATCGACTCAGATTTGCCTGTACAATCTCCCTCTACCGGCTCCGCATCTACTTTCTCGTCACCCTGTAGAGCAGCCCCACTAAGAGAGATCCAAATTTACCAAACGCAATTTGACCTATTGAAAAAATCTAAGAAGTCAAATCTTAATTGAAAAAAAAAATCAGGTTTAGAGGTGTTTGCGCATATACCCCATGGTAACCATAACTTGATATATTGGAATATGTAAGAAATCGACTTCATAACATTAGTGCCATATACCTGTAGTTCTTAGGTCTAGTCTTGGAGATAGACAAAACAGAAACCAAACACGTGAGTAGTGTCTTTAGAAAAACTCAAAACACTCTGCACAAGTAGATGGAATTTTACGATCACCACCTACCAATTATCCGCCAAGACATTTACATTATTTAGCTCAGAAATGTTGCACCGCACCATCAGGGTTACCTTTCAAGTGGTAGAAATACTCAGTAAAGACTGCTCTTGTAACAGTTACAAAAAATATACATAAGATATGAAGATAAACAGCTTTATGAAAAAAAGTGCAGGTATTCAGTCTTTCACATAGTATTTTACAGTATATGGCTCTATATGACCCAAGTACCGTCTGACCTCCCATTTAAAAATGTATTCATTGTTAGTTTTATTAAGTTTGGCGGGCAGTTGAAAAATTTTTCTGACATGCGCAATATGGTATTCAGTTAAAGTTAGTCTATACAGAGAATAATTTACATTCAAATTCCTGTGTTGTAGGTATATCATACACTTGTAAGTCATTTCTGTTCTCAAAAAAGAAAATTAAAAATTCATTTTTTTTTATACTCCAACTACCACAAACACCCATTGGGTACCGTGGGGCTATGGGGGATACAGGGGAAATTGGGAACGCCACAGGGACTCTGGCGAGGGAACATGTGTGCATGCAACATGCACACATTCTGGCTCCGCCTACGAGATCCGCCGGGTGGTACCTCCGCGTTCGACAGTTAGAGAGCATCTACCACCTACGGACAATCACAACATCCATAGCCAAGAGAAAAATTTCCTCCTGGGACGGGATCGAACCCCTCACAGCGCACGGCGACTGATCAGGAGACCGAAGTGTCTACTACTGCGGCCACCGCTGCTGCTTATATGTCCATATACTGTCAAGAGGCCATTGGATCTAAAACTATATTTACAACTGTCTTTATAACCCATATTCTTAACTATTTTAAGCACTCGTTTTTGCATAACAAAGATTCTATGTACTGCACTATTACTACCCCAGAAAATAAGTTTTTACCTAAGCACTGATTCAAAGTTTGCATAATATATACTTTTCACACTTGTTTCATTCATATATCTCGCAACTACCCTGAATGTTGTAGGCTTTTCAACTCTTTTTTGTCTTGTTCTGCACATTAATCTATTATTTTTAGTTTAATTGAGTAGTAACCTGTTATCTGTAAAAACAACTTAGAAATATGATCAATAATAAGTGGCCAAGAATACTACACTGAGCAATTCCATTTTTGTTTTCCTAAAGACATGAAAAATACTCTCTACTGTTCTTGATGATTTTGACTTTCTGTTACCTATCTGTTAACTATGATGTGAACCACTGCAATGCATGACCCTTTTTCTATATGCCTTTAATTTCTTTAATAAAATGTGAGAGTTAACTCTGCCATACAAATGCCTTTTGATGAGTTGCCCTCTTACAACTGCTCTATTATATTTTTTCTGAAGTTAAATATTGCGTTTTGTGTGGATCCGCCAGATAGATGTATTACATTTAGCTGATTACACTCCTTGCAAGAATTCATCAATTGGCTACACATACAGAGCTGGATTATAATCTAATCACATGAGCAAATTTCCACGAAATAATTGTAAAGTCTGGTTTTATTGGTGCAAGTTGTTCAAGGGGGTATTTAAAACATGAACTCATAAAATGGGTACAACAATTTTTGTGGGAAAACTTTTTAGTTGACAACAAAGAATGAGAAAACGTGTTTTTTTGGGATTCAATCGAAAGTTTTGGCAGGAACGAAAAGACTTTTCATATAAGATTTTTAGGTATTTATGAGCCCTTCAAAATAAAACCACACGTGAAAAGATCCGACTAATAGCAAAAATGTTATGGCCGAAAAACGAGGCAAAATGCAGGTTTTGGCATTTGTTGGTAATGCGACGATAATTTCACGCAACTACTTGAAATTCTTCAAATCCATAGGGTTCATACTTCTAAATATCAACAACAAAATTGGATTATAAAGGTCGAGAAGTTTTTTGAGCATATCTAATTGTTTATCGTAAAACACCTGTTTTCCGGCCATCACTACTAGTTTATTGAGCAATACACAGGGTTCGTTCAAAGAGCATTTAATAGCAAAATACACGTGTTTGTTCACCTTGCCGATATAAATTACAAACCATTCCGAAAGATAAATGTTATTTCCATGCGAAAAACAAAGGTTACATTGTTTTCTTCAAAACAATTTCAAACATTTCGTATTTGTGAGTAACTGAACAAATGCGCTACGATATTCGAAAAACATATGTTACTATTCACATTGTGAAACAAATCGGATGTGTCTACTATCTTTTGTTGCGAATTACTCACAAATACGAAATGTTTGAATTTGTTTTATGGAAAACAACGTAACCCATTATTTCTGCATAAAAATATTATTTATCTTCCGGAATGGTTTGCGATTCATATCGGCAAGGTAAACCAGTGTATTTTGCTATAAAAGCCAATTTGAACTAACCCCTTTTTATTGCTCAATAAACTAGTAGTGATCACCGGAAAACAGGTGTTTTGGGATAAACACTTATACATTCTCAAAAACTACTTGACCAATCTACGCCAATTTTGTTGTGGTTATTTAGAAGTACGAATCCTACGAATTTGAAGAATTTCAAATATCTACGAGAAACCATCGTCGCATTACCAACAAGTGCCAAAACCTGCAGTTTGCCTCGGTTTTCGGCCAAAACTTTTTTGCTAATAGTCGGACCTTTTGTAGGTCTCATAAATACCTAAAAATCCTATATAAAGAGTTTTTTCGTACCTGCCAAAACTTTCGATTAAATCAAAAAAATACGTTTCCTCATTTTTTTTGTCGAATATAAAGTTTTCCCACAAAAATTGGTGTACCCATTTTATGCTTCCATGTTTTCAATACTCCCTTGAACAACTTACAGCAATAAAACTAGACTTTACAATTATTTCGCAAACCAGGGGTATTTTGGTCTAATATGATTAGACTATTAGTTTTAAAAAACCTGGCAACAGACTAATGGGTCTATGATTCTCCATTAGCTCTGCAGGTCCTTTTTTAAATCAGGGCTAAATTAGTGCAACTTTTAGTTGGTGGGGGAAAATACCATGTCTAATTGTATTCTCAGAGCAAACCAGCAATTTCTTTTTTATGCATATTTGCATAAATAATACGGCTAAAATGCACATGTTTGCTTTCCGTCTCTTGTAACCGTGGATAATCACAGTCACTGCTGTTTTGTGCTCATCAGCAACTCATCAGTGCTGTATAGGTCTCCGGTTTAGCCTTGGAGGAAGACGATACGGAAACCATACACACTTGTTTGCTTTCCGTTTCGTCTGTCACCAAGGCAAGGCCTACGACCCTAAGAGCACGAAACAGCGCTGTATGCGGTTGGTCATTGTTACAGGAGACAGAAAGCAATGTTGTTGATTTCAGCCCTGTCTATTAATGCATATATCCATAGAAAGGCCATCGCTGGTTATGGGCTAGAGAATGTAAGGATCTCTCTATAGTTTTCATGGTATGCTATGAGGATGCAAATCGGTTTGGCGAACTACTGGTAGGTGGCGATAGTCAGATGTTCATCTAGATGCACCCAATGTTCTTGTTGATATTTAATACTCCAGTGTTAGGAATGAATATTAACCTTTTTTGCAGGCGAGTTTGAGCCCTAGTTATGTAGACCTGAGTGAATGCCCCTATATGTGGCCATACTGTACTCAGCCACTTTATTATGGTGCTCAACCTGTAATTGTGAATGTTACGGTACTAAATGGTCTGGGAGTTTCAGGCAAAGTTGTTGGTAGGCCTGAGTGGCATCCATATGCTCCACAACATGGTTAGTAATACAAGTGCTGAAGTAACAATAGATTCAATCACAAGCTGATCTCTGGTTGCATTTGAAATGTTCTAGTATTGCCAGAGATTATCGGGTTGAAAAAAAATGGCGTCAGGTGGGTTGCGCTTTTTACGCAACGCCGTCAACAGTTCATAAAGGATTAAGTTCACCGCAATTTAAATCCTCTGAGAAAATACTGAGTAACGATGTAGCTGAAGTTCCGATCGATTACATTCTGATGGAAACGATAAAATGGCGGCAGTGCCGAAAGTTTGTCATTACCACTTCTACCAACATAATTTGGGTCCAAATAAACATAAATCGATGCGGTTTTCTCGTAGTTCGATTGTTTTAATGGCTTTCTATGTACTGTAAAAGTTAAGTCGGTAGAAGTGATAATGACTGTAGCCTTTTTATCGTTTCGATCAGAACGTGATCAATCGAAACTTCAGCCGCATGAGTTACGGCCACGTAGAGCAGATAAATTAAACGTATTAAGTCGGTCAAAGAGTCCCATACAGTTAGTCCATATGGACATTCTTTCCCTGCCCTCCTGGTAGTTACCGTCCATGTGTCATTGGTGTTCCTTTCCACATGTGCGGGGCATCTCTTCAGCTAGTTATTTTTCGGTTCGTGCAAGCTCTGTATGGGGCTTCAGTACGAATTCATATACGGGGTGATTCACAAGTCGTGACCAAAAATGAAACATCATACGCAGCACCGCATTTTAAGGGGGGTTTTCTGTGTGACATTTTTGATTAGAGGGCTTCATTAAAAAGATACGGGGTGTTGAAGTTTGAAAATAAAAAACATTTCTTTTAATATCTTCAAAACCGTCAACTGGAATGAAATAAAATTTGGTTTCTACCTAAGTATTGTCCACATTCAAAAGTATTTACATAAAATTAACGTGTACCAGTGGCGGAGATACAGGGGATTAGTCGCATTATTTTTTCAAATAAAAATAGTACGCTACTGTTTTTTTTAAACGCGACATTTTTCAAATTTTACCTTCAATTTGCTATAAATAATTACTCTTGTGTTTTTCCTAGAGTGCATTGCTTTTGTTAAAATAAAAAAAACAAATTAGATAAATAGCTAATCAAAGCTTTATTTCAATAAATGTTCAAAAAAACACCATTCTGACGGATTCAAGTGCGGCATCTTTTTAAGAAAGAAAAACTTATTTCCGCAAAATTTATTGTGGCTTGAATTTGATGAAACGCATTATCTATTCTTTCTTGTAACTGATCAACAGAATTAATTTGTTCAGCATAGTTGTTTGAAACCGCCCCACAAAAAGAAATCAGGACACCTCGCAGGACAATGTATGGATTCGTTTCTGCCAATCTATCGCTGTCTAAAATGATCATTTAACCATGCGGTTATGTCACGACGAACATGCGGTGGGACACCGTCGTGCTAATACCACATTCGTACTCTCGTTGCTAACGGAACATCATCTAACAAATTTTCTATTGTAATTCTCTAGAAAAGCTAAGTATGAGTTTGCATTTAAACGGTGTGGCAATACGTGCATAAACAGTTTTCCATTGAAAATGCCGCACCAGACATTTCTAGAAAATCTGTGTTGAAGCAAGTGGATTCCTACAGTACTGGGATTTTGTAACCACCAAATATGTTCATTATGAGAATTGAAGGTTCCACTCCTCGACCACAAAACCAAATCAATAAAATCTGCATTTTGATTATGCATTTGCAGTAACCACTCAAAAAAATTTCGCCATTGTACTTCGTCGCCGGGTTGCAGACATTGCACATTTTGCCGATGGTAAGTATGTAAAACTTCCCGATTTCAAATTTTACTTGTACTAGAATCCTCCAGCGTCAAATTAATCACGTCCAATTCCTCTTGAACAGTCTGCCGGACACCATGGTATCTAACTCCAGGAAGCTTGCCGAAGTCATAGAAATGAACGCGTAAAAACCTTTGGGTTAGGTTGGCGTCTGTTACGAAATCTACGTGCATACTCCCGAGAAGCCGCTAAAGTACTTTTATTACAGAAGCCGTTCACAAAAACGATATCGGCGTACTCATCATTGCTAAATTCCATTTCCCAACTCAAAAATGGAAAACAACTTTTGACTTGACTTTTACAAAAAAAAAAAAATGGTAGTAGTATCGATAACAACCGTATAGCACATAACTTTGACAAACTATCTCACAAGAAACGTTAAGTTGATATCAAGGCCTGCTATTATATTTTGAAACTTATGATCTAATTTGTTTTATTTTTACGAAAACAGTGCAGTCTAGGAAAAAACACAAGAGTAATTATTTGTAGCAAATTGAAGGTAAAATTCGAGAAATTGCACGTACTATTTTTATTTGGAAAAATAATGCTACTAATCCTCTGTATCTCCGCCACTGGTGCACATTAATTTTAAGTAAAGACTTTTGAATGTGGACAATACTTAGGTAATTCCACATATCAAATTTTAGTTCATTGCAGTTGAAGGTTTTGGAGATATTAAACATTTTTATTTTTGAACTTCAACACCCTGTATCTTTTTAATGACGCCCTCGAGGAAAAAATGTCACATAGAAGACCCCCTTAAAATGCGGTACTGTGTATGATGTTTTATTTTTGGTCACGACTTGTGAATCATCCTGTATATCCTGGTTCGCCAGGTGGTTCGCTTTGATAGACACGAGTACGCAGATCGAAAACATTTCTCTATCATACTAAGTTTTAAAGGCAAATGTACGGGTAAAGCTATGAATGTGTGAAATAAATATAAATATATTAAGATCAAAAAAATGCATAGCTTTTTTCATCCTTGCATACTAGTAACCTTGTTTGAAAATTCCATCAAAATCTGAGCGGACATGGTTTTTCTTGATGACATGTCTTATAACACAAACAAAACAACAAATTATCTCAATATCGAAATTTTTCACAATTGCAATACTTCCTCGTCAGCTTTGGCATAGGAAGTAAAATGAGAAAATAGTGACAGATTGGTGCAGTATTTGTATACGTGTTTGTATTGTAGCGATCTATAAAAGTGTTTTGAGTCATCACTGGTCGAGCATCGATGCCTAATATGTTTGTTGTTATTTGTTAAAGTAATCCCTGGGGGTCAAGGTAACGTTTTGTATTCTGTTCAAGACATATTAGGGAAATCAGGATCACTCATATTTGAAAATTATACAACGCCACCGCAACTGTACGACTGGTTGCTGGAATCTGCACGGGATATTGAAACCGAGTTAGATATAGGGGAAAGGCGACGTTTCCAGATGCACTACCGGTAGGGCAGGGAAATAATGTCTATGGACTACTAATTGTATGAACATGATTACTATTTTTTTTTTTTTCAGGGGGTCTAGTTTGTGCTGATTGTATTCTTGTATGTACTGATAAGGGCGTTGAGTGGGAAGTGCAGAGTCAACCTACTTGATGCCATTTTTTACATTAGCATAATGCAAAACATTAAATCGATCCATTTGATTTAACTTTTTTTATAATTAGGACGTTTGCTGGATGTTGCTGTATCATATTCCGAGCTGCTTTGGCCTTGGTCTGGTTGGATGGCAGTACATTTGTCTGTGGCATCTGAAGGAGCATCATATGAAGGATTAGCCCATGGTCATGTTTCAGTCACGATTGAGTCGCCTCCTGGACCCGGAGAACAACAACCCAGAAGAAGTACAGTTAACTTACCTATTAGGTGAGTTTTGGAAAGTTTTAACCAGTTTACACGATTGTACTGTCTGAATGTTTATTTCAAAGGAATATAAATATTTTGTACTAATAAAGTATATTCTGAATATTATCCACTATTTGCCAATGAAGGAAAAGTGGTAAAACTGGCCCTGCAAGGCTCTAACGAAAAAATTCACTCCCAGGCTATGACCATTCGTATTCTGAAGGTGGCCTGATACTTTAATCTCACATCCAAAAATTATTTGAGGTCAAATAAAATAATGTACCGTCATCTATTCGAATTTGTCACAGCTATGTTTCTCCTCTCCGCAATAAATATAAATAGATGGTGTTGTAGGCAATTATATTAGCATCGTAGCTGACCCGACAGACATTGTCCTGTCTTAGCTATGAACTGGAATGAATAATGAATAATAAAAGGGAAGATATATGGAATGTAGGTAATTGTATAGCGAAGTGTTTGTACCGCCATGTGGCTAGCAAAATACTTTGGCAGCACTGCCATCTCCCCATCACCTTACCTTGAAAGTAGATATAAAATTATGTCGAATGAATTTTGTTGCGCCAACTGACGTCATTTGAACGCAATTTTTGTATTGCTGAATATGACAAAACATGTATAGAATTTGGCCTATTTCTGGAAACCTATGAATGTAGTGGCTTTCATGGTGGTACCCATGGAGTCAGTTTGACTTTTCCACTGACGCAACAGAATCCAGGGGCTTCATTTTTAAAATTGAAAGTCTTGCAATGTGGACGTTCATTGGTCCAATAGCAACGCTTTGTTGTGAACTGTAATCGATTGCCACGTGATAATTGAATGCAGCTCGATTGGGAATAAATGTGACACTGCTACGTTGTTGAATTTCAGTCCTTTGATCCCGTTCAACATTTCTCGCTTCTTGTTGCTCGTTAGTTTGACTTCTTCGTATATATCTTTGACTTGCAGCATTGCAAGTTCTGCGACCTAGGTTAGTACGTCTAATCGGTGGCATTTTGAAGAATGACAATTTTAATATAAGGCGTGATTGCGGTCAACTAACTTCCAAGCTTGTTAATTATTTTTGAACAAATGCTTCTCAAAAAACACACTGAACCAACTGGAAACTGTATAAAATCTCTAATCATATGGACCGTGGAATAATAATTAAATAAAACAATATTTTTTCATCGATAAACACTGTTAAACGATAATATAAATTTGCGGCGTGTTAGCTGTCAAGTTCAAAATAATAGAGTAGTGAAAGTCAACTAAGCAAAAGAAACGTATTTTCTTCCACAATTTTTATTCATAGAGTTAAATGACAAAGATAGGCAACACTGCAGTTTCTTTTAAAGGGGACATCACAAAGTACGGATGGTAAAGAAATGTAAGTTCAAAAACGAAAGCACCGTGATTTCATAAGTCATTCATAAGTCATAACTCTCAATAGCTGTTGGAATAAAGATGCCGGAGAAGAGTGCCTGTCTCTTTTGGTACTTGGGATATTTCTTCTTCTGAGCGTGCTCCATGCTCAAGCAAACTGTCGCGCGTAGCTTAAATAATCATTAGGTATCAATGATTTCCAATTTCCTGCACAATTTTCTTGATTTTTCTTTCCGTAAGAACCTTCTATATACCATTGCGAAGCTTTAAAAACAAGATGAATGAAATCGGTAAAGTGATTCGCAAGTTATGGCGTAACCACGCGAAATAGGGATTCATTTATATATATATATATATATAGGGCAAAAATACAATTAATTGTTAATTGGGAAATTGGCAAACTCTTTTGACGATAGTATCAAGCTTTCGGCAATTCTCTATGGAGCCTTCATCATGATCTGAAAACACAATTATGATGCTAGCATTCAATACAGGAATGACTTAAATTGGCAAACAACTTACTAGTCGTTGATGTTGCAGCCAAATGGTGTTTCAAAACGAACGCGGAGATGAGAGCACTTGTTACAGATATAAAACCAATCGGACGGACACATTGAACTTTCTGATAACGACGGATAACATCATTATGTGTTAACACTATAAATCAATACACCCAAACATATTAATTTTTTTTTAATTAACGAGAAGCAATTTTCCTGACAAAATCGGAATGTAGTTTCTAACCTCGTTCATCCGCTTCACGTGGAGAAGGTGGACGGAACAGAAAGATAATGCGTCGACAGATGACATGTGATTGACGCGACGGAATGTGGAACTGTAAACCAAATTTGGGTATGAAGTGTACGAGGGACGCTCGGTAAAACCGAGGTAATTGACCCTCTTGTCCAAGTCTGTACTTTCAAGCGTGACTTCAGTGCTTTTGCACTTTTTGAATACTCATAATACTGTGTTCTTTCAGGGCAAAAATTATTCAGACTCCACCAAGACACAAACGTATCTTATGGGATCAGTACCACAATCTCAGATACCCACCCGGGTACTTTCCCCGCGACAATCTGAAGATCAAAAACGATCCTCTTGACTGGAACGGCGATCACATACACACAAACTTCAAAGATATGTACCAAAACCTAAGGAACACTGGGTACTATGTCGAAGTACTTGGATCTCCCTTTACGTGTTTCGACGCCTCCCAATACGGTACTTTGTTGATCGTTGATCCTGAAGAGGAGTACTTCCCTGAAGAGATCCTCAAGTTGAAGCGAGATGTTGATGCTGGGCTTTCAGTGATCATCTTCGCTGATTGGTATGTGTTAAGATGTTTGTAGATACTGTTTATATGTTAAATAAAATATCGCTATTTTGGTGTAAATAAGCCCACTTGTCTATCCTAAGGCCACTTCTCTATCCCTGACTTTGTCTAAAGCTGATTTGAATCCAAGGTAGACTAAAGCCATTCATTTTTATGTCACCAAAAAATATAGATACAATTAAAGGGCCATACCTGGGCAAAAACGGGCATCCAGTGTGTTCCAAATGCTTCCGATCCTCCTCCTCCTTCCCCACCCCTTTATTTCAGAAACAGTAATGCTCAGACAAGGTCAAGACAACAGTGGTGGGCTTTTTGAGGGAACAACTAATAATAATTTTAAATATACCCATATCTCTTTGACGCAACTGAATAGAAGAATAAAATATTTTACATTCAGAAATGGTAATGACGTTTGTCTTCAAGATCATTTAGTGGTTAACTTGAAAAGGACAGAAAAGTTTGGTTGTGTTTGATCTTGACCTTGGAGTAACGTCAAGGTAAATGATACAGTTCCACTTCTAAATGATCTCGATCAAGGGCAGTTCCAAACATCAATTTTTCCTCTCCATCTAATCAAGGGCAAATGCCTTATGGACTTCTAGAATATGTTGATCAATGTTTTTACACAATAGCTTTGTGAAACTAAATTTTATTGATATTCTACAAGGTACAATGTCACTGTAATGAAAAAAGTGAAATTCTATGACGAAAACACGAGACAGTGGTGGATGCCCGACACAGGTGGCGCTAATGTTCCAGCCATCAACGATCTTTTAGCATCTTGGAATATACAGTTAGGTAACAGGGTGTTGGAGGGGCATTACAAGCTGAACGACCATGAGATGTACTACGCTTCGGGGACGAGTATTAGGAAATTTCCCAAGGACGGCATTGTGGTGTCGGCGTATCTGAATGATCAAGGAGCACAGGTAAGCTCACAAAATTTCAAAATATAACATCTTCTGGAGCAGGACAATCCTGAACAATTTCAGACCAATACTACATTCATGCAAGTTTGGGCCATCTACTTGTACATATGACATTATTGCAAGATTGCTAAATGTATGGATGATGAGAACGTAAATAGACATGAAACAGTTATTACATATCATGTATCATAGTCTCAGTATGCTGTAATAGGGTATGATCTCCCAAACTTGGGGACAGTATATTTCAGAAACTACTTGTGGGAAAACTTTGGGCCTACGGACACCTTGTTCTATGTGCTATCAGGAGCCTAAAGAAACTCTGTTAATTTGATTTTTGAACTGCCTAAGGTTAGTAGAACTGCAAAAAGCCTCCTCGGGGAGATTGTCCCACAATCTTGATGTCCTTTGGACAAAGGAGCGTTGGTTTGAAAGGGTCTTGAGACTGTTCATTAGAGAACAGTAATCGATTTGTCGGACAGCCCTTCTCTAAACAGCATCGAACATGGATAATGTAGTCTGGGCGGCAACAAATCCAAACTTCAGAGCAATACTCGAGGCTAGGCCTTATCTGGGTCTTGTTCAATTTATGCGGGTAAAAGTACTTCTTAGCCCTAAACAAATAGCCTTACTTTTGCTCTGACATGTGTAAATGCCTCGGCTCTTTGGTAGAACCATCCATCAAAACCTGATGGCATTTCATTACCATATAGTGTTACACTGCTCTATGTGCAATTAATTAAGTTTTGAGGAAAACGTAAAAGAAAAATATGATTGATGTTATGCCATAACAAAGAAAAGCACGTTGTTGTGGATTTGAGATAATATCATGTACCGGCAAAGTATTTTATATTTGATCAAAAACCACATTAAATGTTTTTTTTCAGATAGATTTTGCATATCAAAAAAAAAACATACAACTATGTCACACTAACGAAAAAACTCTATTGCAACTAAAGCAACATACAACTTTGTATTCCTACTTTGTTTTCTATCTCTAGTAGAGATTGGGAGAACTTAGGCTCGTATCGTCAGTCGTCAGTTGTAGTGCGCGTTTATGGCCTCCTTGATTGTCATACTCCTTTCTCTCCTTCAAAAATTTCTAGATTACACTTGTCCCGTGTCAGCGTCAGCGCTCTCCTATTGTGAAGATATGTTTTCTTTTTAAATTGTAGGAAATTTCAGGCTGATAAAACATGATATAACTCAAAAGCAAGCACAATTTGATGCAAATAGATGTTTGTGACATAACCTCAAAATAGAGTTCTGACACGGAGAAGTAGAAAACTATGACAATCAAGGAGGCCATAAAGGCGCCCTACAATTGTAGGGACGACTGACGATACGGGCCTTAAGGGTAGCAATTTTAATTGTACATAGCTACACATGTTTTGTAGTCCGTAAAATCGTTTTCTTTGAGTTGAGTAATTTTGTAAGGCTTTATAGAATTAACTTTCAAAAGTAAATGTAGAAGAGAAACCAGGGAGTAATATTCAGATTTTTTCAAAACCCTTTCTATGCAGCTGTGTACGGCATCTATTTCCTGTTCTTGCATGAATGACCAGGAGTTGAAAATTTCATTGTAATGGCACATACCACTAAGTAACTGAAATATGATGATTTATCCGTCATACAACTATTTCACTTTGATTGCCTACGATGATATTGGAAACGCTATGAAAACTTGGGCATATAGACATACATCTATGTAATAGTGAAAAGTCAGATTTTGAGAAAATGAGACTTACAATAGTGTGACTCTAGAGTAACAATTAGTAAATTGGCAGCAAACTTGCATGCTTAGTCAATTTGGTTACTTTATTGGTGGCGCCACCTACACGTTCCACCGGTAAAACCGTGGGACAGATAGCTAGTAACATGATTTAAAAAATGGCTGAAAGCCACTTCTCCTGAGGTTTAAGTGGGGTCTTTTATCTTATAAAAAAGCAACTTTGTATTCCAGTTCATTAGGCGAATATCCTGTATAATCATGAATATGTTTGTTATAGGAACAGTGTTCTTCATGTGTTTTTAAAATAGTTTGTTTTGCAGAGATAAGCCTCCCATGCAAGTTTAGGCAATCCTGTATATGTGACAGAATCACAGTGTTGTCGAACAAGCTGTATATATCAAACAACTATTAAATATCATGTACTGGACCTACAATATGCAGTAATAGGCTACTTAGAGATCATGTATCTCAGAAACTAGCCGTGGAAAAGGCTCCTAGACACTTTTTTTCTACTTATTGATATCTACAACATACTGAATTTGAAAAAAGCCGATAGCCATTCCCCATAAGGTTTCCGCGGGGTCTTTTCATTTGAGTAACTGTTGTGTTCACAGATAATTTCGTTGGCAATTTATTGTAAAACTTCTTTTCCAGATTTTGGGCGACTCAAACACGTCAAAGCACAAAGTCGCTATTTTGGGACTTTTGCATACCAAATCGACTGACAAAAGTGGCAGGATAATAGTGTACGGCGATTCAAACTGCATCGATGCAAGTCATCTGGAGACGCCTTGTTATTGGATGTTGGATGCCATGTTGGAATATACGTCAACGTCGCATCTGCCTTCTGTCTTCAAAGATAATCAGATGAACACCTGGGAGGGAGCAATACATACTGAGTTACCGAGTAGAATGGAGGGAAACCGGTTATATAGGTAAGTACGTTTTTATAAACGATTTCTTCAGTAACGTATGTCCTGAAAGTTTTTGCACAAAATTCATTTTCGTTAATTTTAACAAACACAAAATAATATCATGTTGCCTTTCGAAACAAACGTTTGTTTACTTACTTGTCAGTTGACATTTATTTATTTTGAAGCTTTCGTTTTCGATTTCGTATAAATTAGAAATAAGAACAAGTATCGTCAACCATTTTTCTGTCTTGAATTCAGCCCACCACATTTCATTTTTAAAAATTAAAATTTCTTAAACCTTTTCATATCTGTGATATGGAGGGCGAAATTCAACATCATTGCAACGTTACGGTGCATGGAGTAACCCGAGTTTTCTACTTCATATTCTACTTTACAACATTTCACGTTTATCTGCCGATCATATTCGAATTCAGTATCCCCACAAAGCCCTATCGTATTATGAGAACAATCACAATCTGTCTATTACCATAATCGACCTTTGCGAGTGTATAGCAGTTATTGGTTCGAACTATACAAGACTAAACATACTGCTTTCGTCCGTCCGACCGCAGACGGCCAACCGTGAACAGCTGTTGCGTGTTTGGCAACACATCAGCATGGTCTAGGCTTGGTCTCAGGTATTACAACAAACGAAAGCGGAGCTGCTCTTCTCTGTTTAGAGTATAAGGCTTATCGGAATAAGACCACAAAGTGACATCTATTACCAGAATCGACCACTCCGAGGGTCTTGTTCAATGGCGAGTAGACCACATCGTAAAATCGTCAGAGTCTAGCGGTCATAGTGGTGACTGGACTATCAACCGCGAACTGAGATCTTTACAGTTCTAACTGGTAGCTCCTATACACTCTTGCAGATAAGAGGATAGTTACTACGCATTCGTTCGTTGTCCCAGAGACCAAGCCTAGGCCGTGCTGATGAGTTGCCAAATAGCAAAAAGCATCTCTCCATGGTTGGCTGTCTGTGGTCGGATGGACAAAAAAACTATGTTTAGATAACGGGTGGCCGATATGTAACTGTGTAGCTTGTATCTTAAATATTTGTGAAATGAAATAAAATACGTCCATTTTTTCATCTTAATATATTATGTATGAAAAATAATATCAGGCAAATGTCCGCCTCTAAAAGCCGCGCAAACCTGAGCCCTCTTGATTACATTTTATATCACTTTTTGGTAGGTTTCGGGGGGAATATTTTGAATCGCTTCCGTAATATTGTTTTTCAGCTGCTCTACAGTATTTGGTTTTTTGGCATAATCCTATTTTTCAAAAATTCCCATAAAAAAGTCAGGAGCCGTTTAATCCGGTGACCTTGGTGGCCAGTTGACATCACTAAATCGAGAAATTAAACGTCCCGGAAATATTGTTCGGCCTTGGCAAGTCTTTAACTTCATATGTATGTTCAAACTTCCGCACCAACTGACGAATGGTGTTGACATTATTTCGACCGAAATCTTGTCGTAGCTTCCGAATCATTGCAACAATCGACTCATTATTTAAGTAAAACGTTTTAATAGTACGGACGCATGTGCATAACTACTAGGCGCCACCTACTTAAATGCGTATATCAAAAATGGCGCGCAATTTAAATCAGTCAGTTGTATATTGGCCGACCTGTATTATAACAAATTTTCCAAAAGATCGCTACGGTTTCAATGTAAACCGGTTGCTAAATTCAACATCGCTTTGAAACAGTGGATCAGAAAGACTCGAATAGCTTTATATCTACATTCAATTCGGTCCATTGGCGCTTTACATTTTTTTGACGCTTCATGTTACTTAAATGCGCTAAGTTTCATTCAATTTTAACAGCGGTACACGAGTAGGGCTGGTTTTCCCGTCAGTAGCACAAATGATACGTCTCTATTAAAATCTTTTCTTCCAGGTTTTCGAAAATTTTGGAAGGCAACCTGGGCGAATCCCAAGCGAAACCGTTACCACAATGTCCACATCTCGTGTGGACGCAACCTATACCTTTGAACGTTTCAGCGCCGAGCAACTTGTACCAATCTCAGAAACTACTATCGTTGATAGAGGAAGTCAACGTGCATCTGCCTAACGTTGATAATAGCATTAAAGGTGAGGAGTAGATGCATGGATGGAGATAGAGGTAGTCTAGCAATAAGCTTCAGTAATATCTTTTAACATATTTAAACAGAAGTTACACAAAAAAATGGAAAGCTGTGCCTGCGCGAAAATGGGCTTACATACCATGGCACTGCCGATCACTTGTGATTACAACTATACAGGGTGTCCTCAAAGTTAAGACTTTCCTTTGCAAATCGTATGGGTCTGGCAATAATAAGCAAGTTTCCCTGGTAACGCAAAGCCTTAAGATAATCAATCTATTAAATTCCGAAAAACTCTGAATAAGCCATTCCGGCCCTGCCTCCCTCCCCTCCTGCCACAAGGGGATATTGTGACTATGTCATTATCCAAATCAGGCGTCGCGCGGTGTGTATGTTAACGTAGTTTATAAACAAACCTCATTTGAAAACCTAAATCAGCACAGTTCTACAGCAATAACGTTGTTATAGATTTGATGTCTGTTACTCTACTATGCGCGTCTTCAAAATTCTATTGATACTCCGCGAGTGTATTCGAGTATTCAGAACGTCGGCGTCGTCTTTGATATATCTATCAGAGTTGCGTAGGTTTGTTTTTAGCGAGCTAAAGCCGTCTGGGTGGACACAGTAGAAGAACTAGACAGCTCCATATGTTGGAGAAAGTAAACAAACTCGTGTTTTGTTTAAACTACAACTTCAAGCAGTAATTACAAACAAAACATGAGATATGGCAGTACTTGAAATGCCGTACCAAATAAACAGTATGTTTCTTCCTTTCCTTTTTACGTTAAAAAGGAAAGTCCTTACTTTCGGAACACCCTGTATACCTGTCGGTCATTGTCTCTGGGTGTCAGCGTTGCCTCCTCTCAGGCAGCTGCCACAGGTCGGAAGCTTGATGTTACGATTCTTTAAAATGAAAATGAAGTTTGTTTTTGTTTCTTCGAAGAGAGTCATTGTGATCCTATTTGGTAACTGCAGCACATAGATAGGCAACTTCTTGGAGAATACGTTCAATGCTATTATGTTCCAACAAAGCTGTTGATTATTTTTGATCAAGGTTCAAGCTAATTTTATCTCGACTTAACTATACTTTTATTAATATTTCCTTATTTTTATCTATTACCGCCGATAGGCGATGTTTACCGGATTTTCAGTATTGTGCACATTTTCAAAATCCATTATATTAATTTTCCATCCAAATAACACAGCACAAAGCGCCATCTAGAAACAGAATCGACCACTGCGAGAATGTGTAGCAGCCATCGGTCGGAACTGTACAGATCTCGGTTCGTGTTTGATAGTCCAGTCACCGCTGTGACCGCTAAAAGGCTGACGATTCTGGCGATATAGTAAATGCGGTTTACTCGCCATTGGTCATGCTGCTTACATCCATCCGACCACAGCCAACCAACCATGGACAGCTGTTTCGTGCTTTTTAGCAACTCATCAGCATGGTCTAGGTTTGGTCTCTGCGACAACGAACTAAAGCACAGCACTTTCGCAGTGGTCAATTATGGTAATTGATGGCGCTTTGTACTGTCTTATTTCGATAGATCTCATACCTTTGATACTTGACACAATACAAATCTGACACAAACAAATAAACATTAGCTGTCTGTGACCTTACGACACTATACAGGGTGTTAAGGGGGAAAAGTTTCATTCAGGCGGGACCTTGCTGTATCTATGACTTATGGTTTTTGATTTAACAGTGTAAATTTGCTCTTGTCTGTTTATTTTGATATGTGGTTCCCTAAAAATCATCGAATTATTTTCTTTTAAAGCGCTGAAGTTTATTGTCAGATTTTTCTTCTTAGCATGTTTTCTCAGAAAATTATATTGTCATGTTGTATCTTGGTGAAGGAAGGGTTATGATGGTGATGGTGGAATTTTTATGTTTATAAATTTATAACCTTTGTTGTCTGAGTGATGTATATAATCAGTATTAGCAACACTTTTAGATTAAGATACTGATAATTAACCATATTATAAATAATTTTGTGGGATGTTTGAGGAATTAAAAATACTTAGTAAATCCGGTTGTATCTGTTCATAAATATCCTTTCCATCCATTTTATATCAATGGTTGTCATAAAATTGACGCTGCTTTCAAGGAATCTGTTGATCCCTTCATTCTGGTTATTTATTTATTTAAATTAAGATACCATACACATACAATGTATGTATACTCGTGCTACATGCCAAGTAAACCTACAATTAAAAAAAAAAACAATAAATATTATACAGGGTGCGGCAGAGAGGACGGACGTTTTTGAGATGGGTAGTACTCTCCGCCTCCGTCTACGAGAGAGGCGGGGAGGGTGCCGTTTGACTCGTGAGATCCTAGCAGTATTTTACCAGTTGTCGTTATGGAGCCTTATGGGGACACCTCAAGGCTAGAGTATACGCGAACAAGCCCCGAACTCTGGACGAATTGAAGGGCGAAATTCGCGTGGAAGTCGCCCAAGTTGAGAGAGAGATGTTGGAGAGAGTCTACGCGAACTTCCAAGAACGCCTCCAGCACTGCATCAACGATTTCGGCCACCACATGCCTGATGTGATTTTCCACACTTGACTGTCTCAAATGCTATTTCCTTGTGAACCTGATTCCATCAATAAATTTATTTTCGAGTAAAAATTAACTATTTTATGATTTTTTTAAAACCGTCCATCCTCTCTGCCGCACCCTGTACATATGTAATTCTAAAAAACAGTTCACATTATTGACAATAATACAATAAAAACATTAAATTAGACATGAAATACATAGGACTAGAACAGCGTGCTCATAAAATATATATCACATATACTGTTGGTTAAAATTAGCAGAAGCATACCCCTTCATAGTATAAACTACTCTTACGAACATTTGTTGCACAGTTCTTTTAAAGCCGATAAGAGGGAGGTTTTTAATATTATGAGGCAATTTATTAAATACCTCGATGGCCATTAATTTTGGTCTATGTCTATGTGAGGGTTTTTCAAGTAACTGATTCCTAGTTCTGTAGTTATTTTTATTTACGGTTTTGGAAGAAGTTATGATGGTCTTAGGCCCGTATCGTCAGTCGTCCCTACAATTGTAGGGCGCCTTTATGGCCTCCTTGATTGTCATAGTTTTCTACTGTTCCGTGTCAGCGCTCTATTTTGAGGTTATGTCACAAACATCTATTTGCATCAAATTGTGCTTGCTTTTGAGTTATATCATGTTTTATCAGCCTGAAATTTCCTACAATTTAAAAAGAAAACATATCTTCACAATAGGAGAGCGCTGACGCTGACACAGGACAAGTGTAATCTAGAAATTTTTGAAGGAGAGAAAGGAGTATGACAATCAAGGAGGCCATAAACGCGCCCTACAATTGTAGGGACGACTGACGATACGGGCCTTAATGAATGACAACAGCTGAAGGATGTACACCAATACTAATGTTATAATACCAATGTCAATGTCAATTGGCCAGTTCTTCTGTGCACACCAGTTAAGCATCTGATAGCTAGTTTTTGTAGGACAAAAATTATTTGGCATTCCTTAGAGCAACTCCATGCTAATATACCATACGAGATGAAACATTGTATTTTTTCATGATAATACATTAATAAAATAGATTTATCTACAGTGCTGCGTAACTGGTATATACAGTAACACAGGGATTATTTTCCTGCAAACTTCATTCATCTGTATCTTCCAGCTACAGTTTTCAGATATATCAGTTCCTGAAAATTTAGTCGACTGTATGTACTTGCTTATTGCATACTGACTTGGTTTGACCAATTATCTAAGTGATCCATCTTACAGATTACAAAAGCATTACAATTTTACTGAAACGTTGTTTATGCTTATTAAAAAAGGTCCGTCCAGTTAAAAACTTTCGATTGATTAACTTCAGCTGAAGTTAGCTACGTTTCCACTGACTAAGGGCAGTATCATCAGCCGTTCCTACAATTGTAGAACGACTTTAAGGCCTCCTTGATTATCATAGTCTTTTCTCTCCTTCAGTAAGGCTGGGGTATAATAAGTTTGTAAATGCAATCAATTCTGGCAAAATAGATTTTCCTAGGTTTTCCATGTGATTAAATCGACCTTCACAAGATTTACTTCGTCACTAGAGATGATAAAGATGGACGACGGAACTTTTTCGCTTGCTATTTATCAAGAGAATGACTCGAAGAGCGGCTATTTTACTAAGAAAACTTTAAAAACAGTTCCTCGAAAGGCAATAGCGTCACCCCCACTCCAGGAGTTTGTTTCCTGGGTGTCAATTGTTGGAATGAGGGAGTCGATTATCTCGAAAGTGGGCGAGGTTCTTTCGCCTTTAAGGGAACTGCATTCCTTAACTCAGATAGAAGAGTCTCCCTGAGTCATTCTCAGAAAAAAAGTGCGGAAGTCTGGGTGAGGTTCATCAATATCTGCTCTAAAAGCGAAATTAGCTTTGCGAGGAAACGTTTAATGATATGAAAAACTTATAAACATATTGTTTTGCCGGTAATGGATACATTCACAAACCTATTTGATAAATGTCAAAGCAGATATTGAAAGCTGTCAAAAATAATGATTATTGTACTCAGGAATTTGCCTCCAGATCCGATTTGTACGAGTTTCATTTACGCCACATCTATCTTATAACCACAAATGCAGTTATCTGCAAATCTTGCCATATTCATATTCTGATTGATGAAAGCATCTTTGTGACTGGCGATTTATTTCGAGATCTTTGCTCAAAAGAAAATTGTATAAAGAATAGGGATTTCTTTATTATCGAAGGAAAAGAACTGTACAGTCAGCTTTTGAGGTTTTTTTCTGTCAAGTGTCGGTTATTACTGCGGTCGATCTGGAATTCCAATTTCGATGACACAGTTGAAAACGATTCGGCGAGCAGTTAATTTCGTATTTCAGACCAATAGACCGTATCCAGTCACCCCTCTAGTCTTGGGTTTATGTCTACATGGATAAGAGTACGATTAAAAACTTAAAATCCATGAAAGCATCATCGAAAATTGGAATAGCCTACATTTGAAAGAAATAATTTTCAGTAATATTACTTGAGAATAACGAACATCTGAAACTTGGCCAGACAAACATGGTGGATTACAGTTGATTGTATTTTATTTTTATATGATTTTGAGAAAAGTACATGTAAATGAATTCTTTAGATAACATTCATAACTCATTAGAATCTGCCTGTAGGTTAGTTGCATGATACCCATACTCTAGTTGCATGCGTTTCGACCACAGGTCCATCTTCCCAAGAACCCTTCTCACATTTCACGTCAGAATAACCTTGCAGATGCTTCTGGACACGAGAAGAATGGCGAGTTCATCGAATGGAGCTGGAGAAACAAACCGACAACGCCGCAGAATGGCAACATTGGCGATTTCGACCTCACCATCACTTTCTTGGTGATGCTGTCACTGCTCGTCATCTACTATAGCGTCAAAATGTACAAGCCAAAGCCTAAAAAAAGGAAGATTTGCAAACGGCTGCTCAACCTGGTGCAGTGCCGCAGGATCTCGACCGTTTAGATTAGTTTTTTTTATAATACTCCAAACAGAACATTTCGTGAAAATTACGTCGTGGATACGAAGGTAATCCCAAAAGTTAGATCTCCTATTTTTTAGGTACAAAAACCATACATTTATTCCCGACAACTGATAATTTTGGAGCTTAAACGTTTATCTATTTTTCTGCGTAATCGCTATTCCAGTCGATGTGTTTTTGTAGACTGTGTGGCAGTTTTTGTATGCCCATGTTATACCAACTCGTTGCCTGGACCTTGGGAAATCATTGAACCTCATGATCCTCCATGTTTGTCTGAGCCCTATTCCATTAAAAGTATTGTGTAATAATTACAAGAGAATTTAATTATAACTTGTACTAACATGAGATAGTGTATTCCATGTATGTATCAAATACGATATACTAGTACTCCTAAATATTTTACAAGTTGCAAGACATCTTCGCAAGTTGGGTGTTTATGACCCAAAAAATACAAGCATGATATTCTTGTTATTTCAAATACATTTGTTACGAGCGATTCTAGTTTGGTAGAAAAAAACTAGCCCAAGCTTCTTGGTACAAAAAAGGGGTCAGATGATGATAACAGACATATGGAGAAGAACAAAAGATATTTGAAAGATGCTGATTTTTTTTAAGTATTAAGTTTCATATGGAATTCAAATTCAATGAATGGTAACTTATGAGACTTGAGATATCAGCTAAGATCAACATCGAACTGTTTCTCGGACTTCCTTTGTCTATAAAGCTTTTTGTTCAACCGTCATCAGAAACGTCGTAAAACAAAAAACTGTATAGACAATGGAAGTCCGAGAAACAACATCTCGAAGATCAACATCATCAAATACGGAAAACTGCACAAATTCAGATACTAAGTAGTTTTCAGTAGTTTTTAACTGGTTCAATAAATGCACTGTAATTTTTCACGTTTTTTTTTAATAATACAAAATAGATTCGTTCCAAAATAATACTGTTAAATACATCACAACCTGAAGCGATCCATCCTCAGATTCTTTTTTTTTTCAACTCTATCTTCTCATATTTAAGTGGCTTTTCTTCCTACATTATTCGAACTATGTCGGGGAGTTTCTGGTTCCTCCATGTCGTCTCAATACGGTCCTCAAAACTATCGTATTCAATTATCGGCCGACGAGGAAGTTGTTCTAAATTAAGCCAAAAAGTATCTCGGAAACACTAACACGTCTCTCTTCGGAACGATCTTACCGGAAATCTTTTTCTTTTAAGATGATTATATCCCTATGCATGTGTTCTTTGTTATTTTGTGACTAAATCTACTGATTCTGTGCTTCATTACATTTTTACAAATAAACATACTGACGATATGTCATTTTGATAGTGCTGTAATTTGTAGGGGTTACGCATACAGACGGTGATATATGGAAGAAAATATTATTTAACCATATTGATAAGTGCTTGTACTTGTCATTTACTAGTCTGGTATTGTTATGGAATAGGGCTCAGTCACTAAATGAAAGCACATATGTTTAAAATACGGTTTACTGTTTTTCAAGAATTGTCATTCGTACTTGAAAAAAGCCAGCTTGGTGGTGTAATTCAAATATACACCTATGTTTCTTCTAGCAGTCAAATAAACATGAAGCATTATGGGCATGAAAACCACAGGATATGTTTCAAGTGTAACATTGAACTTCATCTTTCACATCCTCGTCGAAACTGAATCCACTATAGGGTAGTTAGGTGATGATCTCCAATCCAAACTATTGCAGCAGAGCAGTTGTTCAACCGGTGACAACGGGTGGTGGTTCGTTCTTCAGTTTTGAATTGGGCGTTGGAGTTTTTTTCAGCGATTCTCAGTACCTACTACCACCTGTTTCCTAAATTGAAAAAGCACATTTGCCCGAAAAGCGATTCAATTCCAACGACGATAAGAAATATAGGGTTCCGTGCTTTCTCAAGTACTTGGCGGCGACCTAGTATGACATTGGCCTACAAAACGTCTACAAAAATGTATCGGCCGGAATGGTGAATATGTAGAAAAATAAACTAATGTTTGAGCTTTATAATGGTATGTGTTAGAAGTGAATGGTACTTAGCTAGGGAAATGGCGACAATTCAGATCTGATGACACATTTATGCACATTTCTTGTCGCTTGACAGTGTCACTCTATAATAGCTGATATGCGGTATGCTTATCACATAAAAAATAGCAATCTGACAGCTAAATTCGCACTAGGTACTACCTTCTTCGCATAGCCTCACACCATCAGCGCCACCTATAGAGAAATGATGTAACGGCCGTTTTACTAATATTTGCCTAAACTACTGGAACCCGCATTTCACTAGCGTGACTTGTGAGTTGTGGGCGCTTAGAATATTTTGTAGGAAGATACATTTGGCAGTCGACTGCGATGCGCGAGAGGCATATGCTGTCCACGAGTCGGAAAGGGTTCAATTGGGTCAACAAAATAGTTGCAATTTGACATCACTCAGAAAAAGAGTCACCCATACGACGTACATTGACAAAAATCGTATGCCTAAATTGGACTTTAGATTTTGAAATAAATCTGTTGCAGTAGCGAGAAAGAAAGTATTCTTGACTAAGAGCTTTTTTGAGTTAAGAGTACTGGTTAAAGAAAGCGTTTTTCCTCTAAACTGCCACTAGGAGCTGTAGAAGAGAACTAAGGTAGGCCAGTAGAGATGTAAGGTAGTCCAGTAGAGATTCCAGAGTTGACACTGCAGTCTTTAAGACCTCGACATACTTAATTCAAGAAACGACATGTAGTAACACTTTTTATAATGTTGTCAAATTATCTCGTATTTAAAGCCGCACTAAATGTTTTTACTACTAAACAAAGAAACCTGTACTATAGTTCATTTAGTCATAGGCTCAATTACTCTTTTTCCTTCAGCTATTTCATCAATAATACTTCATTTATATACATTATTGGTTTTTACATCTAGCAATCAGTAATTTTAAATATTTTCTAATGATATGGTACGAGCTATTACTGCTTATAACTAATACTAGTTATTGGAAAATGCTTATAGATGAACTCTGATTGAAAAAAGACTACGCAAACATCCAAATTATAGGTTATGTTGTATCATTGACTGAGCTTTAAATTTATATAAGGTATAGGCAACGTTGAATTGATTTTTTTATTTATCATTTTTTATTTATTCTTTATATATTCACAGTGTTTGTTTCAATATCAAAATAAGTCAATTTAATATAGTTGATAGGTTTTTTAATAGTTGTAAATACACTTGTATAGTAGTTATAAGATTCTAATAAAACATCGAAATTCTACATTTTTTTCAATAACGCTGTTGGAAACGTAAAATAAAGGACAATTAAGCAAACATTATTTTATTTAAAATAAAAAATGGACTCCATAAAACTGAATAAAAATAAATAAAGAAGGAAAATAAACTGATCTTATATGTACATCACAAGAAATACTTAAGAGGTTTTTAAATATTTAAAATAACTTTTGGCATTGAAAATGTTTGTTAAAATCACAGCCAAGGGACTGCGAAAACTCTGGTATCTGGGTCCATGCTAGCTTCAGTCTGAAAGGAAAAAATAATTGATTATGCAACAAAAAATAAACACAAGCTACGAATCACATCACAGCACATCGTCAAACTATCAAATTTTGGGATCGCTTTATATCTAAACTTCATCAAATAATGACATCGTTTTTCGTGCTGATAACATCCAAAAAATATAATATTTAATTTCCGAAATTTTTCACGATCACAATACTTCCTCGCCAGTATGTATGGAAAGTAAAAAAAATCTCTGTTACATGAAATATTCCGTAATTAATGTATGGACGAGTTAAGAAAATCTTACCTTGATTTGTGGTCCAATTTAAATTCCGTTATAATGTCATAGAACTGCTGTTGCCGGGTAGATTCTGAACACTGAGTCTGCAAAAGAAAACGGAACTTCTAAAAGGTGTCTGAAAAACAAGAGAGCGTTGAAATTTGACCGATGGGCCAAAAAATAAACAGATTTTGTATAAGTAAAATCTTACAATATTAGCCCTGTTCGTACAGCAGTCACCAACATGTCAGTGACCGTGTCCAAGATCCCGCTGCGCTATGTAAACAGAATTCACACGGCGGGATCCCAGACATAGTCATCGACAAGTCGCAGACCACTGTACGAACAAACCTTTGGGCGCCAGCAAATTTTTTTGGTGGTATCGTTAGATTATTGCTTCCTAATGATACGTTCAAATTGGCGTCGTGGTAGGGCTTGGAGCATTTGTCCTTTTTAGTAAACGCGTTTGAATAAAAGTCTTGAAAACCATCGATCCTATGTAAAAAAAACTAATAGAAACAATTTTGTAGGGAATTAAATACTTCGTCATTTTGCTTTCTTAAAAATTTGTTGTACGGTCAACAGATTAGATTAGAAAGATTAGAGGGTAAAGGTACATGTACTGATATTTCTGCTTATAATACATGTAGGTAAACTACGAATCTAATGGTATAAAATACTAGTATTATTGTAGAGAATAAAATTTGCTACAAATAAGGTCTCACGTTTTTTCGTCAGGATCCTTGAAGGAAAATTCGTACCAAAACAGTCGCACGTCTACTCCGCACTCTACGTAAGTTGTCCACGTAATCCGCAAGTGATAATAACTAACATAATCATTATCTATGGTCAAAAATAAAGTGATTTTTTTTGCTACCTCGTGCAAGCATGTCTATTTTTTGATGATTTGTGAAATTTTCATTACAGCTATCAAGTCACTCACTTCCATCAGTGTGGCGATTTTGTCACTGAGTAATTTCAGTAACCGTTGTAGCGATTTTAGTAGAAGAAATGTAGTAGCTGGTTTATGGCATCGCTCCATTTCCATTAAAATTGCCGCAACTGTCGTTGAGACTGCGCAGTGACAAAGTGACTTGCATTTTCATCGGAAAATATCCTAAAATATTACATTTATACAAAAATTGATTCACTCTAAAGTGGTATTCTTGATTGTAGATAATGACTTCACGGAGTTTTTCCCACATGAAAATATGTATGCTGTATGTGGACAAACTACATTGTGTGCAGAGTACGCCGCGCGACAGTTTTGATACGAATCTCTGGCTTTCGCTCCTTGTACTTCAGGAACCATCAAGGTGTCGAGAAAACGTAAAAAACCTTTTTGTAGAAATTTGTTTTTTCTACAGAAAAGGATAGTAGTCTTAGGTAGTTAGTTTAGCCATTATATTGCGAAAATATCATTACATGTACCTTTACCCTTAATTTTCTCGTAACTTGTTGACTATCCGACAGATTTTTGTAGAAGCATAATGATAAAAAATGAATTCCATTCAACATTGTTTCTATTAATTTTTCACAATTTGAACGTATCAGGAAGCAGTTATCTAACGGCGTCACCAAAAAAATTTACTAAGGCCAAAATTGTAGGAAAAAAAAATCTATTTCCCTGGCCTGAGAGTCATAATTTCTTGCTTAAAAAATAGCACGCTAGACACTTTCATATACGAGAGAATCTCAAAAATACTGAAGCTCTCCTCTCAATAAAAAAAAAAACGTGAAAAATGCATATTAGTGATTACCTGGGCATACGCTAAAAAGAACAACGCCGTATCTTCAAAATTTTCCAATGCTGGTTGGTGTAAGTGAATAGATTTCTCAAGGGACAAACCTAGTGCCTGAAAAATATTATATTAGAATACATTACGTACTTAATGCTTTAGTACTACCTTTTCAGCGACATCTAGCGCAGACAAATGAATGCTAGTAGTTAAAGCAGTTTCGTTAGCAAAAATATCGGAAATATCGTTGCCAGTCTCCATGATGAATTTTGACAAGCAATTTCTTGTAAGTTCAACAGATTTGAACGAATCATCGACGATCCTGTGGAAAGGTGACAAAATTTTCTTTTCGGCGGTCCAAACGCTTCCGTAAGGCAGAATTGATGAAATCACTGCTTCACTTATTTCATGTCCTAATCTTCCGAAGATAATCGCTCTACAGCAAGACAAGAAAGTGATTAATTTTCATATATTATAGTCGGCACTTAAAATGCTACAAATGATTTGACCTCTTTACAGTTCCACCTAGACAGAATAGCTTCTAACTCTTTAAGAGTACGATTTCAAAAAATAATTATTATAATTTGAAATTTGACCTTGAAGAGACTAAATTTAAAAGCAATCTCCATTAGATATAGCTCTTAAAATACAACTTTTATGTATGCCACTTTTTGACGTTTGTATTAAGTTTTGAAAAATCCGATCACAAGCTCTTTGGATTATGTAAAAGCGTATTTACCTTGGAAAGTGAGTTTCAAAAATAGGCTCCTTGACCAACATTCTAGGCACAACCACGGCATGATCCGAAGCAGAGTATACTACTTTGGGTGTTTCTGCAAGTACGTGGCTTAAAATTGTCTCTTCTGGGGGTGATTTTGACAGTCTTCTTTCTTCTATCTTCTTTTGAAACTCCATAGCAGATTTTACGTTTTCGAAGAAATTATGGTTGATTATCTTGAATTTTAAATAATAATCTTTCAGAAACATCAGATCGCTGTAAGCTTTTGGAACGCCTATTTGTAACCGCAGATTTAATAGCTGAAAAGAAAAATACATTGAAAAAACAAGCGTGTCACTTTTGAAACGTTTCTTCATTAGATGTTACGTTTTTTTGCAAGCAAATGTAAAGAGAATTAAAGTGATACATTTTATGCATTTTTTTATTTACCTTGGTATTGAGATGTTCATATAATCCATTTGTTATTTTATCGGTCTTTATTTTACGCCTTGCGACAACTACAACGCTATCAAATGTAGTATTCACTATTTGCATTGTTTCTTTAGTCAATGGGTCTTTTTTCTCCCTAAAGTAATTCACTGCGAGACCCATGAATCTATTTGTCAATTTCGCGCAGTATTCCCATCTTTGCATGGGTTCCTCTATCCCTGAAAATAGATATACATGGTGTTCAAAAAATATCCAATAACACCCCCCCCCCATCTTCACTTTGAAAATACTAACCAAGTAAAAACATGGTCAAAACAAAAGTTTGAAGCGGACAAACTAATGGCAACATTTAGAGTTAGAGGTAAAATTGGAAAACTTGTTGTTTTTGTTAGAAAGGTTCCTTGACGAAGACCCTGACCTTGACCTTTAAGGTCATTTAGAGATCGTCTTTAAATTTTGTTTATGGCGACCAGGTGGAAAGGACGCAAAAGTTAATGTTTGTATGAAACCTTGACGTTGAAGGGCATGGCCAATATCAGTGCCAAGGTCGTCTATGACCTAAAATCTTCCGCTATTTCCACTTGCGGGATCTAAAAAGTACGATTCCCTATTATTTTTTCAAGTTGGCCTCTAATTCTCTTAAATGTTATGATCAAGGTCATACCCGGACACAAAATTTTTCGGCCCTCCCATCGGTGGGGTTAGGAACTAGCCTAAGTCATTTCAATTTCATGACCATGGTCGCCATTAGACTGTTGCCTCAAAAGCCTACAATTTCTGTCTGAATCACTTGTTTGTTTGAACGGTATTTTCTTATGTATGAAGGGGGATTTGAAACTTTTTAAATATGCTGTATATTGTCAATTCTATTTGTGAGAATTATGTATTATATTCTTAGATACACATCAGTCTATTACATAACCAAAGTATTGGTTTTTATATAGTGACGTAGATCGGTTGAAGAATTCAAAAGCTCTAATGACATTAAATATTTGATCAGTGAACTTTTCTGAAAACCTAACTTACCATAAAGATTCGAGTGAAAATTTTGCAAGACCGAAGTATACTTGTCTGATAGGAAAGGCACATATTCTCGTACCAAAGTCCAAATCAAATAGCCGTTCATAGTTTTACGATCCGTTGTTGAGATTATTTGTGCTATCTGGTGTAGGTATTCTATCGATGTTACTATGACCTCAGTCTGGTCCGTAATTTGTGAGTCTTTGTACATGGCGAGAAGAATGTCGTAAAATTTTATCTGAAAAAATAAGAAGTTTACTTAAAGCATAATATTCAAAAGTTGTAATCATTCCGAAACCAAGTAGCCATGCTTTTCCACGCAAAAATGTTTTGACAGAAAATACTGCCTTCTAGATTGTTTTACTTCCTAGGAATCCATAAGCCACCTAATGTAACGTCTCCTTTGGTTTACATGTCGATAATCCTCCATTCTTATCTGGCAATGTGGATTTATTGGCCAGGCAAGGATGGGGAATAAGCCACCTACCTGTACTTATGTCAATCAGTGTTGGGGTGTAAGTTAAGGTAATAACAGTAAACCTGTGTAGTAAGTACCTTCAACACATTTTTTTGAATAGTTGACTTTGAGAATCTGAGGATTTATATATAATATACAGGGTACTTTCAAAGTTGAGTCATTTATTCTAACAGCTTGTAGAACTCGTCAAAAGAAACCACAGATATATAAAAGTTGCATAATAAGAGAGTTAGTTTGCATTATTAAAAAGTATTAAAAATATCATTATCAAATTAAAAAATTAAATAGCTACAGTTTTTACAAAAACTTCTCACAATTGTCCCCTTTTGTTGGATTAACGCAAAATCTTGCTCCGCGAATCCACGACTCTTTACAAGCTTCGAAAATAAAATCCTGGTGTCCACGAATTAAATCACAAGCATTTTCAGTGCGCTGTTGAAGTTCTTCCAGAGTATTTACTGCTCCATCATGTTACACCAATTCTTCCAAATAGCCCCATAGAAAAAATCGCAAGGCGTTAAATCCGGGGAGCGCTCAGGCCAAGAAATGGGCCCATTGCGCCCGATCCATCTATTCGGAAACTCATTATTTAGATGTTCATGAACTTCTCATCTAAAATGTGGTGGAGCCCCATCATGTAGGAACCACATATTCTGTCTCACACTCAGAGGAAAATCTTCTAATAATTGTGGCAGATTGCGTCGAAGGAAATCTAAATAAATTTCACCGGTCAGTCGAGGTGGAAAAAAGTAGGGTCCAATAAGCAAGCCATTTACGCCGGCCCAAAAATCTATGTTGAAAATGAGTTCTTTTTACAGCATGCGGACTTTCTACTGCCCAAACGTGGTTGTTGAGGAAATTGTACACACCATTTCCTGTCAATGTGGCCTCGTCTGTGCACAAAATTAATTTCGTAAAATCTTCATTTCGGCCGAACTGTTCTTAAAGCCACTGGAAAAATGCAACTCTTCTAGGATTATATTCAGGTTGTAACGCTTGAACTCATTGTTGGGTCGTCTTCGACCATTTCTAAAATGTAATTTTGTAACACTCCAGGTTAAGCAGGTCTTCCAGCGTGACCTCCTAGTTGTTATTTTAAATATCCCGGGGCACGAAGTCAAATAACATAATTTACAAACACAGCCGGATGATTTCTTAAAGGAAACCTTTCCGCAAACAACCTGCATGCTGCGGCTGCATTTTAATGGAATTTTCTATATGTTAGTATAACGCCCTCTAGTTCATTGTTTTCGTAAACATGGGCCATTTTTTCTCACAAAATAATCAGTCAAATGAAAGTATACGCACTATTAAAAGACTGGTACAACTGACCGAACCAAAGACCCGTACTAAAAACCATGCAATAACACAAAAAGTTTGCCAAATTTAGATAAAACGATAAGAGTAGTATACAAAAAACGCCAAGATTTTATACGGCACAGGTCGAGAATATTAAAAAAATCTATCTAATAACATTCTTTTTTTTTTAATTTTTAATCTTTTACTATTTATTTTATTATGCAACTTTTATATAGGTGATTTTTGGTATATCAACTCCTTTTGACGAGTCCTACAAGCAGTTAAAATAAATGACTCAACTTTGAAAACACCTTGTATATTGACGAAAGAATCTTTACGGCACATCTCTTGAAACTAGCAAATTTATATTTGTAGCTCCTGATGATGATAACATAGTTTATCGAAAAATTGAGAATAAAGTTGCCATAGTAGACTTTGAAATAATTTATCAAAGTCCAGAAAATATTCTTTCATCTAACTAGATGTTAACAATGACTACGTCCTGCGTTTTATATATTTATAAAACATAAGCATATTTTTCCAATTTTTTTACTGGTTTTAAATATAAAGAAAACCGAAGTACCCATTGCATCTTAACTGGCCTTGAATTTTCATATATTGTTCAAAGTAAAACTATCTCACAATAAGGACTTTATATGTTAGTATAACTCTATATACAGTCTAGCAAGATCAAGATCGAGGTCTACCTTCCGGGTGCAAAATCACTCATGAACTTTAAACGACATAGCTAGAGGTGTGTCTTGGCTTTCTCGCCCATATCGCAGACAGTATAATAATCGCGGAATAAATAAGCGTCTAAAGTAGGCGTGCCTACAGCAGTTTGTATCTTATTTTGAGTTGGTCATATATCTTGGACCCTGGTTATGTAACGTCTGTATTTCCGCCTACCATGATATGTGGTACGTTACTGGTGGTCCTTTCGTCTTGACAAGATACACGACCTGTTTGTGTCCTTTTATCGACCTAACTTGAATATATTCCATGCTGAAAGTGCAATTACATGATCAATTACAAATGCAATAGGTGTGATTCCATTTATTATGTAGGGACTTCGAATATGTTTTCTATCATACATAATATCGCTGAACGCTAGAGAGAGACGCGCATATGCTGTAAAATAAAATAATCCCAAAATATACACCGGGGAAGGTTTGTCCAATTTATACATTTGACATCCATAAACATCATAATTGTTACAGACCAATATTTGATCTTAGTGGCTTTGGGGTCACTAAACTCAATGCCGTGGTCGGTTAACCACGTCATGTTCAAGGTCAAATTCAGAAAAAATGCCTAACAAATTTTGATAGAATGTATATTGTAGTTTTTTGGGTCGCTGAATAGAAAACTAGTCTTCATTTTATCCAAGGGCGGATCCAGCTTTTGTGACAGGGCGGTCACATAATTCTTGTCCAGGAAGATGTTCACCTCGAAAAAGGAAGGTTGCTGATTGAAAATCAACGAGAGCAGCAGCTCAGAAGAACGGGGGGTAGGTGACGCAGCAAGGTCTTCCACTCTGACGTTGAAATAATCTTACCTTGATCTTCTCTGGATGACCTTTCTGGTTAAAATAAACTTCAGATTTGGATACAGATACTTGAAAAAACGACATATGGTTTTTAGATAAGCTCAAACATTCATACACGTTGACCTTGAAATAACGTCAATTAGACCTCTTGATGACAGGGTAAAACACGCCAGATTTGGATTTAGAGACCCAAAAAACCTATGGATGGAGGTTTTCAAATAGATTCAAATAGTTTTACAAACTTTGATCTCGATAGGCAAAACATATGCCGCCAGAGTTGAACTCTGTGACCCAAAAAACTAGAGTACCTATATATTGTATTCAAAATCTTTCAGACAATTTTTCGAAATCTGACCATGGAGGTGACGTGATAGGACTCAATCGACCTTGAACAATTTCATCATAAAAGTTTATTCACTGGAAGTGCAAAGCTATTTTGGTCTAAAAATCAACTCACCAAGTTCGTTTCTCGAAGCTCCGAAATCGATATGATATTGTAGGTAGTGATGGGGTTTTGCAACATCACCCTGTCCGGTGTTATTTCTGCTATTCTTTTTTCGTATGAAAAAATGTCATTACCAAACTTGGTTGCTTCGTTTCTGGCGCTGCTCATGTAAATTACCACATCTCGAATGTATTCTTTATAGGCTTGCTGAATCTAAAAGAATTAACCAAACAAAAAGGTAATCAGAGTATGTATACAAAAAATATTCTCTAAACAAATTAGAAAGCCTGCCGTTGTTCAGGTAAATCATGTATTCATACAAAACAGCATAAATATCCACACTAAATAGGTTAATCTGTTTGGGAGTTTTTGCGTGGGGGTTTAAAATCATATATAAGAAATGGGACTAACTATTGAACTACTTGACCGGCTTTCACCAAAATACAAATCCAACCCTTTATACACCCATGTTGATCCATAACTTACAAACAAAAGGACCGATTTCCATCATACATAACTAAGAACCATCTCGAAGCTGAATGCTTCCAATAAATAATTGTTTTTGCAACGGTTGGTAAACATATTTCTAAATTAGGTCTTCCGCCTTATACTTAGGACACCCTCTATATGCATGTCATATACGTAAAAATCATAATACACTCAAGAACAAGGTGTAAGATTATGATGTCTTATTATGTCACCAGCATTTATATGGAATAATCACCATTTGCATTTTTGAGAATCCGGGATTGTAAATTCTGTTATTCAATGATATTGCTGAAAAGAGAATAATAGTCCCAGATGATTTAGGGTAAATGAGAATAATATGAAGTAATTCTATATAAAGAGTTTCTTGATGAGTAGGCGTTCCAACACAACCGAGTAGGAGAAGTTAATTTCGTATTTGTGAAGTAAGAAGTCTGGATCTAGACTGTAAAACAATGGTGAGGTTCAAATTTGGCTGTCATTGTAATGTGTACGAGAGAGAAGCGCGAAAAGCGTCCAGTATGTTAGAAAGAGTGCGCTGTTGGCGTCCGTGGTCTCGTCAGTCGGGTTGCTGGGCAACAAGGTGCTTCTCACACTCGTATTGCACGCTTCTTGCGGCTCTCTCTCGTACACATTACATCAGTGGTATTTGGTTTTCAGTGTATGTATTATAAATGAATATGTTCCTCATTGGACCGCTTATAGAAACATTTGCCCTTCATTTCGTATGAAAATGTCAATTTCAATCGTAAAAACTTATTATTGCAGAAGTTAAAAGGTTTGGCAGAAAAATACCGATTTTGCTCTTTACGTAACAGAAATACCCACTTGCTTTCGCGCAATTTCTAACTTTGATAACGTCATTCTTGTTTTTGGTGCAATAATGTGTCAACTAAAGACCTAAAGTGTATATATAATTTACTCCCGCGCACAATCCTCAAATGCCAGGGCAAGCAAACAAGCAAATAGAAGCGACAATCATGTGTGTTTTGATGCGGAGTAAATGAGATTTGTATGGGATTTAATGAAAAATAATTTTGACTTCCCAAAAGTTTCGAAATTTACCTTATCACTGTCTTCTCTAAAATAATATTCTTTGTCGGGAAGCCCAAGTCCCGACGGAGATATCCTGATGTTGTTCTGGCCAGGTACGATGGGATTTGGCTCGACGGTGATTTTAAAAAATGGAGACACTCCGTATCTCTCGTGAAGTTTCCGGAGAAGGGTATCCTTGTCGAAGTCTTGATAATTCCAACCTTTTAATATGCCCCACCCACCTGAAATAGAAATATAGTAGTAGTATTAACAAAACAATGAAATAGAAGGCTGAACATATTAGATAACAAAAACAGAGTTGGGTATATTAGCTCTATTTTTCGTATGCACTTCGACCAAACTCAAGTTTATCATGGGGAAAAATGAACACATGCATTCTCCATGTTTATCGAATACGCTTTTTCGCCATTATAAGAAACATTTCCTGAAACATCCACTGCAAGTATTCTAATAATCATTTTCGAAACGATTTGCAATCTTGAGATTCAGTTGGACTTGAACAAAAGAAAGTTATCCCACTTTTATACTTCCTACGCTACTGGGAGAGGCAGTATTATAATCGCGAAAAATTTCGAAAATGAGATATGTTTTTTAATATTATATGGCATGTTCACCACGAAAAACCTGTCACTCACTTCCGTCGGTCTGTCTGTCTGTCTTTGGGCCGCGTATAATTTGGGAAGTAGTGCTCGGATTTGGATGAAATTTTTACTAAAGGTTACTATAATGCCAAGGACGAAAAAGCTTTTGAAAATCGGTTCAGTGGCGGCGGATCTAGGGGTAAAAACACAAAAAAATAAAGATCACTGAAGCTTCTTTTATTTTTGGCGTTTCGGAAAAATCTTTGCAGGAGTTAAAGTTTTGATGTTAAGGGGTGTAGGGGGTGGAGGGAGTATATGTCAATTTTTTGGTGCTATCAATTTAAACGTTTTCAACCCAGGTACTGTGAATGCGAAAATTTTTGAAATTCAGATAGATGTTTTTTGTTTTGAGATATCTTCAACACGTAAATCCATGTGGTGACATAGTAGTAGGTAATGGTACTGAATTTTGAAAATCGCTAAATGGCAGCGGTGTTATGAGTAGTAACTTTAAAATAGCTTTCAGATCGTCCCAAAGTTTGTTTTTGTGTGCTTTTCAACTTTCTGAATATTTTTAAGGGTAATCAAACATATTTATGAAGAGGTTACAATTTTTTAAAATTCCGAAAATATGCTTTCATCGTTTCTGATTGCTTCTGGTAAGGGAATATGCAAAAATATTATGGTGCTCTTTAGCAAGGTTTATCTTGACTCATGGAAAATTTGAAAATAGGCATACGTGAATGTTTTGTTTACTTGCTACTATTTTGTTTTGATGTTTTTTTATTAAACCATCCATAGCGGAGGACGATTTTAGTATTTCGAAATTATCAGTCTCTGAAGACAGTACCGTGCTTGATAGTCAACGTTGCCCCATAGAAGACCTAAAATGTTTGATACTTTTAATTTCGAAAAGCTTCTTTCAGCTGTTACGGTTGTCATCTAGAGGGTTAAAAATGGGAAACATGCTACTATCACATAGCCGAACAATATAAGGTTTAGCGCTTGAGAATTTTTAATTTTGCGTACGGCCTAAAAACTCTCGTGATATTGTGAAAAACACACGCATTCTGTTCGTACGTGGGGGGCCCTGTAAGCTGGGGCCCCGTGTCATTGATGAGGCTGATATTGCTAGAATCCCGCTTCTTCGATCGGACATGATTGATGGCCAACAATATTCAAATATTTGCCCGAAATTTTCATTTGTGTACCTATTCATTTTTACAAAACTGAATTGTATTACTAAAGCTTGAATGTAGATATTTTAAAAAAATAACATTAACCAATCGCTTAACAAAAACACTAGAAAATAGATATATCTGATGTTGGGTACATACTTTGTGTAAGAGTACCGTGCACATATTTGGATTCGAGAAAAGCGGAAATTAAATGGTACTAAATTTTCAACAAACGTTCTATCTCTAATAATAGTCATGTTGTATGCCTTTCATCCTCAGTAATTGTTCTTTCGAAGTCATGAAAAGATTTTTACAAATCTTCAAGCGATAATTGCTTCAGTAATACAAGTCTTTTGTTGGAATTCCTGAAAGAGGATTTGCATCTTATTATTTTGATTATATATTTTCGGACGTTACGTGATTTGATCAAGTTCCTGGTTCTCCCCACAGAATGAAACGTTTTCAGTAAACTAACTATTTAGGCAATAAAGGTAAGCTTATACGCCAAACAACAATCATCAAATCTGTGACCACAATCAGCATCACTACTTATTCCCCAAACTACTCTAAATTATCACGAAATATATGAAGTAGATACTGAAGTTACACAGTAAGGAAATGCGGTTCAATGCGGATATAAACAGTACAACCCCACGAAAATGATACTTTCTTGATTAATAAAACTGATTAGAGGATTACTTTTCAGTTCTGCAATAACGTTTCAAAACTTATTTAGTTTGTTTTTCTTTACTAAACGAAATAATATGGAAAAACAACACGACGGAAATTAAGCATTCATCAACTTCTGAGTCAAGTATTTAAAAATCTTGCAATTTTAAGATAAACCTATTTCCTCCAGATTTAATCTAATTTATATCTATAAATATGATATGATCCTGACGAAGCCGGAGATAACACGAGAAAATATCATCTTTCTCATAAAATCTATGGTAATTAAACATCCGGCTTTTTGGCAACTCATCAGTAGGGTCTAGGCTTGGTCTCTGGGACAACAAATGCAAGCATAGCAACTATACTCTACCGAGGTATAAGATCTAAATAATACAGTACAAAATGCCATCTATTACCAGAATCGATCACTACGAGTGTATGTAGCATCTAACGGATAGAACTGTAAAGATCTCAGTTCACGACTCCGGCCGCTAGGGGCTAGAGATTCTGGCTGTATGGTAGATTTGGCCTACTCGCCATGACAGTAGAGAATGGGCTATCAAATGCGAACCGAGCATTACAGTTCCAACCAAAAGCTGCTATAATTCGATCTATGGTAATGTTATATGGAGGAACTAAACGGTAGATATATTTCTCTCAAACTCCACAGAAAAATGTGCCAATGAAATACTTTGAGGATATTAAAATACCAAACATTTTTATAAATTACGACAAAATGCAAGTAACACCTTAAACCAAAAGTTACACATTATACTTATAAACAATAAGATAGTATCATAACAGGTATAGTGGTTAGAACCTCACCTATTACCTCGGGATATAAAATTCATTCATTTTAAAAAGCATGAAGAAACAAATCAATTATGAAACTCAATTAACAAATTATTGCAGGCGGTCTACTTCGCTAACACATCGTGGGACAATAGTTAAATGCTAATTTTCCTAAAGATTAATATCAACCGCTTTCCCAGCACATTTCAGACAATTTATATCATGCATTATTTAGTAACAGCGCTGCGTTACAGTATTTATTTAGTAAATCAAGGGCAAGGACCGTATATGGCGTCCATTTGTTGTGGAAAGTCATAAATTTTGTAAAAAATGTTGTGACGTGCTGTTTAAAATGGATATTTTGCTGTTATATAACGAAAAGTTTATCTTCTATGTCCTTGCTCCTTGAATAGTAACGTCTGAAATGTTTTCTGTAAAAACGGCTGAAATTGAGAGTAATGGGCCTTTCCTTTTAAACTAAGATGCCAGTAAAAAAATAGATAGGCTTCCATTAAAACGAATTTACTCCATATGTGTTTTCCTGGTCATGACTCACATTTCAAAAAAAAATCTACAAGGTTAAAATATGTTTTTTATTAAAGCAGTCACTTAGGCAAAAACCTCAATATCGACTGCTGCAAGGAACTTAAATACGCCTTTTTAATCTGATTTTTGAACTGCCTGAGAGCAGAACTCGGAAAAAGCGCAATTTTGACATCCATGGAATAAAGGAGGGATCGTAGGAGCCAGTTCTCGATGCACAAAGTTCGATAGAGTTGGAATGGGGGGCAGACGCCTGGCGGGTTCGTCTGTCAGGCTCAACGCAGGGTCAGGAAATAATAGAACCATGTGTTTGTCTTGTGCCCATATGCATCGTTTGACCCTTTAATTCAGATTGGGGAATCCGGATCAGGAACGGCATATGACCACTTTCTAATCGCGATTACCTAATCGTTGAACAAAACGTGGCAATATTGCAAATTTGTAGATTGTGTCAAAAAAATTTGAAATTTGACAGTTTCCATATGTTCGAGAGGGTTATCAAAATGGAAAGGAATCAGAAGAAATGAGAACCGAATTTTACTGCTAATGAAAAGATGCATTTATTTAATGTAAAAGTGTGCTATTTTGCGAAAATAGAGGTCAAGAAGGCCGACAGCCTCTAAATCAATGCTTGGAACCAAATTGAAAAAGAATTTAACTCCTCTTCTTCCTCTACTGCATTCAGAAAAGCTGAGTCATTGATAATGTTGTATGAATATAAGAAAAAAGAATTAAGAAGAAAAATAGGTGAGGAGAAAAACCAAAGATTTTTAACTGGAGGTGGAGCGATGCCTGTTATGAAGTGGAGGCCTAAAGTCGCTCTCCAAATGACTTTCCCCAGACTCCACAAAGGTCTAAAAGAAGACCGAAGCAAGTTGTGACTGCTTTAACATCTTCTGATATTGCCTCCAAATACAATCTACTCTTAGACAAAATACTGACTTTATTGGAAAAACAAAAGCTACAGATGAAGAGCAAGAATTAATAAAAAATGGAAAGAAAACTTAAAATAGATTTGCTTCAGTTAAAAATTTCCAATCAAAAACTAAATTTAATTTCCAATGCCTTACAATGAGAAATATTACTTTGCGTTAAGATACTATAATATGTTACTTTTTTCCAATGGAATAAAGATATTGTAGCAAACTTTTTTTATTAATACAATATTACAAAAAGTACGTTGTTTTTCCACAAATTGTGTGTCTATTATCCAGATGTTTTATAAATAACCAAAATAGTTATCTATCAGATTTTGACAAAAATTAAATGGGTCTTGACCAACATTCGCTGCATATACATGAGGAATGTCTCCTTGTAAAATTCGGTAATCCAGCTCTAGACCATTGAGTTCTTTTGGATAGGGAAGCAAATCCTCTAGCATACTCACGGTCATATTTTGCTAGCACAGCAGTGGCAACAATTGTAGTTAAAGCGTTATCTAATCGACACCGACTACTATAGGCTAATACTGGGAACCGACGCGACGTTTCCAGACATCAATTAATGTTTCTAATTCATTGCGCATGAGCTTCACTAAAAGGGTTTTCGACAACATTGCCTGGATCTTGTAGAAGTGTCATTAGGTAGACTTTCAGCTGGTAACCACTATCTTCCAAGAGCACAGCCTTCTGAAATTGGCTCCCTTCAATGCGTTTTCTTAGGTGGGATGCATTGAAAATATTTAAATCATGGGTAGATCCTGGCCATCAAGCAACAATATCAAATATTTTCAAATCTGGCCCAGCAACTATTTGAGTATTTATAGACAAATATGACTTTCTATTACGAAAAGCTTCTCCATCTTGAGCTCCTGGAGAGTGCATCTATATGTGCGTCCCGTCAATGCATCCAATGACTCGTGTAAATCTACATATCCTATAGAAGCCATTCTGAACTCTTATTTCATCAGCTTCATTGGGAATTCTGATATATTGATTTGGTAAACCTGCTATTGCTCTTGAACTCATTGCAATTATACGGGATGCTCTTGTCTGATGCATGCTAATAAAGTCTCCAATACAATTTTAATATGCATTGCATGCATAAAATCGTAGGCATGTCCTTACCTGATTAATGGGCAACACACTATTATTCCTGGAAAAACAAAACTTTTATAGTGACTGAAATCTTGGAAAAGGTGTTTAAAGACGGTCTATTTGTTCTACCAATCTGGGAACAGTGTTTTTTGTAGCCGAAATGTCCGGAAAAAGACATCAACAACTCGAAATAAGGTTAGAACCACAATCCGTCAATTTTCGGATTAACTGTCAATACGCTAGGATTACGCCTACACACGATTAGCAGGTGTTAAATGTATCGGTGCATATGAAAACGCGGCAATAATATAGATTAGTCATTAATCGTACTCAAGCGACGGTGAATATGGGCATTAGGATGCAAAACCGCTAAACCTAGGGTAACGGATACTCTTGATTTCAGAACAAAAAAAAGTGCATGTACGCGTTGTAAATGTACTAGACTCACTCTTAACTTAGGATCTCTGACAGAGATACAGTGCTCTGACTAGACTCAAATATGATGTAAATATGTGAAGTACCTTGTCATAAAAAATCAGTCGCTTCTAGCTATTTTGCTCAAGCCAGGACGAATTCCGATATACCATGACCGGATTACCTCAGTCTGAAATCAAGTATTAGGCTATAGCCGTCTAGCAACTGACAATACGTATACGTCAATATTAACTCATAAACGAACTTCCGCGGACTATTCGGCACAGGTATTACGTCTACTGAAATGTGACATTTCGTCGGTTTTTTGACATTTCGTAGATTTTTTGTGACTATTCGTTATTTCTCGATCCGTAGGACCTTTGCCCATTATTAATGTACGTTAGTCGAATCTAGAGAAATGGAAACAGAAGAAAAAAGGAGAAGAGCAAAGAAACACAGAAGTGTTGAAGACTTGGTACACTAAGCAAATTTTGATTCAAGTTTTGTTAGAGTGCAATTTTGAGTTTACTAAAAGTTCGCACTAATTTTTTATTACAGTGCGAGCCGTGGCCTTGAATGTTTACGAACTTGCTCCACGAGTCACGCAACAGAGGGTTGCTATGCGATTCCGCTTGAGTTTCTTGTGACATAACATATGTTTTTCTACATGAGTTGCTTAAAATATTTTCTGTGCAATCGGGTGTCACTGAGAATGTAACTTTGGTCCTTACTTGTAAGATGTAATCTAAGGAGATTTGCAATATTTAGTCACGTCATAAAACTTCTTGGTGAATATATTTGAAAAATATTGAAATAGTCCATTCTCACCACAAATAATTTGAATTCAATATAAATCAGTCACAGAAACACCATATAAATGAATCTTCGGATCTGGTTTAGTCAGCTAGTTTGCCCAAATTTTTAGAATCTATTAAAATTCATGAGCGCTAAAATCATATGGATCATTATATTATACTTTTGTTACAAAAAAATCAATAAGAAAATATTAATATAATTATAGTTTTTGATTGGAAAATTAATACATAGAAATAAGACAACAATACAATGGTCCCAAGTGTTGAAACATTAATTTGAATGTATTTCAAATTTGGGCCAAATCTATAAAATCAACATAAAATAGCCCGGTTAAATTAAAATAATATTTTCTGTAAATTAAACTGAAACTCAGTAACTGATCTTCTTGATGATTATTCTCATTCACTGCGATGTGCTGGGAAAGTAGTTATAATTTAACGTCCGGGACAGAGATACATACTGAATAATGGAATCCAGTGTGTATAGTGAAAATAATTGTATTATTGGATCTCAACTTTTTCTACAATAAACAACCAATAGAATGTCTTGTGGGCTTGAAGTATCACAGCAAGTGCCTATAACCGGCCGTGTGGTTGTGGTTAGATGGCGCCTTGAAAATTCGAGGTCTTCTAGCCATTTTATACTACAATGTGTAGGGTGGCTCTTGTTGGGGACTTCGTGTGTCATATTTTCCCTCTCCATCTTCATTTCCTCAGGTTACATCGTATCCGGATGTATGGGCATGTGTATCTACCTTTGTGGTTGCATATGTGCATTCATTTCGGACCTGATGAAGCCAACAAGCAGAAATACGTATTGGTATTTTCTGCTGGAATCCACTTTCCTTTTTTGCGTATTTTGCCCATCTTTTTCCTATTTTTTGTTATATACCTTTCTCCGCATGATCATTTTCCCTCTATATGTATATATATCTATATATAAGTCACCCTGTATATACGTGAGCAGTAGTCATTACCATATATATATATACATATATATACAGGGTGACTTCGAAGTTGAGTCATTTATTTTAACAGTGAGTAGATCTGATCAAAAGAAATGTTTTTTTCCTTTACCATTTTTCTGGTAAAATTAAAGTAACAAAGTTATAGCCCTTTGGAAGTTTGAGTACCGCCCTGTCTCAATAATAATATTATGTGCTCGTGTTTGGTTCATCGCATCGGAAACAAAAAAGCGAAAGAATTTGGAACGATGTTTTTACAATTATTTTAGTCAGTTGTATACAGTCAGTGTCAGTCGGTAACGCGTTTGAATAGTGGTGTCTGTTGCGTGGCTCAAACGAAATAAAAAATGGCACATGTTTATGCGGATCGGTTTCCCAATCGAGTGCAACCAACCCCTCGTGCCTTTGTTAATGTAGTACAAAGGGCTCGTGAATCAGGTGACTTAAGACCTCACAGGGGAGGGCATGCCGGTGCTCCAAGACCGCACGATCAAATACAGGTCCGCACTGAAATACTTGTCGGGAGGATACTTTATAAAACAAGGTAAAATTTTTTTTTTAATTTTTACACACATATTTTGGTTTATCTTCCTTCTACAATCATTATCTGAAAATTAATGACTCAACTTCGAAGTCACCCTGTATACAGGGTGACTTCGAAGTTGAGTCATTTATTTAAACAGTGAGTAGATCTAATCAAAAGAAATGTTTTTTCCTTTAACATGTTTCTGGTATAAATAAAGTAACAAAGTTATAGCCCTTTAGAAGTTTGAGTACCGCCTTGTCTCAATAATAATATTATGTGCTCGTGTTTGGCAATCCGCCTTATCGGTTGATCGCATCGAAACAAAAAAGCGAAAGAATTTGAAACGCTTATCACGATGTTTTTACTACAATTTTATTCAGTTGTATTCAGTCAATGTGTCAGTCGGTAACGCGTGAGTGAATAGTGGTGTTTGTTGCGTGGCTCAAACTAAATAAAAAATGTTTACGAAAATGCTGAACTTGTGGACATGATTCTTATTTACGGGGGTGGGGGGGTTAGTCTTTACAAAATGCTGACGCGGCATCACGGATTTATGCGGATCGGTTTCCCAATCGAGTGCAACCAACCCCTCGTGCCTTTGTTAATGTAGTACAAAGGGCTCGTGAATCAGGTGACTTAAGACCTCACAGGGGAGGGCATGCCGGTGCTCCAAGACCGCACGATCAAATACAGGTCCGCACTGAAATACTTGTCGGGAGGATGCTTTATAAAACAAGGTAACATTTTTTTTTATTTTTTTTTATTTTTACACGCATACTTTGGTTTATCTTCCTTCTACAATCATTATCTGAAAATTAATGACTCATCTTCAAAGTCACCCTATATATATATATATACAGGGTGACTTCGAAGTTGAGTCATTTATTTTAACAGTGTGTAGATCTGATCAAAAGAAATGTTTTTTTCCTTTACCATTTTTCTGGTAAAATTAAAGTAACAAAGTTATAGCCCTTTGGAAGTTTGAGTACCGCCCTGTCTCAATAATATCATGAGTTCGTGTTTGGCAACAACGGTTCATCGCATCGGAAACAAAAAAGCGAAAGAATTTGGAACGATGTTTTTACGATTACAATTCAGTTCAGTTATACATACAGTCAGTTTCAGTCGCGTGTGAATAGTGTCTGTTGCGTGGCTCAAACGAAATAAAAAATGGCACATGTTTATGCGGATCGGTTTCCCAATCGAGTGCAACCAACCCCTCGTGCCTTTGTTAATGTAGTACAAAGGGCTCGTGAATCAGGTGACTTAAGACCTCACAGGCATGCCGGTGCTCCAAGATCGCACGATCAAATACAGGTCCGCACTGAAATACTTGTCGGGAGGATACTTTATAAAACAAGGTAACATTTTTTTTTTATTTTTTTTTTTATTTTTACACACATATTTTGGTTTATCTCCCTTCTACAATCATTATCTGAAAATTAATGACTCAACTTCAAAGTCACCCTGTATATATATATATATATGTCATGCGACTAGCAGAACCTTCGTAGCTATATTCTGATGATCGTATTGGTTGACCAATCATCGTTAAGTGTTTTTTCTGTGACTAACTCTGTTCTGACTGATAGGAGCGTCCGAACGAATATTTATTTCGCGTTTTTTGCGCCAGGTGTAGACCAAGAAATGGGGAGATCTACTATAAGGAAATCCTACAATTTTTGCGACAGTTTTTGATGCAATCGTTAGATTATTGCTTTCTAATGAAAACTTCAAATTGGAGTGATGATATGGCGGCTGGAGCATTTGCCGTCACATTGATAATCGCGTTTGATATAAAATCTCGAAAACCATCGATCCTATGTAAAAAAGTAATAGAGACAATTTTGTATGGAATCAAATTCTTTATTATCTCGCATCCTTAAAAACTTGCTATAGTCGTATGCATGTCGTCAACATTTAAGGGTGTCGAGTAAAAACTTGCAATGGGGCATATTCCAAAATGATTATTTTGAAGTTGAACATCAATATTTTTTACCTCCAAAAAGTGAGTTATGAGTGTTTTGACTTCTTTCTGTAGCAACAAAAAGTAGCAAAATACGGCCTTTGCGGTTCAAACGTCACATTTTACGCCAAAGCTACGTTTTGACAACGTCAAATATGAGGAAAATAAACTTATATCCCCGGACATTACCAGCTTGATATGAAATGAATGTCTCTCATCGGTATCAGGAAATCTAATTTGAATTTCTTTAATTTAAATGAGTTCCTTTTCAATATCCGAATTATAAGTAAGTTTCTTTCCAACATATGGCAAAAAAGTCAATAAACTGCATCATCATAACAAAAAGGATGTAGGTAATCAATTAAAAATAAAATTTCGTCTACTCCGTTGTTTTTTCAATTTTCTCTTCATATACATAGTGCTGTATATTAACTTTTTTATTCGTAAATTTTGAAACACCATGTGAGGTTCGACAGTTACAGTATTGAATTATTTTTTATACTCTTATCTTTTCTAAAAAAAGGTAAACCTAATTTTTATACCTTAAAAAGATGCTTGTAATTAATTTGTTCACAATTAACGTCTTGGGTATAAGTATACTACCTACAACCCATATTTAAAATGAAAAAACGTTCCCAATTTCTGTATTAATTGTCGATTGAAAATTATCCTCTTCTCTCGAAAACGTCCTAGAAATTTTCTGTATGCGCTTCAGCTCACAGGCATATATCAAAAATCCTCAGGCTACTGGTTTCGATAAAATATACTTACATAGTTCGGATTTTTTATTATTTTTTATTAACTTGCAAATTTCTGCTTGAGTGTAGTTTTCCGCCAAATCTAAAATTTCTGTACTAAACCCGCGAATCCTAAGGTGAACGATATCAGCGAACGGGTCTTTATTAGTAAAGTATCCGTTGCGAGGTAACAATTTTTAGTGGCGATTTTTTAAATATACCTGTTAAAATGTGAACCTGTCCGGCCGCGTCCTTGCCATAAGGATGTCTCCATGGAGGGGGAACCCTATATATGAATTTTATTAAATCAGGAATTAATCAACCATCTCAACTCCTGCCTGTCGCTCTGCAAGATGACACATCTACTGGCGGTAAGTACTCAAATTAGTACCTATTAACAAATTCCATCAAGGATTGTAAACAAAACGTATTGATTGCGCAACTTGAAAAATATGCGCCTCTAGCAATCATATATCACTCACTATGCATTTCTTTACAGTTCGCCGCTATCATCGCCACAGCTTTAGCAGACGTCAGTCAACTCTACGGACCTCCTCAAACAGTTTATGGGAGCCCTCAAGTCTCTTATGGAGTACCTCACCTAACCTACGGACCTCCAAAGGTGCGAAGTGGACATTCGAGCTATGATGTACCGCAGGAATCAGTGACTGCATCGCTATTCTCACCTACTACACCTGCTTCAGACCTATTGGTACCACTCCACGAAGCTCAGGACTTCAGAAGCCTAGGGTTCTCCAATAGCCCAGTGCCGTTTGGATTAAGCAATTCTTTCGGACTCAATAGTGCGAACTTGAACCCTGTAGTGTCTTCCACACCATCCCCAGTGAACTTTGATTCGGTAGTCTCTTCAACAGCATCGCCTTTAAGCTTCGATTCGGTAGTATCATCTACCCCAGCGCCGGGTTTGAATCTGGGATCGGTGGTTTCCTCAAATGCGGCACCTTCTCAAAGCTTCAAAAGCTTTGGATTCTTTAACCCCGCTACTTTTGACTTCACCACTCCTGCACCAAGTTTCAACTTCAACTCCCAAGTATTATCTACTACAGCATCACCTCTAACTTTCGATACCGTTGTGTCATCAACCCCAGCGCCTTTTCATCCAAGTTCTCATTTTCTGACAAGCACTCCTTCACCGTTACTAAACAGTGTAGTCTCATCTACACCTGGGCCTTCAGTAATTTCTAGTGGAGATAGTGGATTGAACTCGGTTCTGTTTAACAGACTTGCCCAATCGTTCCCAAGTTTAGCTTTCAACTATAATGATATTGCTCTAGCTACGCCAGCTTCATTTGTGGACTCTTCTTACGAAGACCAAGACAAGATTTCCAAACAAGTGTATTTCTTCGATGCACCTGAAGAGGAAGTAGTACAACCAAAGATCAACGTCATATCCCCACCTCCTCAGAAAACTGTGAAAGTGATTTTCGTGAAGGCTCCAAGCCAACCAAGTGCATCTTCAGTGAAATTAATCGCTCCGCCATTGCTTGAAGAGAAGACAGTAGTGTACGTATTATCTAAGAACCAAGACGAGCAACAGATTGAGATTGAAGCAGGTCCTAACCAAAAAATCCCAAGCAAACCTGAAGTATACTTCCTCAAATACAATAATCAAGCTGAAGCACAGGCAGCTGTTAACAAGATTCAAACGCAGGGGCATCATGAGGATCAAGTTGGTGCTCTTGATGTTCCTCATCAGCAATTCCTTGGGTCTTTAGAAAAATCCAACATCCCTCAACCGATCATTAACTATGCCCGTTCCAAAGGTGCTAATCAAATCGTGCCATTGCCTGGGTTTAATACGGTACCACTGAGCACTGGTTTCGGATTCACCACGTCATCCCCATTACTAAACAGCTTCAGCACTACTACACTGTCCCCGATCCAAGAGTTCAGTTCTGCAGTCGTTCCAAGTCTGCCACCTAATGCTCGATTTCCCTTCAGTTCGAACTTCGTGGTTTCTACACCCTCACCTGTGGTGTCTACGACATATATGCCTTTGCCTAGCATACCAAATGGAGAAGACATCAACCAAAACCTGATAAATCCTGAGGTACAGCAGAACGTTGTGGATGGGACTGAAGCTTCTAGTAATGCTGCACCTCAGACGGTGTTTGAAAGTTCTACAGAAAGTCGAATTCAATTACCCTTTGCTACCTACGGACCACCAAAAGAAGACAAAAAGTGATCATCCAAGGCTTCTAGGAAAACATTGTGTGTAAGTAAAACTGCCTTTGTAACGAGTATAATGTGCGTGCATATTTAAGACCAACTGAAAGTATTAAAGATTGTTTTAGTAAGCTAGTTGTTTCTGTTTTTCAGTGTATAGACCTTGGCTTAGTTCTTTCTCGTGGTGAAGTAGTTTATTCTTAATAGATTTTTTTGAATAACTTATATACATAATTATCCACGTTTTCTCGCCATTAAATGAAACCATATATGTCTGCTTGAGTGTTTATCAACGTTTCGGACACCTCGCTGACTATTGTCACTGTCAATGTTTTGATCACCGAGGTATTCAGCAAAAACACGAGTCTACATATATGTGGTTTCATTCAACAGTCAGAAATCGGACAATTATCAGCATGAAAACCACAGGCTGAGTTTCAGATATTCCACTAACTTGAATACTTCAATACATGATATTTCCAAAACATGGGACAACAATTTGAAGGGCGATATTTTGGACGAGTCTAATATAAATTTGTCCAGTACGATTTTCGAAAATAACATTTTTTGTTAGTAAAGAGGTATATTAAAGAGAAAACAAAAACCCGTCTGCAGTAGCTGAAAAGAACGAAATTGTAACTGTGTTAAACTAAGGACATTTCCAATATCAAAATACAAAAGTGGTTCGGGTCGCAGCCCGTGAAATATAAACTTCAAAGTTTTAATATGTCATTTGCACTGACAATAGACACCTTATAAAATTTTAATATACACCTCTATGTCAAAATTCATCAAGCTGTAAAATAGAATACATAGGTCATCCTTCTGAGGCAATTTTAATTTAATTTTTTGAAACTATTCAAACTGTAAAGAATTCAGCGATATAAGTAGGGAGATGAAAGGCTTGCATTATAGCTAGGGATTCCAGTCGACTGCCACAGAAGGGGGGTTGCGTTTTTCGCGCGAGTATGACGGTGAACAAGAGTCCACACGGCTTGACGGAATTTGACATTTGAAGCGTCCTTAGAGGCGTCTTTTCAGTTGTTGCAGTTCAAGCTTTTTGTAATTTATGGAATATATTTGCTTTTTTAACAGTTTTTCTATATCAAAAAGCTTTGAATATGACTTTGAGCATAAAACATTTTTGGACTATTCCAAAAAGTGACTTTTTTAATAATGCCCCATGTCCTGAAAACGTATTATCAGGAAAGGCTTTCCGTCACGTACTTCGATTTTGTACATAACTGAGGAAGGATCTGATATCACTGTTAATTTTATAACTATATTCTCAAGTGCATAGATAAAACCATTTGCCTTCTAAATATAGCGGCTTTTCGAAAAATAAGTAGTAGCAATTTAATATTTGCATAAATATTTATTCTCGAGTCTATAACGTGACGTAATCGAAATTTATGAGGAAAAAAACAAAAAATCGCTAATGTATGACCTTGGAATGAATTTCAAGATTTTATTGGATTCTTAGATGAAGCATCCCAAGTATGTCATGGACCACATAATTGTATACAGGGTGATTCAGAAAACATTATCGATATTCGTAAAGCCGAAAAGACATCCAAGAATAATAAAATGGTTCATGTATGTCCTTAAATGTCACATTACCAAGATATAGGAGGTTGTAAATTACTATATAGACGGATCTATTGTCGCCCCCCGCATACAATGTGTAAAGTACCGTATCCAGCCTTGATACTTCAATCAGACTAGCTTTTCCCTGTTGGATATGTGATTCTGAATATCTGAATCATTATCCTTGCCAGGCCTTAGCAGCGACACAACAAATGCTACAGAATCAGCATTTGGACTTTTCTGCTAGACCCTTGAGCCTCATATGTCGATCTAGGCTACAGTATCTTGTTAGGAAATCCACTTCAGGTATTTCAATTTTTTATACGGATTTTACTCCAAATCAAATCTATTATTATTCAAAAGGAGTAGTTTGACAAACCTTTCTGATTCGTGCACAATTACTTACTAAAAAATGGTGTAGATAATAATTTTCTTTTTTCTTCAGTACTCCGGCACTGGTACAGTTTCGGACGCGAACGTTTTTTGTATATATTTGCTATTGTACTATGTACAAATGTTAAGTGAAGATCTGAACCCACTACGAAAATATTTTTTTTCGATTTCGAAATTATAACTTTAACTTACCTATCTCGGTAAGGGACGTTACAAAATCCATGTTTATATGAACCTTTCGTGCTACTTTTAATTTGCTTAATGATCTAGAAATACTGGCACTGTTTTATTAATCACCCTGTAAAAATTCGGAATTAATTGGTTTTTCTGAATATTCGTGTTTGAATATATCTATATAAACTATATTATATTGTAAACAAGCCGTCTGATATTCACCTAATCCTAATCCGTTGAATTTGACGGAGGTTATGAAGGTGGTAAGAGATTATAGGGCCAGATAATGTTCATATATTTAAACACGCAAAGGACTGATGAAAATAAGGTTGATTTTTAATCAATGAACTCAACAGAACGCTATAGGTAATGTATCTCTTTTCAAAAAGCTCAATTTTTCACTGAATGTACGTACCACATTTTGTTTTATATCCAGGTAGATCCTTCCAAAAGAAGAAGATTTATTTATATATTCTATAGCTTTTCGAAGATTATACTCGGGAACCGAAAAGGAAGAGAGCAGGAAAACACATCGCACGCCCATGCTAACTCGGTATCTCTTTTAATATGGCGGGATACCCGCGCAGAGACTTGTTACTTCAAAAAGATGCCACGTTAGAATGGGCGTATGACGTATTTCGCTGCTCTCTTCCTTTACGGTTCCCGACTATAATAATTGTTGAATTATAACAATTCCCTTACAAAAACTGTCAACCCGCTAGTCCACCATTTTAAAAGATAATAAATTCATTTAGGGTTCTACCATTGATTAACGAATTTTACCTGAAAATAGCCAACTTGGTGTAGAGTTTAAAAAAATTGACCAACCATTGCGAAAGTGGACTTCTGGTAATAGGTGGCACTTTGTGCTGTCTTATTTCGATAAACCTTGTACTCCGAATAGAGTAGAATTGCTGAGCTTTTGTTCATTGTTCACCGAAAGCAAGCCTACACCATGCTGAGGTGTTGCCAAATAGCACAAAACATATGTCCACGGTCGGACGAACGAAAGCTATATTAGTAGTATATACCGGATGTTCTAATCTAATTCCACACTCACCTCTGGGATCTCGGAAACGATAAGAGAGGGGTAAATATGGGTAAAGTTAATCAGAAGAAAGAAAATGGCACTTTAAAAGTTTCTCAATTCAGATTATCTCCGGAGATAGACGACGGAGACCAAATTTTCTCAAATCGTTTTTATTTCAAAATAGAAAGTACATTAACCTTGTCATTATAACGTGGCATAAGTTAGAATTTCAAGATGATGCTTCGTCTCTTGTCCTTAGTTATCATCTTTATTTTTCTTATAGGATTTTTGCACACGTAAATTAAGGGTATGATTCTGATCCCAAATTTTTTTAATAAATACATTGGCATTGCCAAACCCTAGTTATTTTAAAAGAACGAAACTGCCTAAGTAGGCGATTAAATTATCAGATAGTCATATATTTCACAATATCATAAGCCAAAGATTCCTTCAGTTTTTATGAACTAGGCATCGGTGAACAGTCCTTGTTTCCAATTTTGCTCATGGGATATTGTACATATCATGACATGGATTGGTACTATAAAATTTCAAATATCTAAAAACGTAGTCTTAATATAGTTGGTCTTGATTCATTGGACAAAGAATAACCTTATACTGAAACTTTTCCGTGTTATTTAAGGATCGTATTGAAAATATTGGAAACAGTATTATTTTATGAAACTGATGCTCACATTTTGGAGTAAGTGAAAATCGCGACGATGTTACAGCTTTGTAAACACATTTCATATCGCTCATATTAAACGGATGCCCACAGCTTGCATTCAAATACTATAAATCTGCGGCTGAGGCGTCATGAAGAGAGCCATCATCATGCTAAAATAACCCTTACAGTCAATAGATTGGCAAATTATTTGCATGTCCTTTAAAACAAGCTTCTCAAAAATTAATGCACAGGGTGATTTAATCGGATAAATTTGTGATAGCCTGTCATTTTCAAAGCCAACAATGAAAATATTAGTTTATTTCGAAATAACAGATTTGTCAGGGTCAATGTATGACATATTAGAGATTTTTGGGATCAGCATTAAAAATTATATTCACCTGGGCAAGAATCCAATATGGTGTCTATAAGACAATATAAATAAAGTTAATAATTGAGCACATGGGACGAACCGTTATATTGAAAATCTAATTATGCCGTCTTCTAGAGCAGAAAAAGTGGCAACGTTAATGTACTTTTTATTATTAAATCCCATCTCAAATAAAGCCAGGAGAAAATAAAAACTATTTTAGGAAATTTTTGTTTCTTTCGTTTATCGCCGGAAGCACTCGGATTAGCGGAACTTTATATCTACCGTTTTCTTAGTTACCTAAAAGCGCATCTTTGCTCCCACTTAACCGTTTTCGGATCTCTAACCGTTTCCGAGACCCCGATGGTGAGGAGCGAATTTGAAACACCCGGTATAGTAGATAGAGAAACAGCTGTGACAAATTCTCATAGATGACGCTACGATATCTCATTTGTCTGACATTTTTTTAGACGCGGGAATATAGCATTAGCTTTGCTATTTGAGACAGAATACTCCAAGGTGGCGCTCAGTCGCCATCTAGATAATTTTCAACTGGTTTCCAACTTATTAACTTCACCCCAGCTGCAGCACTCATGATAACATACTCTATATTGTAACAAGACAAGAGACAAATCGGTCAATGCATCATCACTAAAAGGAAACGTAAGAAATTAATGAAACGGTGTGAAACGACTCAAAGTAAATGTTTATACAAGTTACTTAAACCTCCATTGATATGTTGTATGTAGTATGAGAAACACATTAATATGAATCTAAAGTCGACTATCATGTTATTACAATCTCTCAGGATGTGAATAACTACATCTGGCGGTGCTAAACATCAAGTATATTTGGTTTATTATGCGAATTTTATTATTATTAATTTTACATTATGAATTGACGACAGTAATATGGGATACAAAAAGCACTTTGTACTGGCAGGCTATCTAATTATATTCACTGCAGAAAACATTTCAGAATCGAGATTTATCATTATACCAAACAGGCATACACGCAAAAAATAAAATAATACATCCAAAGTCTTGTAATCCTTACATACATCACAATATCATTCTTTGACTATTACCAATTTTTACTCCAGTTGGTAATTCAGTACGTCATTATTGAATTCTTATCGATTCCGACGTTTCCACAATTCTCTTACAAGGAAACTAGTAGATATATTAGTTAATAGTGAAGATTTAAAGTTTGTATTATGAGGTATCCTTTTTTTTTGTTGAACCAGGAGGAGGTAATAGAGTGAACAACAGATCTATAAAAAATAAATTTATTTGTCACCGTAATTTTCTTATATATTAAAAATATATTTACATCTATAAACGTAGGTACTTATATTGACTGGTATATGAGAAATATACAAATGAGAATTATACACACTTAAAATACAAACACAAATGGTAAATATAATGTACAACATTATAATATCAAGGAAATTCCAACACAACTGGTCATGATCATTCCAACATCAAAATGGCAATAAATATAATAGAATAATAGCAAGAATCCTTGATGTATAAAAAGCACAATGAAGGTAATGTTACAGATTACCAACAACACAATGATGTGAACATTTGATAATTACTTCTAAATAAAATCGATACCAAGTGTCAGTAATGTGGCCCTTAAGCACAAGGCATAGTCTTGAGAAGTCTTATCTTTTGTAAATAAACACTGATCAACAAAGTAAGTGAAAATATTGCAAGAAAGAAGGGTCAAAAGAACAGTATTACTTTGAAGTGTAGAATTTTAAAAATATGTGCAACATTTTTGTTTTCAATGTACTTATTGACGGAATAAAAGATTTTTGCTGAACTAAATCTAAGGCAGTTTATTGGTAACCAGGAGGTCCATAAGCTTGCGATGGTCTTCCACCACCAGTGGAGATCGACGATGAACCAGACGAAATTCCAATAGATCCAGGGCCTCCAGAGATACCTCCAGAAATACCTCCTCCACTGATTCCACCTCCACTGATTCCTCCTCCAGATATTCCGCCTCCAGAGATACCTCCTCCAGAAATTCCGCCAATAGCTCCTCCACCAGATACAGCAGCTCCTCCGGTAGCTTCGCTCTTGGTCTTGTACTTGATGAAGTATACCTCCGGCTTTGAGGGTTGAGTTGGAGCAGCTGTTGGGATGGTGATATCCGCAGCCTCGTCCGGCTTCTTGACCAAAACGTACACCAGGGTCTTCTCCTCGCTCTGAGGCTGCAGAGCTGCGATCTGAGCAGCAGGGAGATTGTACGATGGAGCCTTGATGAAGATGATCTTGTAGTGTTTTGTGGCTTGTCCAGCTTGGATCTGAGGACGTGGGCGGGCCTCTTCCGGTTCTGGCGGCGCTACGTGAACGTAGATGTGTTTCTGGACTAGGACACCGCCTCCACCGCCGCCTCCTGCTATGCCGCCTCCAGAAGCTCCGCCAGAGAATCCTCCTCCACCACCAGAGATGCCTCCACCACTGATTCCGCCCGAGAATCCTCCGCCGCCGCCGGAGATGCCTCCGCCACTGATTCCACCAGAGAATCCTCCGCCACCGCCTGAAAATCCGCCTGCTCCGCCGCTAGAAATTCCTCCAGAGAATCCTCCACTGCTGCCTCCGCCGACGTATCCGCCACCGCCTCCGCCGACGTATCCGCCACCACCTCCACTTACGTATCCGCCACCGCCTCCTCCACTTACGTATCCGCCACCTCCGCCGCCACTAATTCCTCCAGAAGGGGCGGGATAGTTGTACTGGGGACGGCCCTGGACTAGGGAGCAACAGATAGCGGCGACCTGCAGAGTGGTTGAGGTTTAGAAATGTGTAAGGAAATGAAAAGACAAATATAGAGTGTCCCAGTAGAGCTTAGTAGGTAGTTGAAGCTTCACTTGTTGGTGTCCATGAAAAGCAACTAACTCATTATGAGCATCAAGGATGGACTAGCCCTACAGCGCAAGTGCTGAAATTTTTTAGAGTCTGTAATGGCTCCAAAATAATATTTTTGTAAAGAATGATGTTTTAGCTGCATAATTGCACTATTCTTTTATTCTGATAAAATGCGCTATTTTATGAAAAACAGTGTTGTTTTAGCACAGTTCTATTAATTTTGTCACGGGATCCAGCATATTGTAAACTGGTCTCGCGATTTTTGAAATATGTAATTCTAATTACAGATTAGTAATAAGCTGTACAAAAACGGAAATTTCCATATAATTCAATCGAAATAATATCGGTTGGAACTGTAAAGATCCCAGTTCACGTTTGATAGCCCAGTCATCTCTCTGACCGCTAGAGGCTGACAATTCTGACGGTTATGGTAAAAGCGGTCTACTCGCCATTGAGCAACTAAGCATGCTGCTTTCGTCAGTCCGACCAGAGACAGCCAACCATGGACGGATGTTCCGTGCTCTTTGGCAACTCAACAGCATCGCTTATGCTTGTTCTCTGGGACAACGACCCTCTATCCGAGGTATGAGACGTATCAAAATAAGACAGGACAAAGCGCCATCTATTACCAAAGTCGACCACTGCGAGCGTAAATAGCAGCTATCATTTGTAACTGAAAAGATCTTCTGATACAGTGTGAATTTATAGGAAAAAATTCTTTAGCTACAGCATTAGGTTTTACAAAAATATTTTTTTTGAGTTATCATTATACAGGATGGAAAAAATATCAGCATTATTGCTAGTAAATGGTCAACAAAATGATTTAATTGTTTTCTCTGGTCACCGTCAAGTCAGTCCCCAGCTGGTTATTAAACTGTCAAAATGTCAATAAAAAGTATTTTTAGGAACATATACATATATCCTACATTTGTTTTTAGGATCTTGTGGCATTATTTTGTATTGAATTCTATATGTATACGAGAGATGACATATTATTCTGAGTCATTTAATCGATTCATTTGGCACATGATTGAAATATCTTTTCGAAAACTTCAAAAACTGAAGTAGTATTAACAAGGATAACAATTATTTACAGTGTTACATGTTGATGACATGCCAAATATCGAAGATTTGGTACTTTAAAATAATATAATACTTCTATTTTCATATCAAAAGTAGTTTATGAAGTTTTTGTTGTTCATATCATGATATAAACTACCTCAGTAGAAAGAGTTGTAGTGCTTTTTCTAAATGAAAGAAACAATAGTCTACAATAAAAATGCTTGATATCCAGCTATATAATAAATTTTTACCCCTATATTCAGAAACAATACTCAGGACTGTATTCAGAAACCCAATCTCTCATAGGCTACTGAAACACTTGTCGTCTATGACCGTAAACATCTGATCCTATTCCGATCTATTTGCGGAAATAACAGTGAATCTTATGCAAAAGTTATACTATATCAATTTTAGATAATATTAAATGACATTGAGAATAACCTTAATCTTCAACAACTTGTCGAGATATATATATGTGTGTGTGTGTGTGTGTGTGTGTGTGTGTGAGCAGTAGTCACTGCCATTGCCAACGACCAGTTGGGCAGAAAATACAATTAATTGTTAATTGGGAAATTGGCAAAATTTTAGGCTTTATTAAATTCTTTTAATGGTAATATCGAGGTTTCGGCATCATTAAAAAGGCTTTTCGATAATTCTTAATGCGTTGGGGTGTATTGATATATAGTGTTAACACCTAACGATGGTTTCCGTCGTTATCAATAAACCCAATGTGTCCGTCCGTTTGGTTTTATATTTGTAATAAGTGCTCTCATCCACGCGTTCGTTTTTAAACACCATTTGACTGCAACCTCAACGACGACTCCTGAAGATGACTCCATAGAGAATGCGGACAGCTCGAGATTACCGTTAAAAGAGTTTACTATAGCCTAAAATTTTGCCAATTTCCCAATTAACAATTAATTATATATACAAAAGCAAATTTATGGTGTGTAAAGTTAATTGTGCGTATACACTAAAAAAAGCGGAAATGGCTCATATTGTTTTTGGTAACAGTGTCAAATTACTTTTTAATTCTGTGGTTAAAATACCATGAAGCACGTGCAAATTTTCCAAAATGATTGTTACCTATGATCAGTGAACATTTCATAATCTGTTGTATTTAGAAAGGAGGAACAAAACACTAATTCTTTCAAATGTGGAATTAGGATTTTACACTTTCCCTGTTAATTTAAGTAAATGTCATCAAAATGGTAAACCTACACATTCGGAGAGTTAATATGTATTTAAACTGCTTCCATTATTTATAATGAGGTGGTCTGACCGTATATTAAAAAGTTTAACTATTAATTCTGCGCGCTTTTCGTTTATTCATATGTGCGGTTATTTGTTCATATCAACTGATGTATTTTACGGCTTATTTAGTGAGATGCAAGGTGTTCAAGTTGATTTTTTCTAATACTGATATTTCTTTCGAACTACTTGAGTAATTTTGATGAACTCTTTGAAACGACGGCGATGGTAGGTATCAGGGGATTTAATTTGTACTTGTTATATCGAACTGAAACACCTCAGGGGCGGCGCTACCAAATTTGAACCGAGTATTTCGAATTTTAACTGAGCACGCCACTGGTTCCTTTGATAAGACCAAGGGATTTTATGACAAATAAAAATTTCCAACCTAATGTGAAGCTGACAGAGATAAACTGCAAGGTGTAAAATATTCCTAGATCGCTCTAGTTTTTCCATCGGGAAATGAATCCATAAAAAAGGAAATAACTGGCAGAATTTGATCCGCATGAAGTCAAGTACATATTATATAGTATATTCCAGTAAATATGCTTTAGTCAAAAACTGTATGTTCCGTTGTTTTTCTCGTCTCCTGATGAATAAATTTACGGCGATGCAGCGGTATTCCTATATTTCAGTTTAATCCTGAGAGTTTTATTATTTGGTGAATTGAAAGTTGCAAACTCTCAAACCAGTTATTTATACAAGCAGGAAATAGGTAATATTTTTTTCGTGTTAAAGTCCCTTGACTAATTAGCAAAGACACCAGTGGCGTGTGGATGGTTAAACTCCAAAATACGATGTTAATAACATTTGATAGCGTCGCCCCTGATATAAATACAAATTAGTCCCTTAATGTCTACCGTCCATTTCCATAATATACAGAATTTCAAACTAATTCAACTAAAATCTCAAAAAACCATTCAGTAGACCTGGGTACAGAAATGTTCGTGTTATCACGTCTAAACGGTACCTTTAACATAAATATATATATATAGAAATATTTGTCGCTACCATTGCAGTTATAAGTAGATATCTAAAGACTTCCAGCAATATTATTTCCAACAGAAATTCGTCCTCAAGTAAGCGTGTCAAGTGCATCTTAAATTAGTTGATGAATATTTACGTCTTCTGTCACATCTTTTAATAGTGAATTCACGTTGTGTTTGGTTTAGAAATGCCAATTGATAATTCATAGTGTTGATGCTTTCTTTCTGATTTTCATTGATATTCAACCGCGTTGAGGAATTTCTCGCCACTATGCATAGCTAATATGATAATTCCAGACAAACAGAGTTATGAGTCTAGTTTAACCATTGATTAACGTATTTTACCTGAAGATAGCCAACCTAACACTATATTCCGCGTCCGGAAATTATCCGAGATGAAATGAGATACCGTACCATTATCAAAGATAAACTGTCATAGCTACGCGTCTCCTCTCCGCAATAACTAGAAATCTACTTCGAAAAGGTTAGTGTCTCATATAGATGGCGCTGCAGCTATATGCTCATACGAGTATATAGTTGGCTACAGCGCCATCTATGGAATACTAATCTTTCAAAGTAGACGTCTACTTATTGCGGAGATGAGATACATAACTGTGACAAATTCTCATAGATGGCGCTACGGTATCTCATTTTATCTCGGATAACTTTTCGGACGCGCAAATATACTATTAAGTTAGCTATCTTCATGTAAACCACGTTAATCTAATGTTTACTTATGCTTACTCACCTATACTACGCATTGATATGGGGCACTGCTACCTTCATTTCAATCAAACTATACAAGGCCCATAGCTATACAGGGTGTTCCTCAATGAGGTGCCACATACATTTTTATGTAAAAAAGATCATACGAGCATATGTCCGCAAAGGCTTATACTTTTTGTTGGATTTTTAATTTAAAAAAAATCGCACACAAGCAAAGTAAGAATAAATCTTTGATCAACTGCTATAAAACCATAAATTAAGAGGTCAAATGCGTCAGAATCCGTGTTCTGTACTCTACTGTCAACTTCAAAGATAGTTGATAGGATAAAGCTACTGAACATTTCTACTAAGAGCTGTAATAAACTTTAAACTTTTAAATAATAGTAAATTATTGGTCCTTGAAATCGGAATTTTCGCAACCATGCCTTATGTAACGGCTCTATCGGATGTTTCTCTTGAAAATTAATTTATTGAGAGAAACTAGTTGAAAGCGGATAAAGCTCAATCAAGATGATGACAAGAACAAGAAACAAGAAAGCCAGAAGCTTATGAAAATAACAAATGAAAACAGTTATCTCAAACGAAAATTTGTCTATCATATACGATCAAGAATCTTACGTGACCAAAAAAATGTACACGAAAGGAAATGAAAACTAAAAGAAACGTGAAGAAACGCAACCTAGATCTAGAACTATAACATCTGAAACTTAAACTCAAGCAAATACTCCTGAATAAGTTATATGGTTTTGTAAATTGAACGATACCTTGACATATTATGGTTTGATCATAAGTGATAGAAAATCTACAACTTTAAGCATTCATAAACGTATTCCACCTGACCTGCAGATAGTCACCTTAATGATACATTACCGCGTCTAATGATCCGAGATACCGTAGCATCATCTATGAGAATTTGTCACAGCTGGTTCTCAATGATGGTTCTGTCTATATAAGCATATAGAAGCATACAGGTAGATACAGCGCCATTTACGAGACACTTACCTTTTCAAAGTATATATAGTAAATAGAGAAACAGCTGTGATAAGTCCTCGGAGATGATACTACGGTATCTTATTTTATCTCGGATAGTTTTTTGAACGCGATAATATAGCATTTGGTTGGCTCTTCTGGCAGAATACGTAAATCAATGCTTTTAGCCAAAACTGGAAGAAGGCAAAACTGTTAACCATTTCTTGGTGCAGCCAAGAATTAAAAAAACGATTTTCAATGATCGATAAAATGGATGCACATACTATGAGCAACAAAACGTCATATAAAGCAGCAGTAATTATATACTCCTAGATTAGCTAACAAACCATCTTAATGTATCACCGTAAATGATAATTAACCGGCAGTAAAGCGTTAAACATGAAGTTTTCAAGTTGAATTATGGTAAGTCAATTATTGATATAACAAGTGTTTACACGAGTGCTTTAAACTCATCACAGTCAATATTAAGGCAAAGTATGAGCTTAATTCTTTAAGCCATCAGTAGTTACTATGATCCATACTATGGGTATTCAATGTCCGAGGATTCTACGTAAGCTTATAGAATAATGACGTATTTGAAAAATACAAAAAAAATAGTCATTAATTTCGTTTGCGTGTATATGAAAAATCGCAAATTGTCACATCAGCATTTTTATAAATAATCAGATGGGGAAATTCCCAGCACAACGGTTGGGATATCCACCAAATTAAATTTTATGACTAAATCTATAACCACCGGCAAATTCCTGAAGTAATAGCTTTTTAAACGATGGTCAGAATTATCTGTTCTTTGTCAATGAGAAAAAGGAAAATATTATCACTAGGTCTTAGTGTAGTCAATAGAATCTCAATTATTATTTCACAGCAAATAGAATGAAAATATAAATTCCTTATTCGGTAAAAAAAGTAGAATATGACACAATTAACATTTTTTATCTATAAGTTTTTTGTATTTTATATAGACATTGAAACTCAAGACATTTTCCATCAATTTCTAGATTCTCTGGCTTGGCTAACTCAATATTATTTTTCCTTTTTTATTCAGCAAAATATTAATAAATCAAAACTAAAATATCTATTAAGATATTCTATGCTGTCCAGTCTATATGAGTTGTTACAAATTGAGTTCTTGGCTGTTGCAAATCTTAACTTGTGGAAAACAAGATCTTATTTATTGCTTAAAATTTTTTTATCTAGATCATGAGGGGTCAAAATGTCAAAAAAATACTTGCACATCTTTTTGTACCCTAAGAGATTCAATAAATAAAACGTTTTTGACTAAGGCCTAAATTATTTCATTATTCTATAAATAAAAATTTTTAATGAAAGATTGCTAATAATTTACTCATTTTCAGCATTGCACTTAAATGATTCCGAAACACACAATACCTGTATATAATTGCAAATAAAAATTGTATGGATTTCATAGTATCTATGCAGCTTTATATTTTACATTACATTTTACGATTTCAGCCATACAGAATTAGAAATGAAGGCAAGCTGTTATTAATTGTTCATTTAAAAGTATGAGGGTACATATCAAAACTGTAATAATAATGTCCATTCAATAATTTTTGATGTGCTACCTTAAAAATCGATGACATCAACTTCTTATTTTTCATATTTCTAGAATCCAAGAACTCAAATTTGAAACACCATATACAGACCTCAGTCCTCGGGAAACCAAATGCAGTATCCAAAAAAATCCAAAGGACCACATCGAACGACAAGTACCGAAGTATCACATCGCGGATCGATCGCGACAAAAACCTGCCAGTACCGTTTTCTGCAGTACTTTCACTGAATATTCGCACACATAAAAAGCACTGAAACTCCCTTTGCAGTAAGTAGTACTCACCGCTACGTAAAATTTCATTTTGTACACCCAAAAACAATGCGAGAAGTGTTACATCGACGTGGTACCGTACATCTTTTATAGTACCACCCGGCTGTTATGTGAGGTCTTGCCGAATCTACCCCTTCCACGGTACGTTAAGAAAATATTGTCTTCTTCCTTAACATTTAGATAAGTGAAATTAGGGTCACAACCTCTTCTCGGTACGATGGTATTGTTGGGAGCCGGTGGTGGGATGATGAAGATCTAGTGGTACCGTACCGGAGTAAGATTGCCCGCAGGCTGGGTTTAGGTAATCTGCGATTTTTCTCAACGGCCGAGTCGGCGCGTGATGTTGACACTTGATTTTCAAAGATAAAGACTCACGACTATTAGCACTTCCTCCTTTCTTATGGTGTATTGATGCGTGGTATGATATGAGAGTACATATCCTGACTAATTGATCGTATGAGAAAAGTTCTACTGATGTAGCACAACCCAAAAGCAGTGCACTATGATTAGCAGGGCCTAGAGAGATACATGAGGAAATCGTTCCTGGAAACATTACGGCGAGGATAGTCTGATATTTTCACTGCCCAAGCAACTGGCAGGGACGCATTGTAATCAAGAAACAATCGAAAATGACACGTACATGTACATCACCTATTTCCATCGGTCTGTCTGTCTGTTTGTTAGCTAATCCTTGATCCCTCTATAGCTTTGAAAGTACCGCTCGAATATTAATTAAATCTTTATAAAAGGTCGAAATAGCTTTTGAGTTTTAGAAAAATGGCACAGTAGCGGCGGAGCTAAGGGTAAAACTCAGAAAAAATAAAAATCGCTCAAACTTTTTTTTTGACATTCCAGAGGATCCTCCTATTAACTTTCAGAGAAATTTTTGCAGAGGTTAAAAGTTGAATATTGGAGGTTGTAGCAGGTGGGGAAGAGCACCTATATGTCAAGCTTTTGGTGCTAGCAATTTATACGTTTCCAACTCCGGTAATTCTACGCACCTATTGGACATATTTCATACAACATGGATTTCCCCGTACATTTGCCCTTAAAACTTATGATAATAGAGAACTATTTCCAGCACGCGTCTCTGGGTATTCTTGCTTCGAATCCTTAACTGATGGGTGTCTGTGTTTCGTAGTCGGTGTAGGCTGCCGTGGTGCCGCGGCTGGTAAGTGGCGAGGTTAGTCATAGCCACGTTTCCAGTTGGGTGGTACTGTCGATAGAGCATGGGAATCGAGTCTATATTGCAACGTTGTCTCTAGGGCTGTATGGAAAACCACGCACATTTAGATATTTCGCAGAAAAGTACGGATTTAATGCGAAATGTCAGCAACTATCAACCTCAGTTTCGTCCAAATTACTGAATTAATTCTGGATCAAAACAAATTGCATGCTAGCTCTTTCTAATTACTTTGAATTCGTTGACGTATACGCATGCAGTATTCGGGATTTCTAAATATCTTCAATGTTTAAAAAACTAACCGTATAAAAGTTTGATAACATAAAAACACACACATAAAAACGTTACTGCAAATCTGGAAGGTAAATCCTCTATTTATTTTTTGAAATTCTTCACAACAAGACTGATACAACCATAAGTCCTGCCATATCGGCCACTTGGAATAGAAGTTGAGCACTCTCCACGAACAGTCTGATTTTGTTGTTGTTTAATTCTATGGTCGCCGGATAAGAAAAATGTTTATCGCAGATACCTCCCGCCTCAAAAATAATGTCTAAGAGTGTTCGTATTCCTTCGGAGCAGGAAGTAGTTTTTTCAATTTAGTAAAGCTTCAATAAGCACATTCAAGAATTCAGTATGTAAGAGTAATTCCAGATTGTTGTTCAGATACTTTGTACTGTGATTTCCAAAAAGTGGTGCTTCCATCGGATATTTATGAAATAATTGTTTAACTTTCAACTAAAGTACGAAATAAAAGATTTATTTCAAAATGTTTTCATCCGTATTTTTTATGAGCTCTGAGGTTTTGTTTCTTATTCTTTTTTCGTTATTTTACTCTTCAGCTGAATTATTGTGATTAACCATTGCTATCTAGACAAGGATTCTGATATCAAAGGTCATAGCAAGAATCTGTGTTGATTTTGGAATGGATTTACTTGTATGCGTATTTTAAAACTAGACACCCAAGGAACATGGTTTTTAAACTGATACTATCCCAAATTAGTCAACAATATTAAAATGAATTAAATAGTATAATCTGTCCACAAAGACCTTAATAAAGCCGGGTTGATAATAAAAAAAACCGAAACGAAACACATGTTTAATGATATGTATCTGAAAAGTACCAACATAAAAGAAGATGAAAATCTCTGGGATGCTCTCAATAAAAAATCGTGACCATATTTTTTGCATCATAATGTAAGGTATACGTAATACTTCTTGCACAAATCTCTTTCATTTGGGTGAAGGAGTTAAATATAGCTTGGACCAAATTATCTAGAAGATCAATCTGTAAAATATAGATTAAATTCTTTCAGATTATATAATTTGCAAAAGTAATTCTGCTAAGCCTTTGTTAAAATAAGGTAGACGGGGCAAAATCTCAAAATTTGTGGAAAAATCACGTAGGCTAGATGCCCTTAGTTTATACATTTTATTTGAACGAATTACAAAAACACCTAAACATGTCAAACTTCAATTCATCTGATACAATATCCAGATTTATGAGTTGCTCATCAGTTACCAAGTCTAATCGCCAAAACCAAGCAATTACTTATTGTTAGGTGCATGACCTTTAAGTTTTCTACTTTGATACAGACAGTCAGATATATTTATTCTGTAATGGAATGGTGACTATTCACTATTCTGAAGATACTCACAAACACAGAAGACCTACTACAAATTACGATAAACATTACGAAATGATACTCATAGTGCGCTTACCAACAAATACATTCCAGTTAATTCATTCATCATATCAAGTACTTTCTGACGATTAGATTAAGCTAATTAATACCTCATCTTAATTAAAATGTATTCTTTCTTTATTTGTCTGGCACTGCCCACGTCTGGTGAACAACAGAACATGTGCATAATATTGTGACATAATACCTGTGAAATAATGGAATAATCTTATGTTGCCTTAAGCGAATGACTATGACTGCGGCATTTGATGATATGATGTCTAGTTGCACTGACACACGAGGCTGTAAAAACTTTCAACATAATTGCTTTTATGATATCTTAAAACTGCCAAATATTGGTAATGCAGGCAATAAAGCATATAAATATTTCTTTAATGGAGCCTCTAAACGATCAAATTTGTAGGAATATTTGGCTAATGCTATAGCAACTAAATATACTGGCAATATTGTCTGCAATGTTTAGACACATACACTGAGAAACTTGTACGCGTCGAGGCAGGTTGCATTACTTACATTAAGAAGAATTCCGATGGATTGGCAATCTGACAGCAATATATGACAGGAAATGTCAAATATGTGCAGCAATATAGATCGGCCATATTATAAGTAAGTATTATTACAGTTAGATAATGCAGCAACAAATTACCCGATTAGAAGCGCCATAATGTAGAAGACAAGCATTAAGAAAGACGGTTAAATTTTCTATACATAAACTTCTGAGGATGTTAATTCCTTTAGTCCAACTTAAACTATTTTCTGATCTCATTAGTATTTTTTACAAGATTTTACATAACTTTACCTGTTTGTATGAGTGGGAAAAATCTTGGAACTGAATTTTTAACCAGTTAACTACGAGTATAACCAATTGAGCTGAGATTATGTACACACGTTTGAATGACGTGATATAATGCAAAATTAACTAACTGCCGCCATTTTAACTCTAGTCTGGCGAATGCTACAAAATGGCGGTTTATCATTTTCATAGTAACCCCAATGGTAAGGACATCAAATGAAAGGACTTGATGAGAGAAATGCAATAAGCAAAGTGACGTCATTCTAGATTCAATATGGCGCCCGCCGCAAGATGCCGTTTATAATTACCATAGTCACCCCTATGATATTGGTATCAAATCACATAGCTTGATGAAGGACACATAACAAGCAATCCGATATGGGCGGCCAAATCTAAATAGCGATTCATAATTTCCATGGCCACCGCAAAATATCAATTTATCATTACATGATTTGTACCTATCGAAATTTTGTACTCAATACAAATAAAGAAAAAAGTTTTATGTAGTCCTATTAATAAAAATGTATGTATTTTTTTGAAATTATATAGAACTAGTTATTTAACATACTATAACATAAAAAATAAAATAAAAAAAAAACTGAAAATAAAAAAACATTCGTTCGGCAATATGTAAACGGCAATAAAAAGGATTTTCAAATAAAAGCGTGTTACGTTTTGACAGCAGGATAGAACAAAGGTGTAATACGCTTTGATTTGAAAATTTGAGATGAAGCAGCTTCCTTATAGTTTAAATATTTCCATTCGGAAAACGTAATTTTAAAATTTTTATTGTGTTTTATTATCAGCTGAATAACATCTTGTTTCTAGTGTGTATTTTTTTATCTAACGTTTCCGCTTTTTAGCTTATCGAAAAATATCCTTGAAAAATTTACAAAATACTTGTTTTGAAGAAAGATTTGATACAGGACTTTTGGATTTGTGAAATCGAATATCCAAGAACTTAGCTTTGTCAGAACTTTCAATGGCGCTTGTTAGATGTTTCTCAACACGAATAAAAAGGTTGTTGAACAAATTTACTTAAATATTGTTTTTAATCAAATTACCAATTTTTTTTTTCCTAACGAACTAGGTTCTTTCAGTTCCAAAGCATGTTATTGAGAATTAAATAGCAACGCTATAAAATAAACTAATACCAAAATACTTTTATGAGGTTTTAGGTAGCAAAGTTTGGCATTTTTAGGGATATGAATCGTTTATATCTAGAAAACGGTAAACTTTAGAGAAAAGTGACTTATTTGATAGTGACTCATTCAAATAGACAGAATCCTGAATCTCGGGCCAAGGCGCAATGAAACAAAAAATCATGAAAAAACATAAAAACATTGTTTTGTAACTTGTTGAAAAAAATGGCGCTAACCAATTTACAACCTCTTAATTCATCTTAAAAGAGCATCCAACAAACGTGATTATTAAATCGAGTTGCAAAACTTCTCTCTCGAATGCGAGATTTTTGCTTCATCTATTAGGGTCCACTATAGCTTTCCTATGACGATTTTATAATAAATGTTGCGAGAATTCAACTTGTAAAAGCAATTTATTAAAAATACGTCTATGAGAGTTCACGGATTGAGAAATGTATATCGGTAGCATAGACCTGCGAACCATCAATTTATTATAGGAAAATTGATGCACACACGTCTATAAAACATCATCTTACGTCACTTGAAACTTGAATGGCAACATAAGTGCATTTAGAAAAGTAGGAAGAGCGCTCGGAAAATAATGTAATTGCTGAAGCTCTTTTGTAAAAATGGCCATAATTGAGTATGCTGATTGTTGTTTCATAATCATACGACAAAGCATAGATAGCAGATACATTGAGAGACTAATAGACTACAATGTTGTTTCAGCACTACGAGAATTTTTAATCTGGGACAATACGCTTTTTGGATAAATTCTGAAATGTATTATTTTGGTGGTTAGTGCCCCAAATTACGTAAGTAGTATTCTAATAACTGGAGACAAAAATGGAAATTTTGTCCATTTTCAAATTTTCTACGATTTCCTGTCAGGTTTTCAAATACTTCTATGTATAATATGTGATTTGCCCAGTCTTCTGGGTAAACATGTATGTAGATTCTTAATCCGTGGGTAGGGTGGATTTATGACTCAAGCCTCAGAGCTTCAAAGCCTAACAGGTTATTCCTTATAAATACATAACACATACATAACTATATCTTAAAACCAAGAAAACATATTTGAATTTTATATAGGAAGAATGAATGTAGAACTGAAGGAATTACAATAGTAATTGATACAAATAAATGAGTCCCCTATTTCCAAAAGCGGCTAAATTCCGTCAACGTGTGCTTGCCAAGGCGTGGAAGCAAAAAAGTGAAGAACTCGAATTGGAATACTATAAGGCTGTAATGAATAATCAACAAAGTTTAACACAAGCAGAAGAAAATGCCGATGAGAATAGTGTGTGCTTTCCTAATACTGAGTGTAGTTTTGAAGCTGATGTTGTATGATTGTTTTTAATATTCGTTTTTAATAAAAAGGACTATTTACTTTTTAAGTTGAGTTTTAAGGCTATGTATTCGAAACAGTTTAGAAGAAAAAATGTATTATTTTCTTTTTGCTACTTATTGTTATATTAGTGATTTAATGTTAATACATCAGAAAAGAGTTCACACGAATTTCGTTTCATTACCGAGTAAATCCTGAGTTGACATTCAAACTCGGGTAGATCCATCCCTACCCCCTCCCATACTGACATGAGGCATAAAATATATTTATTTTGTAAAATTATTTCATTGTGCTACGTATATTAATATTACGATGTTACTGATTCAAAACATATAATAAGAGTTACAGATTTTCGCCTTTTTGTTAATACTATCAATTTTGGATTTAGCAACTTTTGGAAATAGGGAAATCAAATATGTGAAAGTATTCCTTAGGAATTGGTTGCAGGTGCTCTATGCTATGTTGCCACGTAGACACGTTTTGACTTTTATTTCCCTTTAGTAACTAAAAAACATGATACGAGTACAATATTTCTCGCCATCAAATCAAAAGTAATATGATCACCGCCTAATCCGAGCATGAATTTTTAAATCAGACTGATAGCATCAGCAAACAAATAGGGCAAGTTTTTGTGTTCTGGTTGACATTAAGGTCAAATCAAGGAACTTCTTTACGATAGCATTTATACCTTTTGCCAAAGATAAACATATCCGTTTACAACCTTTCAGACACTGGGATGTTGATGTTATGGTATATTACGCTGCTGCCATCAATTACAGGTGGAATAACCAAACAAACGTTTGTTATCGTAGATCGCGCCGACCATGACTCTGAAACAGTGTTCAACGAATCTTATAAACAGCTGCAAGAAGTACCTACAACCTACACGAATGCCCAAGTCTTTGTGAAAAGGTTGGCAGCGTTGGGTTTGTTACCGATTTTACGAGGAAGTTTCATTAGCAATTTGCCCTTATTGTGAGTGTGAAGTTGCATTTTTGTACTTTTAAATTATTTTTTGTCGATCACGCCAATGCTGTGGTTATAAGGTTTACAGTCAGCAGTCTGAAAGAGAAGGTTTACAATAAGTAAAAATCAAAAATTGAGGTTAGGAACTCCAGTGGCGTGGGATCCACTGACTTTATGCTTTTACTCAAAATGGGTATTTTACATTTAAAGTACTTCCATGCTTATTAAACTTACTAGAAGATCTATAGATATGTGGGGTACGAGAAAGATCATCGAATTCCAAAATATGTGGGTGCGGTAGGATTTTCATTATGGTACGCCATTGGTTGAAATGTCATTCTTTTCGGCCATTTGGCTTACCCCGCCACTTGCCTCTGCCCCCTGGCTACCAAGCAATGTTGGAAAATAAACAGATGTATAGTCATGAATGAACGGCAGTTCCTACCCTCCATATATCGTCGGTGGTGTTCACAGGCCGGAGGCTCGAAAAAGTGTAGACACTGAAAATTAGTAAGAAATTCATATTTTGGAAGGAAACGTAAGTACACGATAGGTAGTTTGGAAACTTTCATTTGCAAATTAAAGAGAAGGAAGGGGTTGTTACTTAACATAAACAACGCTTCAGAAAGCGAGTGGCTGCGATTGAGGAAATTGAAGAGCACAGGAAGAGGGAGAGGGTCAATGCAACTTCTGAAAACAAATGCCTCGATCATAACTGGAATTGAAACACCTGTGGGTGTAATAGTGGCTCAATGCATTGTGAATTATGTGAGTAAAAACGGAAATATGAGCCCATTGATACCCTAGTGCGTTTCAGAAGCTTCTGATATCAGTACCTATCCGAAATGACCCATTTTCTACCTAAAATTTGGACTCGTCACATTTTTTGTCATTCTCAAATGCCTCAACGTTAAAACTTTTAATTGCTTGTACCAACGAGGGACGAAAATCGAAATTGTGGCCTTTAATACCATAGATTGAGGTTTCCTATGAGAAAAATTTAACACCAGAAGACTTAAATGTTCAAACCATCTATATGCCTGAAACAGCATATGGAGACAAATACTTAAAATTAGGTTCATTGAAACCTATAGTAGATAGCCTTTAAAGGCCATTTATCAATATAGACAATAAAACTGAGTGTGTCACTTTTATAGGCTTTCAAAAGGACCATCAATTATAAAGTGCTAACCATCCAGCATTATCACGCAAGCTGCACATCCAATAAAGACCAAACCAGAAATGAAGATAATGTCGTTATTTACAAGCATGCGGGTTCGGGTTACGTAAGAAATTAGTGCCTATTTTGTCGGCGTAACCGATTCAGCTGTATTATTGCCAATTGACAGTTTTCTTTTGATGAACAGATATTTCACATTTCACAGTACCGTGGCATTGCCAAGTAGGGCTTGATAGAGACAGTTTCTTATATATACGGGGCACGAGAGAGAGAGAGAGGCCAAGCAGTGACACTTTATTGAATCAAAATATATCTTCTCATGCGTATTTGTAAATACTTGGAAATCCATCACTTTAAAAATCCCTGATACGTTTGTACATGTTGTTGTTGTTGTTTGATTCTGTACTCACCCAGGTAGCGCTGTCATCAGTTCATAAAGTATTATATTATGTTCATTACTCCTTTTGAGGCCAAAGTTAGCTACGAACATGTATAACAAAAAAAAACTCAAATGGATTGAGTCAAACAAGCCCCTACAATTAGTCTATAGTCGCAACCCATTTGACAACGTTAAGGTCCAGAAGTTTCTCCCCTGCCCTACCGACAGTATGGACCATCTGGCAACGTTGCTATGACTAACATCGGACTACTGAAAGACGGACAGACCTCGAAGTAAATAATATCTACGTTCGTTGTGTTGCTGCGATGAGTGTGTTGAGAATATTTCCTTATTGTTAAGTTTTAAGGGCCAGTGTACAATGAAATCTATGATGTGTCTAATATGTGTGTAGAATTACCGAGGTTGGAAATGTATAAATATATTAATGTAAAAAATTTAGATATATCCCCTCCCTCACCCCGTACAACATCCCAACCTCCAACTTTGTACTTTTACAAATCTTTTTTCAAAAAATGATCGGGAGCTGAGATACGTCAAAAAACGAAGTCTGAACGGTTTTTTTTTTCATTTGTTGCATGTAGTTCTGCTGCTACTGCATCGATTTTCAAAAATTACAACGTTCTTCTGTCCTTGTGTCAAAATTTCATCCAAATCTGATTTCAAAGCATCGGTAAATAGTTAATACAAAGTAATAGTTACACAATGATTAACCATAAAATTGTTTATAATACGTTAACAAATAACACTCTACACATAAATCATTCCACCAAGAGGTCCCAAGGCTCATTTTGATGAAAGATTTTCCACCACAAAAGTTACGCTACTTCTTACGAAACAGCCTTACACCCAGAAATGTTCACTTCATCCTCTTCAGTTCTATATTTAACCACTCTAAATGGACCTAAACGGAAGGATCTATTAATACGAAAAAGTTCATCCAGACATTTGTCTCAAGTGCTACGAGAAGTTTTGTAACTGAATGCTAAACAAACACTTAAGTCAAGAGAATATCTCTGGTGTTACCTTGTCTGTATGTCAAGAGGATGGATCCATGATTATACTTTCATTTTCTAGTGGATGGATATTCTTAATAAATGTATTAGAATTTATTGTGTAACTTTACCTTCGTTATAATATCCATGGATAAGATTTTTTTAACTTGTGTAACGAGTTGCATTTACCTATACAGGGTATTTCATTTTAATCTCCTCGCCTGAATATTCATATTAAAGATTTAAACAAAAGTTGTAGAGTTTCGAGGGAACAAAATGATGTTAACCTTAACCATGGCCTTGACCGCGAAGTTCGAGGTCATTTCAAAGTCAAGTGAATATTTCGAAATGGAACACCCCCTTTCTTACACCGGAACTGGAAAGAAGAGGAAATTTTTCGTCCGGGTATGACCTTGATTATAAACATCGCCATGACGTTCGAGGCCATTACAAGGCGAAATCAAGACATTCAAAACAATTTAATCCAGCAAAAAAGTTCGATAGCACAGTTGTGAGCTGTGTAGGGGTCATCCAGATATCTTTACCATGAACTTGACCATTACCTTCAAGGTCACGTCAAATTTTTAAACGTTTAAATATAAACTTTCCTTCTGTCGAAATTTCTATATAAAAATCAAGGGGTCGCATTACAAATAAAATTTAGGATTGACATGACCTTGACAATAAGGTTTACTTTAAAAATGTTTGGCGTTGCCTTGAAGGTCATGTTATAGGTCACCTTTGGGTGACTCCCACAAACCTCACAAATGTACAGTCAAACAGTTTTGCTAAAGCAAATTGTTTTCAATGTCTTTACTTGAGCTCGAATGGTCAAGGTCAGATTCGGAATTTTCTCCTCTTTCGAATTCAGATGAAAAGACGGGAGGTTCCACTAGAAACATTCGAATAACCTTGAAATGACTCTGGAGGTCGTACTAAAGGTCATGGTCAAGGTCACCATCATTCAGCCCCTCGAAACGCTACAGCTTTTGGTTGAAACTGATTTTCTAGGATGCCTAGTTTTCGATATTTAGATGGGAAGATTAAAATGGACCACCTTGTATCACATCAGAAGAGACAAAAAGAAACATTGAGGCGAGAAAGTTTACAAAAACTCCTTCTCACCTGCAATCACGATCAAGATAAGTCTATTGGATAAATCGACGACTTGGATAACGAATCTACTATAACTTCTCCGTTGAGATTAACGAAAGGGCCAAAACATCAATTTTCCCACTCTAAATAGAATTTCATGCTAGCAAATTTTGAAATAAGGGTCCAAATTATACCAATCTACTAAGTTTTATTCGTCCTTAATAAAGAGATACGTAACTGGAAATTCTAAGGCAAGAAACTTCAAAAGTTCGAGAAAATATAATCGAAAATTCTTGCAAATCTTTAATCTCGACAAATACCCCTCTTAAATAAATCGGGTGCGCAGATAACGAATCTATTATCACTTTTTTGCCGAGATCAACAAAAGTCCCAAAAAGTCCCACTTTCCTCACCTCAATAGGACTTCATGATAATTTAGCATGTATTGATAGCAATATTTTAGTCGTGTAGGCAAAAACCTGAATACCGTGACACCGCGACTGCTATATGGAGGTTAAAGAACCCTTTTCAA